CGGCCCAAGCTATATATTATAGTTTGGGCGTCTTATTATAGTATATTATTAGAAACTAGTCTCGTAAAATGACGTCCAAGCTACATATTAGGTTTGTGCTCACATTTTTTATATTTTTTTCAGTAACAGTGTACAAGTAAATGGCCAGTTACATACTCATATGGAAAAAAATAACTGCCATTTTTTATTATTGAAAGGCCTGCCAGGTACAGTTAAACAATCAAGTTTATTCAGGTTAAATTATTTATGGTAAAGCAAGTTTCTCATCCATCAGAGCGGGACTCGCGCGGTCACTCGCATTATGCGGCGCTGTTGAGAGAGCAACTTAAATGGCCGTCCGTAACTGCGGTGAACGATGTTTTTTATGGCTGTTTTATTTATTGTTTAAAAGGTTGACTTATAATGGGGCACGTTCTTTTAAATAATTAAGTAATAATTGTATTAAAATCTCACTTGCATATTTCCCAGATTTTTATTATCTTACGTCAGATAAAACTTTAAATTCTCTATCACAACTGTCGTTTTTCCATCTATCACAATAAGTATCACTCGAAAACACTTTCAAAATTCAACACCGTATCGTGTTGAATCATTTAAATTAGTTACTGATAAAATCATTGTTCACTATACGCACGACATGTCATGCAACGCAAGTGTTCAGTTGACTCATGTGATGAAAATCACTGAACGAGATCACATCACCATTTCTCTAGCTGCGTAGAGCGCGAAAGATGAAGAAACTATATTCATTCGTTCCTTCAATAATTCCATCATTAGTGAGGTAAGACCTATCAATATATAAAATCAAACGATGAAATCAAGAAGAAGTGGAGTGCTCTATGCTTTCCTACGCAGGATTGCACAGACTTATAGAAGAACCTGCACCTCATAAATGAACGAAGGAATCGGGTTGATAATACAGGATTTTGCGCTTCGTCATTAGATCAGATTTGTCATAATAGACTGATGATCCGGGACAAGATAAGTGTAAGCAAATAAAATTTATACCTTAAAATAAAAAATAACGAAACAAGGTATACATTTTTGGAACACACAATTGTAAATGATTGAATGTATCGCACTTATTTTAGGGGTTCAATGAAACTCGAAAGCCAACGACCTGTTTGTCACTCCACAGTAAAAGGCAAAGCCTAAGAGCCATTCGGAGCCTTTAAAGGAAAGCAGGAGCAAACATGCACTTTAAGTATAAATAGACACGACGAAAACTGAGAATGATCACTCAAACAAGGAATGGAATTTTAAGAAGGTATGGCTGCAAATAACAAGACTGGCACAGCATGTCCAAAATAAATCGTCGTGTTCACCATCAAGAACCTTCTGAACTGTTCAGAGATCACAGATCCTACTTATTCATCCGGCGCTCCATATAGATCCCTACTTAATATTAGCTAAGAAGAAAATGAACCATAAAATAGATGGCCAAACGAACAAGGACATTTCTTACTATATTTACTAATTAGTTCAATCCGTACCATCAGCCACAGTGGAAGTCCCTCTTTTTAGCGCCACAGCGAGGGTGACATCTCAAAAATAAATACTCATGCAGCTGCAAATTCCAAATTTAAGCTTGAATATGATTGGTAACTAATCTGTATCTACTGAAGATTCGATGCGTATTAAAAGTGGTAACTATGCTATTAACATTAAAAGCCAAATGAGCTCGCGGCATCAGCAAACTTGTATATCGTGTCAACACAAATATAATTAATCATTCTAAAAAATGACTTTTGCAGGACAGTGTGTTCAGAAATTTAATTAACATAAAGGTTAGCATTTTTCCATTCTCAACGCACAGTCATGGAGCGAGCGACTTATACTGACCAAGCATCGGATCACCGTCGAAATGACATCGAGTTTATATGGCAATTGCAAATAGGTTCACGCTCATCGGTATTGAATGCATATTGATAACGAAAAAGTCTAATTGTATGTTAAGAATAATAATTTGCGCGATGCATATCTAACTTGATTCTTAATTTCATATTTTCTTGATCGAAAAAGACTAAAAAATTATATTCAAATATTTGAGGATGACTAAGAGCCTAAGAGGGCCCTAAAAATTGTTTAGTTTGCCATGTTTTCTGTTACATAATTGTTATGTATGTCATTCGGTAACTTATCGGTAATTAGGGCATAAGCAGTTCCCCACGAATTGTTTATAGAGCGATTGGGACGTCCTAAACCAAGTTGGTAAGTTATTACCATCTAAGAATGGCCTGCGTGGTACGGTGCTGCGGTGGTTCGAGTCTTACCTCGACAATAGACTCCAATGTGTTCGTCGCGGGCTCTCCTCTTCTACACCATCGACGGTCACCTGCGGTGTACCGCGGGGCTCGGTTCTCGGCCCAATACTCTTCCTGCTGTATACTGCCGACGTGTTGCACATAATTGATTCACACAGCTTGAATCCGCACATGTTTGCCGACGACACCCAAATCTATGGCTACTGTGCGCCGGCGGACGCTGCAGCGCTGCAAGACCGGATGTCTGCTTGCATGGGCGCCGTTTCAGACTGGATGCGTTCCAACCGGCTCCAGCTCAATGCATCGAAAACCGAATTTATTTGGTTCGCGACCGCTCGTCGCCAACATCAGCTTCCAGCAAACCTTGTGCGAGTGGGCGACGAGTTCGTCGCACCTGCATCCTCTGTACGCCTGTCTCTTATACACATCTAGATGTGNCCGAATTTGGGGAGACCGGCCGTAAAATTTGTCCGAGACGTCTCCATGGCGAGATCGCGCAAAACTGAGCAAACTACTCAGATAAGTCGGTACCGTGTGGACGCTCTAAAAATTGCAACGATTTCATTCCGACTTAAAACTGCGCAGACAAATCGTTATGAAAACTGAGCGTGTGGACCGGCCTTTAGACAGAAAGCGGTTGCGTTAATAACTGAAGAATAGCGTTGCCGAGATGCTCGCAAATTTGCCTGCCCGTGCATGCGTTCAAAAGCCTTTTCTATGGATTCATCAACCGTAGTCAATGCTATTCGTACCAAGAGGCCTGTAGCCTACACATACCACCAGTAGGCAGAGGGGTTATTAATGTATTTCATAAATTTACTATTACGTAATAATTCATAACAGCTTAATCGACTTCAAATAACAACGAGCTGGTGTTTCACCTATCAGTTTATCCAGAAGTACGTCATGATACTTGTACGGAGCTGATGCTCCCAAGGTTTTCCCTAACCCTCATTTCATTTCGAGAAATGAACTAATTTTAATTATATTAGGTTTCCTCCAAACAATTACTGAACACATAATATCAAAGTTGAGCCCTAACGTTGACATATAACACGAGCACCGGTAGAACTCTCGGCGTCAGCAGACATGTATATTACGTCGGTATAGACAATATGAATAATACTAGACATTTATTCATATCAGTCAGTGAATTCACAGACGCAGTGGACACCTATTTCAATTCAGCATATCATATTTGGACGAGAAACTTTTACTGCACCAACTTCGAGTAACCGCATGACCATCATCATCGTAAGTGATTGAGTGACATTAGCATAAAACTTTTCAATGATGTAATGAGTACAAATTTGGACAAAACATACACTTTAGTTTGAAAAATATTTGATTCACAATTAAGTACGGTACTGGATTGCCAAATTTTTATGCGATGCCATTGATGAATATCGTTTGATTGTCTAAATTCGTCTATACTGAGATCAACCCTCGAATAATGTAAATAAATAAGATGCTCGGTGAATGTGAATAGCGCATTTCTATCTCCAGCGACAAAAATAATAATATTGTAACGAAGACGAATAAATGTCAGTAAAAATAAGTCTAGAACGTCAGCGTTTCTTTCCAGAAGCCCGGGTTAGTTCGTCTCATTCGATTGATGTCACTTGGTCGGAGCGTACCTACTGTCACTATTTTCGAGTGCACCTGTAGCGTCCCTATTAGGCTATGGTTCAAGTTCAACCAAAGTGTTAGAATAGAATAGAAGTGTCGGCGTTGAAGAAATAGGCCCATGGCCTGTTGCCGATTCTTGAACTTTTCGTGACTTGATTCACAAGGGATGTCCCTTTCAAATTTCGGTGACCATACGGGTTTCCAAACTCTAGGTTCGTGCGCACGACAGCAACAAACAACTGCTTCATCGTTTCTGCATCTAGGAACTCGAAAGAGCGTCTAATCAGTCCAAGTCGCTTATTGGCTTTATTAACTTGACCTTCAATATGCTGAGAAAATTTCAACTCACTTTCGATATAAACTCCTAAATCTTTTTTCGTTGTCGACTTCGACATCATCACTCTGTCGTTGCAACCGTGTCTTCTCATACTGTAATCTTGCTGTTCATTATTCTTGTCAAGGTGGACTGGCCGCCAGTACTGTTCCCGTGTACAAGCACCTTTACTCTTTAGCGCCTACCTACATCACTATGTTATGTTATTTAATAGTTATTAATGTAACCATGACTGATTGTAGAAGGCAAGTCCTAGAATAAATTTTTTGCACCTGAATCTGCGAGTGCTGACGAGGAATTAATACGAAATTTAACAATGCTTATCGATTCTGAATTAGTTGAGTTCGTTGTTGAGCATTAAACTTAAAAGTTTTACTATGTTGAAAAATGCGTCCGCTTGGGAGCACATTAAAACGTAAAGAAGGTTGAAAAAATACTGTAGCATTTATATATTTTGTTGTATATAGAACAAAAACAACTTGAATCCTGATTATATATAATTTAAAAAATTTTATATAAATAAAAACATATAAGTTGTTCGGCTTGCATATATAGATTTCATATATTTGCTAAATGATGACTGATATGTTGAAAACTCCACCTACGATTCATGAATATATGAAATTACGGTTTTTGTAAGTACATCGTAAAGTTTTTGCGATATATGAAAAAATGTCTCAGGTACTGCATGTCTAGCAGATTTTTTTTCTTTGTGAAGCATGTGTTGTAGTGAAGCTTGTGACGTCATCGTAAAGCAAGATGGCTGCCGTTGATGAAGGCGGCAGCCAAAGTGATAATAAAAATGACCATAAATCAGAAACAAGTTGTAGTAGATCTATTTCAGTCATGCAGCAAGTAAGTTCTTTCCAACTTCTATTTGCGAATTAGAATTAAGAATGACCTGTACGAGTTTTCGTATAAGCAAAGAAAATTTCAAAACCCGTTAATTTTGTGCATGACAGTCAACCTCTATTATTATTATGATTTGTTGATTGATAACAATAGCAGTAATAGCACAAAGCTATCACTTGTTCGTGTGACGGTGTGAGTGGCTAATGACTAATGTGAATAAATATAGAGTTCTATGTCAAAGGTGTTTTGATCTTTAGTCAGTGATTTGGTGCTCAAATTTGGTCAGGCCTTCAACTATTGTGGGTGATATTAAAAAACTTAGCCTGAGCCCTGACAATAACTTAGGTAGTTGTGTTAAAATTCTCTCCTTTCTTATACTTACTTGTACCCAGGTAGGTACTCAGACATAGCGATAGCTGTCTGATAGCTGCAATTTTAGGATATTTTTGTCTAATATTTCAAGATGATGAAGAAATGGACACTTTGAAAGTTTGAACTTTGAAGTTTTAAGTTTGTACCAAACTTTTAGTTTTAGGCCTCTGCTTTTTCCCTTATTTTCACATGCTCAAAAATTTTCTGGCTTATATGGCAAATTGTTTTAACTACAGCAATCCCTTGATTCTGTCTCTTATACACATCTAGATGTGTATAAGAGACAGGTACTGGATTGCCAANCGGCTTGCTTCTGTTGGCTGGTGTACGAGAACCAGACGACGTAGAGAGACAAGTTTAGTCTCGTTAGAAGCGTAATTTTCTAAGCTTTAAAATGAGTGTAAAAGCCCAAAAAGTGAAAATTTTTGATTTTTCGGGAGACGCTCCCCTTAAGGGTAGGTCGCAATTTTTTTTTCCGCGTTAATCAAAACCGCGGTATTCAAAACCGTGCTAATCAAGGGATTGCTGTAGTTAGCTAAAGTAAACATGGTTGATGGTGGCAATCTAGGAATTGGGGAAACCTCTATTTGGACTCATTCACTTTTAATCACTTCACTCGTTCAAATGACAAACGCGCCAGTTATTTCTTTTCTGAACGAGAGAATGTAAGCTAAATATGAACTAGTCCGAACGGCCAATCATAGCTTTATGCGTGTTGTCGATATATGTGTTGCCAGCTGCAGCCAGCCAGCAGTGCGTTTTGAACTGGCGCCACGTATGGTTGTCCATGCATGTGCTTCCAGTCATGCACTGTCGTCTGCCTCGATTCTACTAGCATATGAGTCAGAGGTGTATGGTGCGTAAAAACTAAAATTTTTTGTTAACTGATTTTAATGAATTGAATTATGATTGTTTAACATTCGCGTTCATAAATTTAGTCTGCAATGCATAGGCTTAATTTGCGTTCAGAAATGGGATGTTTACCCTAAAAAGAAAACGTGTTCTCGATTGCCCTATGTAGCTAAATAATGCAAAATTGAAAAATTATATTTTAAATCTATTTTGAATTACCATAAAATGGGTAACTTAGAGTCTTAGACTACTTTTTTTTAATGATGCCATTTTTTTACTAGCTAAATTAAACTTAAATTAAAACGTGCAAAATACAGGTCTATACTCTACACTAGGTTCACTCACCATAAATGGCTGGCTCCTGCCTCTCATTGTTTTGATGTAATTTCAAAAAAAGTGATGGTCTTTGTTACCCCAGCTCTTGGGGTATCTTAGACTGGGTGGTAAAATCAATTATATTTTTGGTAAAATAACTCCAAATAACTCCAAATAACTCCAGGTTTTGGTGCATTGTAGTAGAACTCATTTAGTTACACATGCAAATGACAAATTTGAGGAAAGTGTCGTAGTTTGCAAATGGGGGCACTGCCCCCGAATGGGGAACTTAGGCCACCTAATGTCAGCCGTGCCTGGGTAATATTGACCGGCTTGGAAATAAAGTTAAAATTACCATATATCTGTAGAGTCTAAAACAAAGAGAAAAAACATTAATAGGTGTATCAAACATAAAATATGTTATATATGGTAATTTTAAATTAATTTCCAAGCCAGTTCATGTTACCTCGTCAGGGCTGACATTAGGTGGTCTAAGTTACCCCATTCAGGGGCAGCACCCCCCATTTGCAAACTATGACACTTTCTCAAATTTGTCATTTGCATATGTAACTAAAAGAGTTCCGTCAACCGGGGCTACTCGGGACGATTTTGAACGTTTTTCATTCATAACTTCTTGCCATGAAACATTTCATCAACAAGTTTAGGCTCATTTCAAAGCTCTTTGCAATTACTATCACATGGCTTCTCCAAAAAATATTCCATATGCATTTGTAANAAAAATAAAATTGATTTTACCACCCGGTCAAAGAAACCCCAAGAGCTGGGGTAACAAAGACCATCACTTTTTTTGAAATTACATCAAAAGTATGAGAGGCAGGAGCCAGCAATTTATGGTGAGTAAAGCTAGAGTATAGACCTGTATTTTGCATGTTTCAATTTAAATTTAACTTAGCTAGTAGAAAAAATGGCATCATTTTGAAAAAAAAGTGGTCAAAGTTACTCCATTTTACGGTATCGTAGATATGGTTCAAAATCGAAAATCAAATTAATCCAAGAATGATTTCAACATCCTGATGAATACGGCACTTTGCAAATTGATAGCAGAAGACTTGTCTTTGATATAGTCAGATGGGGTAAGACGGGATCACAGCCTTCATGGGGTAAGAAAGGACCAGTCTATGACATGCATACTGATTGCACTGAGTTCAATTTGATATAAGAATCTGTTAGAGCAACTATTTCCTGTCATTTTAGCATTTGTTTCAACAATGTACTGCAAATAAGGAATTCTAGGCAATTTTTTGAAAAAACCTATGTGGAGATAGATTAGAAAATAGTTAACCTTATTTGGGAAATAAGCTCTGTCTAATGACATAATATTTTTGCCAGGTTTGTGGATGTATTCAGGTAACCTTGAGTAAGAAGTAACTTTTGAGCCATACCAGACATTCCTACCAGTTACCCTTGCTGCCTGATGTGCATTCTAAAATGGGGTAAAAAAGAACTGGACATGGGGTAAGATGGGACCACCAAATGGTTCAGTTTCATCCACAAGTGGTCCTGTCTTACCTCCAAATGGTCCTATCTTGCCTCATAGATTAAAATAATTCAACAGACATATATAGGGAATATTAAAAAAAATTTGTATCTGCTGCTCTAAATAACAAATTTTCATGTTCATAAAGTAACTTTGTGGAGGCCAAAACAGAGCTCATATATGCATGCAGTGTTACTCATCACCTTCCTTTTCACAGGAATAAAGAGCTATACATTCTAAACAATAACAAACAAAACAATACAACAACAAAAAAAAGCAATAACAAGTGACCCATCTAGCATTTCTAGCTGGACCTGGGACAGCAGAAGGTGATACAAATTATAAGCATTGAATGTGTGCTCTTTGGCCCAGTATGCCTAAATTTCATAAATAAATTTTTTCAGTTTCCTGATGTAGAGGCAACAGCCATTCTTAAAAAAATCAAAGAAAAAAGGTTGCGCCAAGATTAGACCAGCAACCATGGACTTGGTAATGGACTGACTGAAGGACTTGGTAATGAAATACATATATATATATGGTGACAGACACAATAATAATAATATAATAATAGCGGTTTCAGCGTTTAGTAGGCTGTAGGCCTGTTGCCGATTCTTAACATCGCAGAACACTCAGAGCATTTTGCGGTCTCGAACTCGTAACTTACTGCTACAATTCTGCTGTGCTTAACCGCCCGGCCTCCTCGCCAATTCTGACCAGAAACTGGCACACAGAGCTGGGATCGAACCCGCGCCTCTCTGCGCCAGTCTTGGTACTCTGAACTTTAACCACTGGGCCACCCTGCCCTGACACAAGGCCTGCAGTAAATTATCTTAATCTGTAAGCACAAAAAACTTAGAAGCAAAGAAAACTCCACAAAAATTCATAGTATCTTTAAAGAAAACGCTTCAGAGTCCAGCTCCATCGTCAGTTCATAAATTCTAGAACACAGATAAATCAGTAATTAGTACAGTCATGATTGCAACAAAAAACCTAAGCTGTAAAACCTATCTATTTACAATTTCAAGTGGGTAAGAGCTAAAAGCTAAATTCAAACTAGGCCCCTTTTTAAAAATATACAATGATTCTAAAATCCGCAAATCAGAAACTCCGGAACTGGAAGCTAAAACTTTGAAGTCACTGTCAGACTCTGGAACATCGCACTGCTCGGCATGAGCCCGTTTTCTTTAAAGATACTATGAATTTTTGTGGAGTTTTCTTTGCTTTTAAGTTTTTAGTGAATTTGCGATTCAAGCAAACAAGTAATATTATTACTTATATACTGTAAGCACAAGTTTTATATTAAAAAAAAGTAATTTCTTTGTCGTTTCATTATCTAATATGTTTCTAGATGAATAATATTAAATATCAAGTCCTTAATTTGATTAAAAACCTAAAAATCTTGAAGTTAGAGGCTGGTCCTGTCTTACCCCAACACGGTCCCATCTTACCCCAGTGGGGTAAGATGGGACCAGTCCACTTCTTTTGCTTTGTACAAAAAAGGTTCAATTTTCAAAAAGTCTGCGTTGGGGGATAAAAGTCCATTGCACCAACATATCATTTGGTAGGTTCAAGGTTTTTCATTTATTCATGGTATAGGTGCTACATGCTTGTTAGTGATTTTGGTCCTGTCTTCCCCCATCTGACTATATATAATGAGAGCCTCTGCTATTGATAGTCTCTTAGTGTCGGGGCACCGCATGATGATGCTGGTGCAGGCCTCCAACGTGGCATGGGTGATGGTCTTGTGGGCCTCCCGCATATGATTCTTTGGTCCTCCAGCTTGCAGATGGCATGTGAGTCTGCGGCTCAATGTCATGCTTGTCAAACCGATGTAATTTACATTTTGGAGAAGTCTACAACCTTCTTTCAAGCAGGAAAATTTGTAAATGACATTGGTTTCTTGCAGCAGTCTGGATTTTTTGCATGGATTATTTTTCATGATTAAATTCTTGACCTTTTTGTTTCTGCAGTAGATCAAAAGTTGTATTCGGTCAGTTACTGTTGTGCGGCTGATGTTATTTTGCACAATTGAATTGAGGACTCATTCATCAGTCCTATGACCACCGTTAATTTGATTTTGATAGTAAATTCTGGTTACACAACCTCTTGATGTGGATTCATCTGTTCAGTTTAGTTGTGCTCTGATATTTGAAATTTCTTTGTCAATTGTTTTGTTTGCATAACCATTGTTGACAAGAATTTGTTTGCAGGTCCAGAGTTCAGTTTTTAAGTCATGAGTGGATGTACAAGTCTTGAACACTTGATGTATGAGGGCGCGTATGGTGCTGATTTTGTAGGTTTCGGATAAACTTCAGTGACAAATGAATTATTATCATCTTGCACCAGTATGTCCAGAAGAGGCAACATGTGATTTTGTCCGAATTCGCAAGTGAATGTCAAAAAGGAAAAAAATTTGACAGAGAAATTTCAAATATCAGAGCACGACAAAACCGAACAGATGAATCCACATCAAGAGGTTGCGTAACCAGAATTTACTATCAAAATCAAATGAAAGATGTCATAAGACTGGCAAACAAGTCCTCAATTCAATTGTGCAAAATAACATCAGCTGCACAACAGTAACTGGCCAAATACAACTTTTGATTTACTACAGAAACAAAAAAGTCAAGAATTTAATCATGAAAAACAAGGGAAAAAAAACATGGAACAAATAATCATGAAGAAAACATCCATGCAAAAAGTCTGGACCACTGTAAGAAACCAATGTCATTTACAAATTTTCCAGCTTGAAAGAAGGTTGTAGACTTCTTCAAAACAAAATGTCAATTAAATCGGTTTGACAAGCACGACATTGAGCCGCAGACTCACTTGCCATCTGCAAGCTGGAGGACCAAAGAATCATATGCAGGAGGCCCACAACGAGACCATCACCCGTGCCACATTGGAGGTGCCCCGACATTGCGAGACTGTTGGAGGTACCCCAACATTACGAGACATGCGGTGCCCCAACATCACAAGACTGTCGAAAGCGGAGGCTCTCATTATCAAAGACGAATCTCCTGCTATCAATTTGCAAAGCACCGGATTTGTCAGGACGTTGGAATTATTCTCAGATTAATTTGATTTTTGATTTTAAATCGTATCTACAATACTTTCTGTATGAACTTATGTCATGTCCAAATTTCAATTTTAAGCATTGTAATAACTCTTCACTTGCTTGATAATAAATATTGATATATTTGAAACGTCGCATTCCAGTATAATGTCATTTGGTAATCTGCTTTTTGATCTCCAAGCACCTGCAAGAAATTTCATTCGGCTCATCGAAAAAAACAATAAGAAAATAAAAAATTAATAATAAATAAAAATAAAAAAAATAAATAAAAAGTACGCTCTGGTCTTCAATCAAACCTGTATATGACATTCTGTGCACAATTTTGTGATGACCAATGAGGCATTAATTTTTTGATAAGTGAAATTTTTTTTGCTGAGCAAGGTAAATCTAATATAAATTCTTTGTTGTTAATAGATTTTTTTGTTGACTGGAGCCTTTGCTAACCGAGGTTAAACTGTAAATGCGTTTTTAGGGGTGTGTGTACCTTAAGTCCAAATTTCAATTTTAAGCATTGTAATAACTCTTCACTTGCTTGATAATAAATATTGATATATTTGAAACGTCGCATTCCAGTAAAATGTCATTTGGTAATCTGCTTTTTGATCTCCAAGCACCTGCAAGAAATTTCATTCGGCTCATCGAAAAAACAATAAGAAAATTGTTAATAAAAAGTATGCTCTGGTCTTCAATCAAACCTGTATATGACATTCTGTGCACAATTTTGCGATGACCGATGATGCATTAATTTTTTGATGAGTGAAATTTTTTTCGCTGAGCAAGGTAAATCTAATATAAATTCTTTGTTGTTAATAGATTTTTTTGTTGACTGGAGCCTTTGCTAACCGAGGTTAAACTGTAAATGCGTTTTTAGGGGTGTGTGTACCTTATTACCCAGGGGGGGGTCCCTTATTACGCCGTCACGCGGAAATGGCTGCCATTTTTTTTTTTTTGAATGAGATAGGCAAATTCTGTCAATTTTGTTTTCAAGCTGACACCTGTGTGCAACTTTTATGCAAGTAAAATTTTTTAATACAGCCAATATTTTTTTTTGCTTCAGACCTTAGTAGAGGTACTTTTCCAAAATCACACTTTTCACTTTTTTCAGCGTTTTTTTAGAGATAGTAAATGTATGATTTCTCAATTAGCTTTATACATAATAGATAGTAAAAATATTGAAGTTTTTGCCACTATTTTTAGTTTTGTAATATTTTGATTAGTTTAGCTGCTGCAACATTTCTACGAAATGTGGGACGCGCATCCTGATTTACCCTACCCATCCCTTATTACCCCGTTTGACGGTATATCACATGAAGGTGCTTGGAGTCCAATGCTATTGTTGTTTGCAGGCAAATAGAATTTTTGTGTAATCCTAACTTATGAAAGAGGTTATGTTAGTAAATTTAGCATTTTTATTTATACCATGAATGTGTTTCAAATCAGCAAGGTTGTTGTCACTTCAGTGTAGCAACAAACTTGTTAAAATATGTAATTGCTTTCACATCATCTGCAGAATTGAATATTATTTTTAGATTTTTCTACTAAAGTTGCAAATTGCATTTCATGAATTATTATGTTAAGATGGACATAATTTTAGCTTTTCTAAAATATAATTTTTAAGGAGAGGGAGAATAATTGTCTAGCTTTAATGTTCTGCAATATCATGTTTCTTTTGAAGATACTGCTACTTCCATGATACCATGTTGTATAAGAACAATAAAGCACAAATTTTCATGCTTTAACTACCGTCAACCGGGGCAGAGTAGCCCCGGTTGACGATACATATTGCTTATTATCCAATGCTCTTTTTTCAATTTTTAAGCATTGTGATGGGTAGTGTTATGTATGATACTATAGAAAAATTAATGATGATCTGCAGCATCTTAATACTGCATCATTCAACACTAACTGCTGGATGTTGGAGGCCATTTGTGGTTAAATTTCCAAGCTTATTTGGTTTTTCCCTTGCCTTCTGTAGGGTTAACTGATATTTGCATTGAGACTGCAGTGCTTGGCTACTGTTATACTATTAGTGAGAACGGGATTTGTCATGTCTTGTTGGCTTAAGTAAAATTATAAATGTCAAAGAATTGACCAACATGATCTGAAAATAAAGTTTTTATTCAGAAAGATGGAACATGGTTTTTGTTTGATGGAGGCTATGGGAAACTGCATGCATCTCAGAAATTATACATTTAGTTCCATTGTGTTAAACTAATAATTTTCAGCACTTGAACATTTTTTATTTTTCTCATTGCCAGGAGGTGGAGAGTCAAGTGAACCGTGTGAATGCCTCTTACTGCGACAAAGTCCTTGCAGTTCTTAAAGGATGGGAATGCATTACCAGCAATGTCCACTCATCTGCTTCTCATATGATCTCCTTTGCTCATTTTCTTTACAAGTATGTTCATTTTTTTTAGAAATGTCTACGTTGCATTTCCAATAATGATATTTAACATAAGTTGTTGATGAATTTTGTTGTAGAGTTTTCAAATGTATATTATAAAACTTATTTCTAGCCTTGTGGCCATATAGGTTTCAATTAAAAATATAGAATATACTCAGGTGATTTTTTTTATCAAAGGATGAAGTCTACTAATGTACTTCAAGTAGAACTAGGTGTTATATAGAAATTTAATTATGCCAAACTATCATCTTGTGACATTTCTAAGGCTTTTATCTGTTTTTCAATTGATAATTCTCTAATATAAGTAAGTCTTTAGTCAATAATCTGCTACATTGGATGTATGGTAATGACTAAAGATTTGTTCTGCTGCTCAGGTGGACATTAAAGTTAGTGCTTCAAGGTGAATGGATTGATCTGAAGCGTATTCTGAAGACACGACTCACAACAAGCCTGCAACGCTGCTCACAGGACTCGCCTTTAGCAGTCTTTGTCAAATCTCTCCTGCCCCTTGTCTCCAACCCATGGGAGGCGCCTCAACTCAAGCTTGTCCTTGACTCAGACTCTGTGTCTTCTGAAGATGGTGAGCATAGTGGCAAATGAGACTTTTTTGTTGAGTAGTGTGAGTTGACCAGTAAGTGTCTTGGTGAACAGCATTAACATACATAACAGATTGAACAAAATCTTGAAGTAGATCAGGAAATTGGGATGAAATGGCATATAAAAATCTCTTGTTGGCCACTAAAATGGTTCGTTTGAACTGACATAAGATATCAATTTTCATACAGAAATATTACCTATGATTTTTGTTACACGAGTATGGTTTCCAAGCTACTTCAGTTTCTGTTATGTATGTTACGTATTCTTTACTTGGCTTGGTATATATTTAAGGAGAAAATTTCATTCTCATGTGAAATTGAGTGATTCATAAATTAAAATTATTTTTTTTATGGCACTAAATTAACTCTGGTGTTTTCAGGACTAGCTTATTTAATGTGCGAGCCATGGGACGTTGTGCGCATGCGTGTCGATGCGCTGCTGGAAGCTCGCTGTGAGCAGTTGGCCTACAGAGTTCTTGTCGTTTGCTACAGGTGATAAACTTGAATATATATAAAGGTTATTGTGCTTAGACATGCATTTACCATTGTTCAATTCTTAACTTCCCAACTTGGAAATTCATTTGCTTGACGTCTGTCTCAGTGTTGCTGCATTCTTGTTCAAGCAATGCAAGTTCAGCCTGTCTGCTTACAAGCAATACAATACACTGATTTAACTAAGTGATGATTTAACTAAGGTAACTAAGTGTTCCACTGATTCAACTAAGTTAGCTAAGTGTTCTGTTATCTTCATTCCTGTCTTTTATCTAATTTAAATTATTTTTGAACAATTATATGTAGTTTATGAATACCGGGTATACCATATCCATTATAGGTGTTGACCTCTATACTGTCAACTAGAAAACATCAATATATAACGAATTATATTCTCAATGAAGCTACTTGTTTGCAGGCATTTGCAAGACCCTGATTCTCCGCTACCGCCGGTAGAGAGCAGTGACCAGGAACACTTCACTGACCTCTATTTTGTCCTTCTCTTCAAGTTTGACAGAAATGCTTTCCTTAGTGAGGTACGTTTAACTGAATAATTATTTCAATTGCCAAAAGTTAGCCAAAGAAAAGCTTTTTTTACCCGAGTGAGGAGGCACTCCTGCAGTGAAAAGCACAGTGTCAACGCATTGTTAATCCAAAATAAAAGTTTTTTTCATGTGGACCCTTTTTTACAGGTGAAGCATATTCCTGTTGAGGAAGGTGTGGCATTCGTTCAACGTTTACTGCACCGGACCGATGTCACTTCCCGTGTTTGGAAGAACAGACTCAAGATCGGTGACATTTGCAGCAAGATCTTCCTAGCCACAACTATTGTCAAAGAATATGCAGGCATTTTTTGGTAAGCCCTTCTGTTAAGGTTTGAATGATTCAAATGCAAGTCAGCTGATGTCAATGAAATTGTTCTAATTTTACCTTACCCTCTTCTTCACTTGAGAAAACAATTTTCAGCTTATGACTGTGGAAAAATTAACTGGGAAGGATTTCAGTTTGTTTCATTTCTATTAAAATCACTTGATTGCTTAAATCGCAAGTTAATCAAGAATTTAAAAGCAAAGTAAACGGCCAAAAAAATTCACCATTTCTTAAGAATGAAATCGTTTCAGAGCCCAGCTCCTTCGTCACTTCAAAAGTTCAATAGGTACCTATAATACAAGCTATTTTCTTTGCTTTTAAATTCTTAGTTTCATTTCTAGTATTGGATGTGCATTATTTTGACCTTGTCTAATTATAGCGAAAAATATGTATGTATATGTATTTTTTATGTTGTGCTTTATAGGTATGCTCTTGATAACTGCTTTACTTTCATTTAGTTTTCTACAGGTTTTTATTTATTTTCCTATTGGTTTTATTACTTTTATAATTGTCATAGTCTAATCTAAGAATCTATTTACTCTAAGAGTTCTATCTTTAATTACGAAATATTTGTTGTCATAGGTTTGAAGTCCATTGAATGCCATGTTCTTCCATATAATACAATTGTTTTTCAACTTTGATTGCAGGCATGTGTTCAGCGAGTGGTGTAGCGTCGAGCTGAGTCTGGGTGTGAGCCACATCAAGTTAGAAGAGATGGTCCGCACCTACATCAATCTTGCGTTCTCACAGCAGCATCTTTACACCATGAGTTCCATACTCCACTACAAGGTCGGCATTTTCTGTAGGCTTTCTTTCATAGATTCCTCTGGACCACATCCGTAGTTTGCCATAATATTTAATAATGTAAGATATTGAACTGACCCTATGGCCCTAAAATGTACAACTGTATTGCAATGCCGGTAATTTTTTTATTTAAATTATTTTTTATGTAATCTAGCTCGCAATATAGTGAAAGATTTTGTCATTTACAGTTGAATACATCATGCTTCATTTAACATGCATTTTAGTTCGAATTTTGGATTTGGTCTTCTAAAAGCTGGAGAATTTGAAGAAAATTTTACGTTCCACACAAATAAATGTTCAAAGGCTCCATATTACTGGTAGATTATTAAAAAGGAAACATAGTTGATATAAGTATAACAGTTGTTCCAAACTGATACACGTTGAAGAAACTATGCTAACATTATTGTAAAAGAGTATGACTATTGTCGAATGCTAAATTCTTTATTAATGAAGTATTCTTGTTGACAGTGTGGAGATCAACTACAGAGCTTAGTAATAGAGCTGCTCATAAGAGGCCTGACATTGGACATGAATCAATTGGAGACGCTGAAACTTGGTCTCACTGAGGATGACAACAGCAAAGAAGTGTCCGACGTTGAGCAGCGTATGAGCATGGGTTTCCTGGAACTTGCAAGTGTTTTTGAAAAGCATGCCGTGGTTTCCAGAGAATGTGTGTTAACAGCTTTCAGTTTGCACCCTACCGAGGAAATACTGCTCAAGTTGCAGCAGTTTGCTGAGCAAGAGCTATCATCTAGTCCAAATAAACTAATAGTCACAGGTCCTTCTCTCCTCGAACTTACTCCGGAAAAGAAAAATGAGTCTGAAGAAGAAGCCCAACGCTCTAGTGCTACAAAAAGACAGCTTTTCACTGATGCTGAGAATCCCGAATGTAGTCCTACTAAAATTGCTGCTGTATCTCCTTCTCTCCAAGCAGGCTTGAGCTCGTCAGCACATGAAGACAACTTGACAGCTAAAGGAGGCGAATATCCCACTGCACTCATCACACCCTCAATATCGCGCACGGGATTAGAGTCTGCAAACCATTCTTCTCCTGGTTGTGTTTCTCCTGGATACACAAGTCCTGCTCGCTTATCCTCCTGTGCAGATGATGGAGATACTCCTGGTGATGGCAGTGTCGAGGAAAGACTTTCTCCCCCTAAAGAAACCCCAATCACCAGAAACCTTTCTCAGAGTGTAGAATGCAGCAGCCCAGATCTCGATGTAGCACCTCAGGAAGTAGGTTGTGTAAATATTGTTGTGGACACCGGTCAGCCTCCTACTGAGAGTGTGCAGACAACCAAGACAGATCCAAATGATGTTCATGATGAATTTCTAAGTGATGCGAGCAAGCGTCAATTCGTCGGAGAAGAAAAGTGGGAAGAGAATGAAAGCATTACTACCAAACTAGTGCAGGATTGTTCTGCCAATGATTCTCTTGAACCATGTTCTGAATCGAGCACTTTGAGATCCACAACCCCTACACCTAATATAGTTGCAGTCTCCACCTCCAATGTGGAAAAAATCCCTGAGCTAGCCGAATGTGCTACTTCCTCTGAAATGGTGAGCAAAGACCAGGAACGAAATGAAAAAGAAATCGGCTTCTGTGCTTCAAGTCAAGACTGCCCATCTGTTTCAGGTGAAAATTCCTCCACTATCGAGTGTAAGTCAGTAACCACCCCGGGGAGTGAAGCTTCCACTGAAGCAACTGCCGTGCTACCTACGCCTGAAGATTCTACTTGTGCAGCTTCGAACTTGTTAGCATTAAAAACTGCTGATTCTCAAACTTCCCTTCATAATACTCTGGTTCCAAGAAAAGAAGCTGCTGACGGAGGTATCGACACTGATCCGTGCGTGTCAACTGACGTCCCTAATACTCCTGAAGATGCGGCAACAACCACTTCAAATGAGCAGGATAAAGATACTTCTGAAGACGATCCAATCTCACATTCCCTGATACCTGCAACTTCAACTCTCGCTGCTAACTGTGACATTCTAACCAACCCTGGAGAAGTTCTAGAAGAAAGCAAACTTGGTCTTCCTAAGGAATTATGTGATGACTTGGCCGTAGTTTTGAGTAGCCCTCGATGGCAGGGTCTGTCTTGGGTGTATGGTTGGAGGCATTTGGGTCCTCTTTGCCAACAGTATATTGTCGATTCCAATGCTGTCAAGAACTTGACCACAGAGCTTAAGTATCTCGACCTTGACTACACACAGTTCAGACATTTGCCTTCGATTGAAATAGACGAATTCAGTGGTATAGAAAAAGGCTATGAACAGTTTATGTATGATGAAGACTCAGAAATCCACGTCACCGAAACCGGCCAAACTATGGTTCTTTCAAATCGTAATTTCAGTGATGTTCGATCACGCAGAGGTAGAGGCAAGGTCAAGTCGTCTTATTATGATTCCGATTCTGATTATGATTCAGGAGGATTTCAAAAATTTCGCAGTGCTGATTCTGATTCAGACTGTGAAGGTTCAACTCGTGTCATTAAGAATCGGTCAGGACGAGCCTCGGACGGCGGTTGGGTGAACACTAGCGATGGAAAACAAAGAGCTGTAAAGATGAGTCACAAGGATCGCAGAAAACGACTGAGAATCGATCAAACTATCGAGACAGTTATTTCGAGGCTCCATCAGGATGCCAGAAGCCTTGGCAACAGCAGCACTAACGAGGATAGTCAAGACAATTACACTGGAGACAGCGACGTAGCTGACATTGTTGAAAGCAATGATAACAAGCCTGATATTGCTCCTGACGTCGTAATGATATCGTGCAAGGGACCTGGCATTGGTAGTCAAATGATAAATTTAAAAGCTCAAACAAAAGGTGTAAATATAAACTCTTCTCGTTCGCTAATGATGAAAAAATACGTCCCGAACAGCTTGAGGTTTTTCCGAAAACACGGTCAAGCACCTCAGCTAGGATCCCAAGATAAGGTTAAAAAATGTAATGGTGTTCCTCCCAGTGCCGGATTATCAAGCGTAATACCGAAATCTCTAGTGACTGGCTCTCGATGTGCAATGATGAACATCAGCTCTCTTTCTGGAAAACCTAGAGGGAAATCTATTCAAGCTTCAACCCCTGTCAGATTTCCTGCACAACGGGCCATATCATCTGTTGGTTTGAATTCTTCTCAAAGTTTAGTTGGCCACAACCCCTTGCAGTCGTCATCAAATACCTCGAATAGAAGACCAGAATCACCTGAAATTGTTGAATTATTGAAGCCTCGAGACGCCATTCATTCTGTCCGCACAATCAAGTCTGCCATGTACAGTTCTAAAAGAATCAAAAGTCCTCAGCATATTCAGAGAGATCGGGCCCTATCAGAACGTCTTCGGCTCGAGAAGCTCTTTACTTTTCAAAATTTTCAGCAAAATTTCAAGCAAGAAAAGATGGATGACGGGAAATGTTCAAGCTCTAGAGTTCCAATACAACAGCAACATTTTCCAGCACCACATCAGAATATCCAGACTAAGACAGCACGAAGTGTTACCAATCCAAGCATCTCTCCTGTGGAACACTGTCAACTTCCGACATCGTCTGTATCAAGCTCTTCATGTTCTCTGTACAAACCGAACACTGATGCAAGATATAACTACACTTCAGAATACTCGGTCGCCTCGTCGAACCCCAGCTCCGCGATGCATTCTCCTGACAGCAATAATTATCGCTATTCAGGATGCTTGTATGCATCTCACAACTCTAATGCCCGCGTTAGTGCCTCGACTGCTCGGTGCACGTACAAAACCAATGATGGCCGAGTTATCCCTTTGATTTCTCTAACAGGAGGGCATGGTTACCAGAGTGCACGCGACGGTGATAGCAGACGAACGAACAACCATGGAAACAATTCCGGTTTTGGAAGTAACAGCACGCGCAACGATGGAACAATCAATCATGCTGTTAATCCTGCTGTGAGAAATCACTCTTCTCTATCTGCGAGTCTCTCTAAAAGTGTTGGTAATAATAACACTTCCCGAAAAAATTCAGTGACATCACAAAATCCTCTCACTGCTGAAGCTATTGCAGAACTTCTCATGGGACAAGAAGAAAATGGCAGTGCATTGGCAGCAACGAAAGCTTTCTTCAAAAATTCTAGCGTGACTATAACAAGGAAACAACTTCCAGTCGAAGATGTTCTCGATAAAAGAAAGATTACTGGTTATCCTTTTGACAACCGACAACCTTTGGCCAGTGCTCAAAAAAATGTGTTGAATAGAATTATGTCTCATGACAACGGATTTAGTTCTCTGAGTGCCGCCATCCGTCCACCTATCCGGGCCATGCCTGTCACTCACACCACTCCTAATATTGTCCCCGACAAGAATGGTGCTGGACTGGGACGTGTATTGCCTAAGGGAACTACTGTTGTACGCAAAAATCAAAACGATTCCTCTCATGCCGGGGCTGGCCCGAGTGGGATGAACAATGGTGGCGGTATAAATAATTCTAATCGCGCCGACGTTGTACGACCTAGAGGGGCTTTAGCTTCTCGTGGAACCTCAATCACTGGACCTTCTCGCTATAGTGCGCAAAATGTTTCTTCAACTACATCTTCAGTCATTCATTCGGCGAATTCTTCAGTTGCTCAGATGTCTGTGAGCAGCAATGCATCTCAACTTTCCATGTCTTCTGCACATCCTCTTGCTTCTACGCCTTCAGCTATGATCAGCTCAGCGAGTTATGCCAACAGCATCATCAGAAGTTCTGGTCGCGCCACCTCGTCATATCGCTCCATGTCATCTCCAACTGCCACCTTTGTTATCACTAGCAATTCAAACCTCGGTCAGGCTAATGCCTCTATGGTTCCTATAGGAAATGACCGCGACGGCATCATCTTGTCTTCCGGTATCGGCAATCAAGTATTTACCCATTCTGACGCTAGCAACAGCGGGGGATCCAGAGAAGTTTACCTCGATCAGGAAAGTATTTCTGTCTCAGGGGCTGCTGGAAGATCCAACAGTCAAGGCTCGCTGGGTTCTACGAGCAACCACTCCGGCAATAATAATATCACTCCTACCATTGCAAGTCTTTTAGATGCTTCATCTGTCTTAGAACTTGCATCGTCTGGTGAAGCTTCACCGAACTTATCAAATTTTCCCAACACTTCCATGAGCTCATCACATTTTTTAGAGCAAAGCATAGCGTCTAACAGTGATGGAAATGCTGCGTCCCAAGCTTTGCCGGCCCCTTTAGATTATGCCACGTTGGTTGGAGGTGCCCTTAACATTGGTAGAACCCTCGGAAGGGCACCTGGTGATGAGAGGGAGAATTCTCACTCAACCGCCTCCACCGTGGCATCCCAACCGAGGGACCACTCATCTAATACAGAAATTCACTTATTGAACTCTAGTAACGCTGACGAATCCATGAGCTCGTCAATCAATGTGACCACATCTGCCAATGCCGCAACTCGACATGGGGGCAGCTTAATAAGTGGAGGAGGAGGTTTGCTTGGCCGGGTGCTGGCTGCATCGGGGGTAAGTGGCGTCCGTTTACTCGGGGGCTCTTGTGTTACTGTTGCAAATGACCTTTCTCCTTCGAGTACATCTGTGCTGATTACCTCGTCTGCGGCTGCAAGCAATGTGGCTTTATCTACGGTTTTTGTTACGTCTACTTCCAGTATTGCCAGTACCGGCAGTGGCTGCTCCAATAGTTCCTCTGATGGAGACCTGGTTATTTCTTCTGACCAAACTCGAGGTGAAAACAGTGCAGGAACGTCATCAACCGTAAGCAGAGGTCATTCGAATGGAGGATTGGTTAGCGGCACGAGTATGCTTGAGACGCTCCTGAGGGATAGTCATGCCAAACGACCTTCTGGAACCATAAACATCCGAGTCTCCAGTACGGGCGGACCTTCCGCTATGGAGAACAATAACGTACCAACAACAACCACGAATACCTGCAGTGATGTGAATAACACTGGCACTAATTTGGTTTCTACCAGCTCTCCCCTTGCCAGCTTACTCAGCTCTGGTACTGTCATCACCTCGGGTAGTCAGGTTCGACTCGCTGCTTCTTCTCCGGCCATGCACAGTCATTCATCAAGTGCTGGGGAATCAAATATAGGGCTGGCGTTCTCAGAAGCCAGTAACACTGAGAATTCGGCGTTTTTAATGAGAGGAGGGGAAAATGTTTTTGTGAGCAGTCATAACAGCGGCGAAACTCTCTACACAGCGAATGCATCTCTAATTGATACTGGGGTTGCCCGTGTCGGCAGTGGAGGAGGTACGGTGATGATCGGAGGATCGGCAAGCAGCAGCGTACTACTGAGCTCAGGAGGTACTCTGTCGAACAATGTACTTCTGACATCTGGGTCGTCTGCAACAAGTAATGGCGTCCTTCTCAGTCCTGGTAGTGCCACATCCGATGTTGCGTCCAGTCTGCAACAGGTCTTAGTGCCCGCTCAACTGATTCATGTTCAAACAAGCGACGGTACCACTGGCTTGGGTCTTGTGCATTCGACAGCTTTGGATATTAGACTTCCTGCTGGCACGCGAGTAATCAAATCCAGTGGGTCAAGTTCACTCACAGGAGGCACTGTTTGTCGACCTGGTACTTCTGGGACTAACACTGCCGTTGTTGCGACATCTTCCCTCGGTTCTCCTGCTCGTCACGTCAATCTATTACAAAATGTTAAGATTGTGCAGAATAGACAAATAGTGCGCACTCTTGTAGTACCGAATTCAGTAACCTTGCAAGGAATAGGATCTCAGCCGCAAGGAACCCAATTACTTACAATTAGTGGCGGTGGTGTAAATACCGGTCTAACAACAGAGCCATTACCTCTTAAAGTAACGACTTCTAAGTCTGGCACGGCTCGATCAATTGGCGCGCCTTGTGGTCTTGTAATACGCACTGTTAGGCCACCGCAGCCGGGCCATGGCTCCGCCGTAGATGCTATAATGCAGGAGAAAGCATCGCGTGAGCGCCGAGTTGATGTTCCAGATCGCGCCCATATTCAAATACGTAGCAATCGAGCACCTACCGACGAAGGGCTTGCTGAGCGACTAAACCGGCATTACCTGAAAACTGCTGGACAATTGAATGCCTCTACAACTGTGCAGAGCGTGGGCACTCAAACACAGACCACGGCCGTAAAAAATACGGCCGGACAACTTGTGAGTCAAGTAGTAATGAACAACTTGGGTGGTACAGCAACTGTGTCGTCTTTACCTACTACTGCCGTTCTTTCTGTGGCTTCAGCGAGCACGTCTCAAGACTCGTCTCTGGGTGCTCTTCCTCTACAACATTCAAGCGCTGTCAGCTCGGAAACACTCGAACAGTTGAGAGAATTTGAATCGGTTTTTGAAAAAGTATCGAACAAATCTACCAAAGATGACGATGAAGTTGTCCCAACCGTCGAGTCTTTCCCAGTTGTTATGACGCCGGTCGCCGCCACAACTACAGGTTCTTCTGAAGAATCCATGATCGCTGCTCAATTGCTGAGCATGGCAAATGAAACTCCCGTCAGGAGTACTCAAAGTTACGTTTATTCGTTACCTTCTTCTAGCTCATCTACAGGATACATATCACTACCGACTACAACGCACGGTGGTACGCTCATTGTCGTCAACAGTCCCAGCGTGGTGACGGCAAATCCTAACACTGGACCTGCCAATTCTCCTCACCATATACCTCAACACCCTCAGCCTCCTGCTTCTCCCGCTCTCTCAACCACATCATCTCACTCGTCCGTTGCTTCATCTCCATCTTCTACTCCAAGCAAGAAGAAACCCCAAGCTGTCTCAAAGCCTAAAATTGTGCCGAATACTACTGTGGTCCCTCCGGGTGGAGCTGCTGCTGCTGCTGGGACTTCTGGGGCCTCTAATGTTGTCCCAACTCCCATTGCAACTGCATCCCATGCTGGGTCCACGTCTATCCCAACTGTTACTTCAACACCGTCGAGTTCTTCAGTTACTAATCCAAAAACGCCTCCCCCTCCGAAAGCCCCGCCTAAACCTCAAGTGGCCAAGCCCCAAGTGGAGGACAACGCCGAAATTCGAGCGCGCGTCCAGGAAATTTTGGATGCATATAAAATGCAGTTAGCGGAAACTCCGCAGCAGCAACCAGCTCCACGCAATAGAAAAAATTGCCCTCCTTCTCGCAGCGATTCTAAGTCGCCCGGAAAGAAGAAAAACTCGTCAAGTGGAAAGAAAATTGACGGATCTTCTACTAACAGCCCTGTTGCCAGTGATCCTGGGACTAGTGCCTCTCCTAGCCCCGCGACTTCGGCTACCTCCACGCCTGGTAATTTGGTGGCTGAGGGTCTGGCTTCTGGAGACTCCTTCATTCAGAGTACAGGCGGTCTCGTCAGTCCAGCTTATAGTGGCAATGCAGACGAAAAAGTAAATATTATTTTAAAGAAAGATAGTCTTTCACCCTGCGTTGTTGTGTCCAATGTCAAGACGGAAAAGAGCGCACCTGTTGGGTCAGTTGGTAGTGTACAAACTTTGCCTCAGACCATCGCTACCGGAGGCCGGATAGTGCAATTCATCCGCACTGGTAGTAAAGTGACGGCCATCACCTCCCGCCAGCCGTTGTACAAGACGAAACACGGTCTTAGCAGCAGCCACTCTGGTGGACCGCCCCCTAATGTTACCATTCAAGGCCACATCAACATGTCTAATATCATGGAAAGTCATCTTGCCTCTCTTCTCAGTGGCAACCCTCAATCGTCTATCGTGGGGAAGAAAATAGGCACGAGCGAGAGCGGTGGGACAGTCCTGTTGCAAACTCACTCTGGTCAACTCGTTCAAGCGAACCAAATCAGCGGGACTGGAGGCAGCGGCGGCGCTACTCAGGTAATTCAATCTATTGGCGGGGGACAGCAGGTGGTGCATTCCACTAGCGGGACAGCACTCGTTCACCTACAGCCTGGACAACAAGTTATTCACACAGCCACTGGTCAAGTCGTGCAACTGGGTGCATCAAGTGCCCTTTTGTCGGGTGGGTCGCAAGGTGTGCAACAAACCGGAATGACATCAGGCAACACTAGCAGTGTAACCTCGGGGGAATCTACGATGCACACAATTGTTCAGAGTGGTTCATGTAAGGTGATTCAAACAAGCGGAAGTGATGCAACCCTTCACACAATTATGCCTGGCAGTTCAACCATCATTCATCGAGCATCTCACGGAGGAGCAGAAGGAAGCAGTCATCTGGTAATCCCTCAGCAACAAGCTATTGTAGTTCAGCAACAACCACAGCATGCAAACATTCTCAGTCCTGGAGTTATCAAACGTACGGTGGCTCGTACATTAGACAGCACCATCACTCACGAGGATGCCTGCGACTCGGACCAAAGTAGTGATGGAGTATCATTGCCTCCATTCTTCACTCTCGCAAAACCATTTCTTGGAGGTGCAAAATCTGGCATAGGCGCGAGCGGGACATCCGGTGGCAGGAAACCAGGCAATGTTGCTTCTGAAACCGCCGCTGTTGTTGCCGCTGCCGTGTCGTTGGCAAATCAGTCCAAGAACTCCATTAACAACGTTACCCTCTATACATTGGATGCTAGTACTGGAATTGTCACCACGACTTCAGGTGGATCATCAGCTCCAAGTCCCTCAACATCGGTTCAAGCTGGTGCCAATGAAGACAGTCGCGGTTCATTCCAGAGCAGCATTGCAGAAGAAGGCGGTGGGCTATACAGAGCCGTCTCGGAAGACTGCGCGACTGTTTACCGCGGGACTGTTGAGGACACTCTAGTGTACTCGGCGGAGAGATCCGCCCTCGATAACAGCGAATCAAATCAACGAGACGATCGCAACGAGCGGAGCGCCATGCTTGTCTCTTCTGATGGCCGCACCAGCTCCCTCGACTCGCTCAAAAGTGATTTAAGTGAGTCCTATTTCTTGCTTATTTTATGCTCGTATGGATCTCGATGACTGCACGTTAATGATTGTTATATACGCCAATAAAATGCAGCAAATTTATTCGTGTTTTTTTTCATGCTTGTCACAGTAAGCTCAAATTTGTTTTTTTTTTGCACTTCGTCATAGGTTTAAATTTTAGATCAATATTCTATATAATTTGACTCAAATTTAATTAATCGCAGGTGGTGAAGAGGTACAGGTTCCTCCTAGTCCCTCGACGCTAACCAAACAGCTGCAAAACGCCTACATGACTGACGCTGCCCTCTCACCTTCTTTGGTGCAACAGCAACATCAGCTCCACCACCTAACCACGTCTATATCTTTGCCTCACGAAATGTCGCTCTCTGATCGGGGAGAAACAGATGCACAAGATATTGCAAAGCATCGCATGCAGCGACCTCACGGACTAATATCAGGACCAGATGGTTCTGACCCCCAACAACAGTCGTCTGAGTCTCCTACTGTGTCGCAAGACATGCATTTCCCGCTCTCCCCGTCAGTTTACCAGTCACCGCATGGCTCCAGCTCCCCATCATGTGTAAGTGGTGGGGTTAACGCGACTTGCGGTGTCGAACACGGTGCCGCAAACAGGTCTGTTCTCATTCAGAGTCCGTCTGGGGACGTGTATTTAGACGGGTCGGGGCCTGCACTCAACAGTCTCGACACTATGCCCCTCGTAGCGGGGATGGAAGGACGAGTTCATTCCCCAGCTCTAAGTGATTTGGTTACCACAGGCACGTTGTTGCCCTGGTCCCCACGGTCGGCCGACTCCATGATGGCACAAAGTCCAACTATACATGACACTTTATCTGCTAACATGGGACTGGATGTGCCGCATTCTTCTGACACTTTGTGTGATTCATCTACGCCTTTTCCTGTGCTATTCTCAATGGAGGGTGACGGTGCAAGCGTTTCTTCGAGTGCCAGTGAAGACTCGCCATTTCAGACGGGTAGTCGACAACATGGAGGACTTGAACAAGGTGACGACTCACCATCTCCTGACGCTAGTTCCGCCGCTGATTCGCTTCAAGAGCGAGTGTCGTTTTCAACTAGAGATCACATTGGGAACATATCCTCCACATGCCCGAGTCCTGTTGGACAAGATTATAGTTTAACCATTGGAGGCAGTAAGCGTGGCATTAACAGATCTTCCACGTATTCTAGTTCGAATATTTGCAATATCTCCTGCAGTGAATATCTCTCCAACAGCATTACTGAGCCAATTCGTGAAACTCCGTGGAGGTTTGAAAGCGTTTTAGTGAGTAATGTTACGAACGTTGGTTCATCACCTCCCCGATGTGCCCTTCTCAACAGCGGCAACTCGGAAGACGAGAATGATGCCCCTCCCTCGTACGATAATTTAAACGAAGCGGGAAACGCCAACGACGTCGACGTTTCTCCACAAAATGTAGAAAATAATCATCACTATGAGAATCAGTCAAATGCTGCGGAACCTCAGCCGGAAATGGAAGAAAATCTCGTGTATGTCTCGCTAGAAAAGAGCTTAGAATCTGAAGAAGTTCTTAATGAAACTGTTCAAACAGAAGTTAAGTCTGAAGAAGTTTCAGAGTCGAAATTGTCTGACACGAATGTGGAAGAAGAACGTAAATTAAACGATGTTGCACCTAAGATTGAAGATGATAAAACCTTCACCGGAAGAGGTAAGAGATCCTTGGGTCGCAAGCGACCTAGCGATCAGATGAACTCTGATCTTGAACACGAAGGCGAGTTTAAACGCCTGAAAGAGGAAAAAGATGAACTTGCTTCGGAGAGCATCGCTTCAAGCTCTGATGTAGCAGCGAGCGATGTTCACGCGTCAGTGGCATCGTTACTCACTCAATCACGTGAGACAGGCAGCAATTCTGATAACGGCTGTGAAAGTTCGGTGAACTCTCCGTCTCAGAAAGTTTTACTGCGTGAGAGTCGTGTTACGCCCAGTGTTAAACGTCGTCGGTGCGGCTCTGAAGTGAACGCTACTGGCAACCCTGATTCCTCAAACACACCACTGGATTCGAATATCCCGGCTGCACCTTTACAATTAACATCTAATTCACGACTGGAAAGCTCATTGCCTTGTCAGTCTCCATCCCCAGTTGGAGGCATGACAACCCGACGGGCGTCCAATAGAGACCACGCCAAGAAACAAAGATGCTCATGCTGTTCTGGAGCCGGAGGAAGTCATCCTGTTTCCGGCTCCGTTAATGCATCTTTTCGTTTAGCAAGTAACCACGAATGCGAACCTCCAACCTCGTCGGCCACTGCCGAGACCTCTGAAGGGACGAGTACCCAAAGTCCATCTTCGTCCAAGTCAAAGTCTCATTCTACTTCATCTTCGATACCTCAGAGCTCAAGTTCGCCCCCTGGAGATGTTGTCTGCCAATCATCGAGCCTACCACCAGTTAGTCAAAAGAAGGGTAACGCAAATTTTGGTCGGCGAACGAGTGCTCGTATGAATAAAATTACTGATGGTGCTGATACCAAAGTCAACGATAAGCGCAGGTGATGATCGTAGAATCATTGTAGAATGTTTATTAATTTCAATGGACTCGAGATCGAATGTATTGTTTTGTACCTCCTCGTGGTGCTGACGCTAGCTTAATGACTTCACGCTCGTTTAATTAAGTTAATACTATATGCCAGACCGTTTCGTTACCTGTTGCTTCTTACATATGTTGCCTAAATATGTCTTGGTTGGACAGTTTCCATATGGTTTCAATATTAAACAGTTTGTCCGTCCTCGCGCCATTCCCTTTAGTAATTTTTCTCCACGTTTCACTGTCACAATGGGAATTTTTTTGAAAATTTCTCATGCCTCGATTAATTTTTTCTTGCGAGTTGAGAAATCAGAACAATGTTAATAACATTTATTGGTGCCAGTTTGCAGTGAGCATCCCTTCAGTCCAGTGGATTGGCGGTATTGGAAATTCTAAATTTAAACTATTTCAAAACTTCATGAACTTGGTGGTATTTGCAAATTCCGTGCATTAACGTCATGTTTCACAGAATTTCTCACTACAAGTGCAGGATAGTAATTTGTTAATTTAAACAAAATATTAGTAAAATTCGAAAGTTCTCACGCGTTTCTCATTTTTACTCGCTAATATAAATTGGTTTGTGATTAGTCGAAACGCTTTGTTTGTTATGGTTCAAACGTTTCGCGAGTTTCTTCTGTTTCTTATAGTGAGAGCTGAAATCGTTTAATCGGAAATTTTTGAGAGGAAGTATTTGAGGGTGAAGTTTATACGACCATCATTACGTATTTTGTTTTTATGTATATTTTGAGCGATGCGGTGCGCCGCATTTGTGTTGCGCTCTCGCCAGTGGAATAATCTTGTTTTTTGGCGACCGCTCATGGGTTACCATTGCGTTAGTAATATTCGTCTGACGGCCCTCGTCTGACGATTTGGCTCCTTATTGTTATTCTCCGTTTTTGTTTCCTCGTGATTTTTATGGAATTTGTTTCTTTGTTTGGTTGTTCATGAGTTTATGAGCCACTTTTTTCACTACACTTTTTTTTGTTATTTCTTACTAGTTTATGCCACTTTGAGTGTTGTATTAATTTCCCGCCTGTATTTAAACACCACTCTCTCTTTCATCTTCATCGTAATTGTATTTATTTATACTATTCATCTTACTGCTAATGATTTTCTATGTCGCGATATAAATGACAAGTCTTTCTGTTTCACCGCAAGCGTACGAATTGTAATTTGCCGCTACAAAATCGTTTAATATAGCTGTATCACCATTCGCTAAATTAATTAATGTTAACTTTGTTTTGCTGCAAGTTCTTGCAAGTCCAGGCATTTATCCAGCAACGTCATCTACTACTCCTTGCGCCTCACGTATTTCAACCTTTACAAAATGTATTTTTGCATTTCGTTAGTCTGCAAATTCGTAAACGCCTAGACTAGCGGGAGGAAGTTCACATTTCAAAGGAGAGATTATTATTCGTATGACGAAGGATTCGCTATTTCTTCGTTATCTCATGGTCTTATTTCATCATTACTCACCGTCCTTCTTCATTTTCATCGAGTTACGTTAATGTATTCATTAGATTTATTGTAACATTAAGATTTTCATTTAGTTTATTGTATTCTACAGTAAGTCGTGTGTTAAGTGCCGTGTAATTTTTTAAGAACCTCGTGGTTCTCCATTTGCTACAATTAATTTAATTTATTCCTAGAACTCTAATATTCTAATAAAAATGATCTTGTCTTTACCTTTGTGACGTGATTTTGTATCTCTCTTCATATTTTACAACAATTAATAATGAGAAAATCTCGAAAAACCTTATTTTTCGAGCAATTCATGTACAAGTTTGTCTATGATCTACTCGATTAAATGTGTCTAACGGTCTATGACCTACTCTTTTATATATAAATATTAGCAAAAGCGCCATTGTTGAAAGCATCCAATTCATCCTGAATGATTTGTCTGATGCATTCGCAATCAGCTTTTGTGCTCGTGGTCGTGACGTTTAACGAGCACCCCACCCGCCACTCTCGTAGATTGCATGGGTGATCACGTAGTTATAGTTCAAACTATGAGAGCACGAATTATAAATATTTATGAAAAGTGATTTTCTCCGATGAAAATTTCGGATATCACTCGTGCGAATTTTCTGTTGGTTTTTCCTTTTGGATTTTTGTTTATGACGGACCGAATTTTTATCGTTTGTAAAAGATTGACCGGATCTGCATCTGGAATTATTCAGAACTCTTCAAGCTTAAATTTTGCTGTGTTGAAGTACTTAGGAAGTGTTCTCAAAAATCCAGTTATGAGCTAAATCAGGTGTATTTTTCAACATTTTTTCGTTATCTGACGCTCTGTCAAGCAAAATGTTTAGGTAATTGTTTTCCTCGGAAAGATCTTGCGATTGAGACTATAGCTGGAGGCTATCTTCTCAGCAGGGATTTTATGAAAAAATAACTTCTGAAGTTTATTTGCCAGGTGTTGAGTTAGACTACTTAATGGTCTAGCATGTTCAGTAGTTGTGATAGCTTTAACTCAGCGAATAAGCATTGATAGCTAGATCACAATTATGTCACAAAGTATTATAGGACCCATGTCTTTTGCACTTGTCTCTTGCAGGTCTTTGCGTAAAGATCGTCTCGATACGGTTATATATAATTGATTCTCAAAGATGTTCTACATTTCGAGTTACTTTGCTACAGTGTCCTTGCCTGCTGTAAATCGATGCTAAGATATTTAAATGTATTTCAAGCTAACGCGTGCCGTATCTAACTCGTTTTCTGCATTGTCTTGACTGCTTAGCGTTTGAAGTGTTGTCGCAAAACTTTGCACGTTTCCAAGACTTGATGCCTCAGGTTCGGCGAGTGTAAACTAGTCTTAACTCGGCTGGCGAGTTTAACATATAGAGGGCATTAGTAGCACACAGTGATAAACGTTACTCACTGTAATCTCGAGATGTGTGCACCGGCACCGCTTGCATTTGTGGATGAGTAGCACGGAGTAAACTAATTCGTGTTAGTGATGTAACTAAACGAGGGCTGAGCTTACCCACTTTCTTTTCATAATTCTACTGTGCTTGACTAGGAATAGATGTGCGAGCGAAACGTTGCTAAATAAAGATATTACTATTCGTGTTTTGAATGTTCGCAGACATTTTGCAACACTGCGAGCTTCTCATAGGAATGAGTGTTTACTTCTTAGAAAGTCGCCGGATTCTTCTTGTATTGGTCTGTATATTTCTGTACAAATTTTGAGCTGTTCGTTGTAGTAGTGGCCAATGTACAAATAAGTACTGCCTCTCAATGGTTGAAATGTGTCGACCATAGCCTCCAAAAGAACGTCTTATGTTTTTTCTTAATTTCGTAGCGGGCGCTTGTAATTTGCTATTATTTCAGCTTACTACGGAATCTTCCAACTATTTAATGTTTAGCTAAAGGAATAGTAGTTGGTCTTGAGAGATATTTTCTCCAATCTTTACTCGTGTATCTGTACAGCCATTTGTGAAGTGTAAAGAGCGGCTTGTGTACATTGTTGTGTATAAATGATTCCCTTGCTTAGTCCGTACAGTCGCTGCATAAAATATTACTCTTGGGTTCTTCCTTTGGTTTTCTTGATGTAGTTTTCGAGAGAACTTACGTACGTGAAGTGCGTGCTGTTTTGTGATTTTCTAGTCCATTGTTCGAAAAGAGATTGAGTGAACGGATTATTTGCTATATTTTAACAAATATCTGAAGATTTTCTGCGCGTTGATGATAAATATTGCCTTCAATTATTTTAATTTTTTAACCATTCGATGGTTTCACATTGTTTCTGGTATCTTGGGCGGTCGTTCAAGGGTAATGATTTATGTTTGTAAGCGCTGCATTTTTTAAAATGAATTTTTCATCTGCGTTTACTCGATAGGGATGGCAATTTATTTGTTTAGTTCTCACTTTGATGTTATTGTGGCTCTCTTTCGCATCGGTTTCTTTTTGTACCGCGCTTGCCGCAGTAGTCTTTCGATTTTCCTGGGCTGATAATCATATATTCTCGGATTGCGCAGATTCTTACGACGTAATGTTTTTCTTTTCAATCAATATCGTATGCTTATTTTAACAGTCGGCTGTATCCATGCATTTCATTTTCTAAGCGAGAGATGGAGTTTTGGGTTCTCAGTGCTAAATATTACTGATCAAGTAGCAAATTACCTGTTCAGCCACTCCCGCTTCTGTTTTAGAACTACCTGAGTATTAGCTTACTTGATTTATATATTACTGGAGTGATATAGCGTTGCTCTCGCCGTTTCACGAGGATTTCATGTTTTAGTAGGTACCGTAGCGAATACTATTTCAGAGCGGCTGGACATGTTTCATAATAAAGGGAATTACTTGGTGTTCATGAAAGAGCGCGTTGTGAGCTTGCGGAGAAAACTCGTGATAGTCTTCAAGGCGTATATCCATCTTATTTATTATAGATTGAGAACCTCTGAATTTTGAAGGCTAATCTCAAGATTTATCGCCAGCGAGTAGGACGGCGTCGTCTACAGTGCAGTTTTGTCTTTTAATAAATTATTCAAATCAAATTAACACTCTTGATCTGTTACCTAAAAGTTGGCTTTTCTTCAGATAATAGCTACATTATGTGGTGATGCATGGCAGCCTGCGCTGGTTCAGCAATTCTCAGGCACGTAAACATGATGCAATTTTACCGTTTATATAAGAACTCGTCGAAATTATAGCAAATTACGATTATACATTTGATGATTTGTAGTCTTTTCAGTATCAGAGCTGCTCATAGCGAATGCGATACGAAAACATATACGATATAAAAAAGCATGAAGTTAACACTTCATGTTTATTCTACTCTACCGATACAACTGTCACAAATTTAACAAAAATTACATAATAATGAGATTGCAAAAAAATAAATTGAAACAATCTATTCGTAGTTAAATCAGCGGGAGACTCCCACACGCATAGTTGCTAAATTGCCGGCAATTTCCTATAAATTTTAACAGTATGCTAAGTCTAGGGAAATTTTCACAAATGAACTTCAAGCCGGCATTGATATTGTTAATATTTCCTAATTATATTATATTCCTTCACACACAAATTCAATTAATGAATTCTTTAAACGCTCTCATTTAAATCGCAAATTTGAAGTCAGTTAGAATGGAGGGCAAGTCGTTCGAGTACGTTAATGTCAGCGAGAACCATCTGCATCAGCTGTCTGCTCGAGGCGTCCGTTGCAGGGTCATTCTCCAGGTCATCTGTGATGCCCATTTCTTCCTCGAGCTCTGATGAATCACAGAGAATGTATTAAAATTTGTCGATAACATGTAAGCAGCTCTTGAAGCAGACAAATAAAATCAACCAAAATACTTGAAAATGCTCAAGGATCTAGAAAAGAAATGTGATGAATTATCATGACTCGATAGAATGTTCATTGCAATCTGAAAGAAAGTCGATAAATTGAGTTTTACAGTGACAGACATGGAATTGACACTCCACATTTCTTCATAAGGGTAGCATATACATTTCCTTCGTGTCCACATGAACCCCAATTTCTCCAAACTCTGTGTAACTTTTTTCTACGAATTTTCAATTGCATTTAAAAAAATGTTCCTTGCATTGAATGTATGAAATAAATATATATATTTTTGTTCAAGTTACATGAAGTATTTTCTGTAAATCATTAGGAATAAATAAAGTTTATCTTATGATGCCACGTCTGTATCGATAAGATCTCAAAAAAGGCCAGTTTTTAGATCGCCTGTGAATAAGTCACGAAAAGTACACGAGTCATCGACAGGCCGAAAATATTAAACTATTCTTATGTTTGCAGCCGAAACTTACTTGAAATTTCTGCCTCAATAGCGTCGTAGGCTCGTTCCAGCGTGTCTTGCACCGCTTGTACGTGACTTAGTAAATTTAGTTTACACTTCACAGGTTCAATGCGCTCAGCTTCAGGGAATGAGACGTTGGAGCCTGAACAAAAAAAAGTTTCACATCTTAGCAAAAGTGAAAATGTTAAAACAAGAATTAGTTCCGTCTAAATTAAATTCTTCGAAACCCATAAACACCAATAATAAAATAAATTATACCAAGCAGCTAAAATTGGATGGCTACATGTTATTATAGTAAAACTTGGCCTCGGTCAATCATTACATACTTGTGCTTTGTGCTGTTTGGTTCGCAGATAAGGTTGGGAGGACGAAATGGTCCAGCGAAGGTGCGTTGTTTCCCAGTAAAATTTCGTTCAAATCCAACGCCAAGTCTGACGTGTCCAAGTCAGCATTGTCACCTAAATCCAAAGCGTCATTTCCGTCAGGTGTTGATCCTGAATTTTCAGCCGTGTAACCGACTTCATTATTCACAGGTGATGGATAAATGGTTGTAATATCATTTATATTCGTAATGGATGAGGGTGCTGTCGAGAGGGATGTAGGCGCATGCGGGAAAGATGCAGATACAGCTAGAAGGCAGGTAGGTACGTCTGGTAGGGCTGCATCATGAAGACCAGCGATTACATTCGAAAGGGAGGCGGGTACATCCATGAGGGAAGTGGCAGCTTCCGGCATGGAAGTAGTTGCCTCCGGCACGGCAGTGGTTGCTTCCGACACGGAAGTGGTTGCTTCCGACACGGAAGTGGGTGCCTCCGACACGGAAGTGGTTGCTTCCGACACGGAAGTGGTTGATTCCGACACGGAAGTAGTTGCTTCCGACACGGAAGTAGTTGCTTCCGACACGGAAGTGGTTGCTTCCGACACGGAAGTGGTTGCTTCCGACACGGAAGTGGTCCGACACGGAAGTGGTTGCTTCCGACACGGAAGTGGTTGATTCCGACACGGAAGTAGTTGCTTCCGACACGGAAGTGGTTGCTTCCGACACGGAAGTGGTTGCTTCCGACACGGAAGTGGTTGCTTCCGACAAGGAAGTGGTTGCTTCCGACACGAAAGTGGTTGCTTTCGGCACGGAAGTGGATGCTTCCGGCATGGAAGTGGTTGTTTCCAGCACGGAAGTGTTTGCCTCCAACATGGACGTGTTTGCCGCAAGCACCGAAGTAGATGCTTCTGGTACGGAAGTGTTTACTTCCGAAATGGAAACGGTTGCTTCCGGTGCGGAAGTGTTTGCTTCCGGTACGAAAATGGTTGCCTCCGGTACGGAAATGATTGCTTCTGGTGCGAAAGTGTTTGCTTCCGGTGCGGAAGTGCTTACTTCCGGCGCGGAAGTGGGTGCATCCGACACAAAAATGGAGGCATCCGGCACGGAAGTGGGAACATCGAGGGTGGAAGTGGTTGTTTCCGGTACGGAAGTGGGAGATTCTATCAATCGTGATTCTTGAACACCATCCCCAAAGGACGTAGCTGCAGTGTTGGATCCTTGGCTTTCACTTGTTTGAAGTTGAACATGACCTGAAATTGAATTGCGGACGCTAACTACTTCGATTTTATACATTGAAGATTCGGATGGCACTGCAAAGCCTACTTCACCACTTGATGAAGTATTTTCATTATTTGTAGTCAACTCGTCCGGTAAAATAGAAGTTGTTGTCGTCTGAGCGAAGTCCATTACTTGATCACTGACAGCGCCATCACGATTCGTTGGCGTTTGTGTGGAAATAGACGTGCCTGTTTGATCGCCAGGGAAAAGAACATCGAGGTTATAATTTTTCTCAGTGGGAAGAACATCTGGTTTGTCCTTATTCAGGTTTCCCACTAAAAGTGACGATTCCTTAGATTTTTCAGAAGTGGAAATACTCAGTTGAAGATCGAAATTAGAATCATTCTTATTGTCAACACTGCATTCCCCTGTTGTTTCAGAGCCACTATTCAGGTCTTGATTAGCGTTTGAACCAAGATGAGCACTAGAAAAGTCGGAATGCTGGCCACTAACAGTTATTTCCTTCGTGGCTTTAGTTTCAATGCTGCCGTGTGCAATCGTTGTATTGTCAATATCTTCTCGACGGAAATGAGAATTTTGCTGAACACACGAATCGTCCCCGTGCTCAGTATCATACACGTGACTTGCAAATTCGTCGCCATCCTTAGATTCCCCAACAAATATTTTGCTTGATTTTAAAATCAAGTTTTCGATGTGGTCATTGTTCGTGCCCGAATCCTCTGAATTTTCGGCCTCTCGCAAACAATGTGCGGTTTTCTCACTATTATCAGCCCGAGTTTCATTTGTAGCATCCAGAGAAGGACAAGATTCAGGAGGAACAGACATAGCTGCAGCACCGACTTCATCTGACATTGAAGCAAGACTATTAGATTCCAAACCAGTTACAGGCAATGTTGCAATCGTATGCGTTGACACTCCCAAAATAGATGAGCTTACTGAAACTATGGTTGCGGCAGTAATTGGTGTGGCTAAAGATGAAACTTGCTGTGTAGAAAGTGATAATGAATGATTCGAAGTAATTGCGGGGCCAATGGCTTCCGACACCATTGGCAATGAATTAATGTCGATGGTAGCCCCAAGATCCTTTAGAATTGAATTATTAGCCAGGTTATTTGAGGAAGCTACATGGGCCATAGTGTCCATGCTAGTTCCATTCGAAAAGGGTAATGGAACCAAGGAGTGTACAGAAGGTAGGCACTGTGATACTTGAAACTGAAGTGCAGACATGCTTGAAGTGCAGGAAGAAGGTAACATTGAAAGATCAGCAGTAATGCCGGTAGACACATTGTAAGGTCCCGAACTAGCAACTGTGCATTGCAAAATATTCGAGAGGTGAGACGGAAGATCCAGAGGACTGCTGACCAATGAAACTGTATCCAACATTGAAGAAGTGACACTCGAGGCAAAAACAGGAGCTAGGAAGTTTTCATTACCAGAGGGCCCCATATTGTCCTGACCTTCGAAAGGGCTGTCAACTATCAAAGAAGATTGCAACGAAACAGCAAGTTGCTGCACTTGAGGTTGCATAAAGTTGGTCATGTTATTTACAGTAACATCTTCTGATGATACGAATGGGGAAGCAGCCACAGGCGCCGAAGGTACAGAAGTAAGAGACAATGACATATCTTCAAAGTGTGATGGCACCGACACTTGGTGTGAAGGATTGAGTAAAGGAGCAGGATCCATGATACACGAAGAGTTCGGCATAAGGGACGACACTTCCTCGAAAACAGTGTTAGTTTGCATCAGGATTTTGTCAGCAGGCATGAGAGGCTCCATGTCGATTATGTCGCGGATGAGAGCTGCATCATCTTGAGTTAGGGAAGTCGATGATGGTAATGTTGAGTGTGAAAACAACGTCCCTGGTATTTGAGGCAAATAAGATTGAAAGGCGGTGACAGGTATCAGAGGAAACGTTGATGGCAACAATGGCAGTATGGACGGTATAGAGCCAGGCGGCCTGGGATCAGCCCACTTCTTATGCCACATCACAAGCTTCGGATGATCCGGTTTCCTACAACAAAATCAAGATAATGCACTACGAACCAGATCTACCTCTTACTGGCCATATGTCAAGGTCATATTATTCATTCATATTGTGATGCAATACGTTATACTCATTTTGTAGCAAGTGTAATAAAAACGTGCAAGAGATCCTAACTTGGCGATGGCAAGTGTGACGTTTAGAGCATGCAGAACACGTCGCTGCTGGAGCAGACAGGCAGAAAGTTCATGGCCACGCTGTATGGCCATCTCCAGTCTCTTGCTCCGTCCATCGTCGTCAGAAGAAAACGAAAACCTGACCGAAATATAAACTATTTAGGTGGATGAAACAGCAGAGAAAATGATTCCGTAACTGAAGTGGACTTGTAGACCAACAGTCTCTTTATTTGAATGTAAAAGAAATTAATAGAAAACAAAAACCAGCCACAAGTATAGAAAAATTTAAGAGGAGGTTAAAGACTTACAGTGCAGAGTTCATGATTTAGCAAATGAAATGGACCGGTGGACGCACGGTCTTTTTATTTAAATTAAAGGGAAATAACGCGTGAATCAGTTAACACTAGCTAGCTTAAAGATAATTTAAATGTAAAAATATTACTGCTATGCTGACCCAAAAGAACTATAAAGCTAATTATGACACGGACCGTATTCATATAGTATCGAGATAAGTTCATTAAAAAACGTATTTCGGGACTCGTAAATAATAAATATTTCCTATGATATTCATCTACAGAACTAATAACAACATTATAATACAAAACATTTATCTTAAAAGCAAAGAAAACACCAAGCAAATTCACCATATCGATATTGAAAACGTTTCGGAGTCCAGCTCCATCATCAGTTCGAAAAACTAAAAATTAATAAAATCATATTATTATACCAAAATTCTAAGACAGACATAAAACCTTAACAAAACCTAACATTACGGTATATCGAAAAAAAAAAACAGAACTCGATTGGAACAACTTAGTCCTAGGGTTCACGAAAAGAATATAAAAGCCTAGCGATTCACTATTACTAGATTATATGCACTAAACGCATTATTAGTGTTTTCTTTGCTTTTAAATTCCTTGTGAACTTGCGATATAAGCAGACTGAAAATATAAAAAACATTAATCTTGTGCTAGGAATTGAACGTGTCTTACTTGGGTATTGTTCCGTCCTTAAGAGGTAGAGTCTGCTAGATTTATAGGACATAAAACTAGTAGATCTATTGATAGTGCTGTGCACTGTGCAATCAGCTACCTATCTGATATGTGACTTCAATGTTTAGGAGATCTGCATTCCTGAACTGTTTTTGTATGTTGAAGCCAGTTAAATGGTCAATATTTAGCTCATTACCTTGCTCCATACAAACTTTACAAAGCTAATGAATAGACTTATCACTAATTGTTTTCCCGAAAATCCCTAAATGGTGAACACCACCTTGGCCTGTTGGCCATTATTGAAGGCAATAAGAGCCCTTATTAGCCATCCATTATGATCCATATACTGTTATTGTTAGTAGGCTAATTGCAACATAAAAAATAACACCTCACAAATACAAAAAAGCTGAAAAAATCAAAAAAATCAAAAAAATCAAAAAAATCATGAAAAAATCAAAAAAATCATTGATTTTTGATTTTTTTGATTTTTTTAAAAAAATAAAAAAAAATCGCCAACCCTGCTAGGGATTGAACGTGTCTTACTTGGGTATTGTTCCGTCCTTAAGCCAATTGCGGATCTGATGGTCGAAGCGATGACTGCTACGTACACGCACGGGGTTTGTACACATGGAGCACACATACTTCTCGGGCACTGCTTCTTTGCCTGATCAAAATAAATCAGTCAAAATCCCACTAACATAAGAAATCATTCACTAGTTTTTTTACATGATTATTTACAGCAGATGAAATAAGGTAATCAGAATAAGAAAATAGAATATGACCTAAAATAGGGAGGGCCATTAATTATAAACTTCCCCAGCCTCCCAGAGGTAATGTTAGCAGTGATGGGAAACTTATTTATCATATGGCCCGTCTAGTAAATTATAGCAGTAGAGGTTAATGACAGGCTAAATCAAACGATCTTTCAGGAAATCTCGAGTTTTTTTTAAAGATTCAGTCTACTACTTAGCTTAAGCTTAATTCTAATAATGAACCCCCAAAACTGGATCATGAAAATTTGTTACGGGATAATAACTTCTTTGAGAGAGTAGAATGATTTTATCAATGAATCCCCACAGCACCTTTGGTATAGAAACGAAAAATGAAAGAATCACCAATGGAATAGCACTGTGCATGTTGCCAGCACATGCACAACAATGAAAGACTCACCAATGGAATAGCACTGTGCATGTTGCCAGCACATGCACAACAATGAAAGACTCACCAATAGAATAGCACTGTGCATGTTGCCAGCACATGCAAACATCACATTGGAGCATGAGCCCATCCTCCTCGGAGGAACCACAGCAGCAGTTGATGATGTGGCGATGGCCAAATTCATCGTCATCCTTGTCGTCCTCATGCGCGTCGTCCGTGGCTTCTGCCTCGCTCGTATCATCGTCCGCACTGGCGACCGTTTCAGTGTCTGAAATTGCAAGAATATAATTGAAAAAGGCGTTGTGATATTTCTACATCATGAACTTGAATGCATAAAAAGTTCTGTTTTATGAATTTGAATGCATATAAAGTCCAGCGTTTTGAATGTGAATACAGAAAAAATCCCGCAATGTAAATATGAATGTAGGAAAAGTTCTGCATAATGAGTCTGAATGCATGAGAAGTTCTGCATTTTGAATAGACCGAAATTTCGATGATATTTATAGGAATTCTCTCCAAGTGTTTACTGACAGAGAAAAAATTAATAACCGAGTATGTAAAAATGCTAGTGGTAATATAGGAATATCAACTATTGGGCTACATTGTGGGCTAGACATACAAAAAACCTGAAAAATATGTAAGTGCACAACCACACGGCGAAAATTTGTATACGAGGCATGCATTGGAAAAATGCAGTTTCAATGCTGACCCATGTTCTGAAGTTTGTTTGACACCAAGACGGAACGTTTTTTTCCAGTAGGCACCGAAGGGAAGCCCACGAAGTCGCTCTCTTCATCACTGTCGGTCTGCAGCACTGTGCGGGTTAAACAATTGTCAGTCAAATGTCAATGCAAATGTTCCTATTCAAAGTGGCAATTTTCGCGAATTAAGAAATTAACTTTCAGTATCTAATATAATCATGGAATGTAGAGCAAACTATCGGGTAGATGTTCTAAAATTGTAGCTTAATTTGTATAAGCCATGTAACACTTTGGTAGGCAAACGTACAGATGTTGTCATTAGCAGTGGACGCAGCGTCGCCTGTCGTGGAGTCTTGATCAGCCGTCCAGTCGGAGTTGTGGGCTGGATCTGGACGACGCAAGTCCACGGAATCGGTGTCTACAGAGTCAGAATCGTCCATGACGTTCACAACAGCTGTGGACTGAGCAAACCTTAAGTCGTTTAAGAGGCAGGCCGATAAGAACAAAGGGGAGTAGGCCGAAAAAAAATCATTCAAAAGTCTTATCTGAAACCAATTCTTATGCTCAAAATTCTAGAATTTTTCAATTGAACATTTTCACCAATTATGCTTGAAATTTTCAGAACAGTGAAAAATCTATTTATGCATTCCAATAATCTAATTGTGAAATTTATTATGTTGATGGCGAACCTTGCGACGGTTGTAGTCCTTGGAAGGCTCCAGCCGCCGGCGCTTGCCCTCAGGAACGGCTCCAAGACTGTGGCGTTTGCGACGTCGATCCTGTTTTGCAAATTTAATTTCATACTCATTAATGTCAAAATTAGTTTTCAACACGAAATAACGAAATCGTTAATAATTTAGACGCAAAGATATTTTGAAAAATATTCGGTTTAAAATAAACTGATGCACAAAGCCCCTCATCCTAAGTGCTTAAATATAACACGGTAAAAATAAGTATTCAATCTTAAAAGACACAAGATATATAGGTATATCAGGCAAAGAAATATTAGAATTAGCTCAATTAATTTCGGGTTTGGCATCAATGACACACAAGTGGAATACATACACCAGCTCCTCTCTTGTCGGCCTCCAGGAGTCCCTCCACAGTTCTGGCATAGGCGAGGTCAGCCACATTAGGAGCGGAGGACCCAAGGCGATAACTTGACTCTGGATGGTAGTGCTTGATATGCATCTAAGAAAATATAATATTAGACAAATCGTATTATACAATTAGTTTAATATCTTTTACTAAAGCCAGCAATTTCGGATGGGCGGGCTAGAATAGGTATCAGAAGGCAGGAAAAGACATTGTAAAAATAAAAGACATAAAGCTTGATGCTACATAACCTGACAGTGCAGTAAGTCAATAGAACCACAATGAAAGCAAATATTGTCTTTGTAAATTACCTACGATGCGTGGCGTTAGCCTAGCAACCTAATGTCGCTAACACGAAGAATGCCATGCTTAAGTTCCAAAGTTTCCTAAATTCCAAAGTTCCAAAAGTTTCCTAGTTCCCTAGTTAACATTGTGTCCACCACTGGCAATTGTTGCTTGGGTCAATTCATATGGCAGCCTTCATGAGCTTTAGGGGCTTCTTCTGAATTAGTTTAGATCTGTTAGATCTTTAGATTTCAATATCTTCTGAATTTAGTTTAGAATATTTTAAATATCTTTCACTAAACAGAAAAAGATGAAACAACTACAGTAGCTAAGAAGGGAATATTTGGCCGCGCAACACCAGTATAGCAGGAATGTTAGGTTATTTAATAAGTACTTACCTGCAAAAGATTGTCATTTCTGAATATTTTGTTGCAGTTCTTCACGACGCAGACATGTTCTCCCACTGACACACCTGGGCTATCTGTAATACCAATTAATATCTATGTTAATATTCCTTATTTGAGCCTCAACTAATTATAAATGGAACTATTTTATTTTATAAAATAACTGGCTGTAGTATGAAATGATAAGAGAAGGCACCATACCGGTACATCTTTAAAGCACTATTTCCATGTTTCATTGCAAAAAATGATACATAAATTTTTTTAACAAAAATGAGCTCGAACTAGTCTTTCTAATCTACAGTGAGTGTTTGTCACGATGGTTATGCTGAATTTCATCACAGGAGTACACTGGCTACGAAATACGAATTTTACATATTCTGCCAGATCGCTTCTTTGTTTATTCTCTAGCTGTTCCTTAAAGGAGAAAAAATCTTCATAGCAAAAATCCTATAATAGCAAATTCAATGTTTTTTTCAAGTTTTCTAGCCGTAGTTTAAAATATTAATAGTGCGGTATAAAAAAAATCTTTACCGTACGAAGCAGTGCTTTTTTTTTGCTGCTGAATAACTGACAATTGTCTTTTTTTATAAGTTTTTCAGCACCGAAAAGGGAGGTTGCAGTTTAGATACCGTATGAAGGCAACAATATTACCTACACCTTTCTCTGTAAGGACTTTCATGACATTTGAATTATAATGAAGAGATGCTCTGCTTACTAGTTTCTCTGAGCGGAGGAGCAGGTCGTGCTTTCAAAGGAGAGGCAGGAGCCTCCACCAATGGCGAGCGTTTGACTGGCGATTCGAGCAGAGGCGAGTTTTCTCCGCGGACTTCGCGACCAACCGCGATGGGGATTTCTATTTTTATACGACAAGGCAGGGAGGCGCGAGAGGCTAGATTATGACTAGAAGTGTTGCTTTTGGAGTCAATTCGGCCCTGGCGGAGAGAAGTTCGGTGAACGTTACATCAAAGCTTTTCGATGATAGGAATTCATTTAATACAAAAATGACGTTATACCTTATTCAACAAATACTCTGGTATACAGGCAAGAGGGCAAATGAGAGCAACACGTACACACAAGTAAGTGAGAACACCAATGTAGCATTAAAAAATCCTGCCTCAAAAAATCCTCAGAATATATATGTAAATAAAAAAGTTCATGCATTGTATACTAACGTGTATAGTTTTATTGGGCTGAGATTGAGGCGAAAGCACGTCTAGTTCATCGTCATCGCTGTCGCTACTACACACTCCCATTTCATGCTCCTCGTCATCAAGGATTAAAGAAGACGAAGACACAGCAGCAGTGGACGAAGGGACAACAGCAGCAGACGAAGGGATAACAGCAGCGGACGAAGGGACAACAGCAGCAGACGAAGGGATAACAGCAGCGGACGAAGGGATAACAGCAGCGGACGAAGGGATAACAGCAGCGGACGAAGGGATAACAGCAGCGGACGAAGGGATAACAGCAGCGGACGAAGGGACAACAGCAGCGCTGTTGGCTGCAGACGAGGTTGAAGAGGATGCAGAGTCTTGAGACGATTCCGCCAAAGTAAGAGATGAAGGCCGCGTTACAGGACTAACGTCCGTTCGTCGTTTACTTTTTTCATTACTTATCTCGTCGTTGGCAAGAACTGGTGTTTTCTTTTTAGGTCTTAACACTTGCTCAGACGATCGTGTTGTTTCTTTAACGCTCAAGTCAAGCTGCTCGGACGAAGGAGGATTGGTAACAGAGATTGGTTGTACACTGCTTGATATTTTTGGCCACAAGAAACCTCTCATTTGTGTGGGCGTTTCAGCGGTATTCTGTGCGGGACTGTCCCCAGTTTTCTTGTGCGAGGCTCCCGAAGAACGCGTCTTCATGGACGGTGTGAGAGGGACGGGGTTGACAGGAGCAGGAGACACTAACGTGGATGGCAAAGCAATTGTTCTGCTCACGCCTACTTTAGCCGTGCCCACTGAACACACCTTCATGTGCTCAAGCATTGCGTCTGTGATGGGTAGAAGAATAACCACATTACACGAGATTATTTATATAATTTAATGAAGATACTACAATGAAAGTTTACCTTATTGATACATAAAACATATATGTCAAATAAACCTATGAGTAAACCTCTACTTGCATTAACTAATCATATCCAATTTAAACGGTTTAAAGGAAATAATGAATTTCCAATTCTATTTTGATGAACACATCTAACATCATATAAACTTCATCATTCAGCAATGTCTCACAAATGCTTTAAAAAGTAGCTCAGAGTTTCTTTCGGTATCGAATAATTCTCAACATCGTAGTAAATTAGGCTTGTGACCTAAGTGTCTTTGGTCCATTTTAGTTGTATATATTACCTTTAACGCCGGCAGCAGTGAAGTCAAAGCTGGCGACAAGGCAAGGTAAGGTGTTATTCTCTGCGTACGCGGAAAGGTCGCGTTTATTTCGGATGACACTCCCATCTGGTCTGTACAACACACCATTACACATTAGATTTGTTTGTTTGGTTAAAAAAATAATATATAGATTTGCTTAGGAAATCCATATAAGAAAAATTTGGTTTCAAGTGCAAACAAAACAATTGATAGTGCAAATTGTCAGCGCAGAAGCCACAGATCCTGGCTGGAAATGGAAGACTTCACTAGATTGACTCACGCAAAGTATGCTACGTCCCAGCTGTCCAGACCGGTGTACGGCAGACGACGGCTGTATTGTTTCCGCCAGCCGGGAAAAGAGTTTTCTTTGACAACGTTGCAGCCTGTTCAGATCATAGCTGGGGTAAAGATGGTGACCAAAATCCAGGTGCAACAATTTGGTCAAAAAATCTTTGAGGTAAACACTGACAAAGCTCATGTTCGATTCGGATATGCTTGGTTTAAGAGAGACCAACTTGTAGGGAGAGAAGATTTAACGAAATTCAAGTTTTATTGGGTATGATATTTTAAGCATTCCCCCCATTGTTCTGATACGTTTATTTCACATGTACAACCCAAATAAACTTGAGTTGGATCAGGTTAAATTTGTTTTCGAATAAAATTTAAAATTTCACTGATTAATAATTCAGTCATTATGAACAAACCACTATTTCGTACTTGTGATAGTTGTTATAATAAAAACAGTATTGAAAATGCTTTCATGAGAGTATGAGACACTATGACAGACAACAAACCATGCTCTTCCGCCCAACGGCTCAACTTTCGGTACAATTTTGCAAACGCGTTAATGAGTAAAATACAATCAGGACTCTAATTTGAAATTTAATAAATTTGTAAAGTAGACATTATAACGCCTTTGTACGTTATGGCAAGCAGGCAATTACGGAGATAATTGTCATCAATGACGCACCGTGTTTCTCCCAAGACAACATGCAGTCGTCGGCCACGGGCGCACGACGAGTCGTTGAGAGATTTGCCAGCAAGCTTGGTTTTGGTGTCACAGAAGTCTTGCTGGGTTTGGCCTTCTTTACTGACATCTTCACTGGAGGAGTCAAGAGTGATTGGGCCAGTTCAGAGTTGGTGTTTGTAGTGCTGGGAGGCTGCAATGACGTCTGCTGTTTCGAAAATTCTTGATTTGGGGTCTCAAATTCTACAGCTTGTATTTTCTTCTTCTGAAGATCTGGTTGATCAGGAATTTTTGATTTTAATGTCGCGGGAACTGATGGATGAGCGTGAGATGAAGTGGAAGAAACCTTGGGAGTCGTGTTAGCAATTTTGTGCCCTTTAACCAAATTTGAAGGATCAAGAATACTGGGACTAACGTTACTAATCTTGTCTGGAGAGGAAGTCAAGTCAATGTCATCTAATACACGATGACGGGTGACTTTCGGCAACAGAGATTGTGGCGGATTTTCACACATAAGCTGGCTTGGCCCAAAATTTGACAAGCCGGAATGCGGGCTTGGATATTCTTTCGTAGCATTGACAGGAGAAGTAGCATCAGAGTCACCAATAACAACAGTACCAGGGACTTCATCAACTGTGGCATTAGAGGCAATGGTCTTAGTGGACTCAGAAGCAGAACTATTTCGAGGTACAGGAGCAGAAGTGGGCGTCAGGGGAGTAGAAGTAGTACTGGAAGGCGTAACTCTGGTAGTGGACGTTTTTGTTGATGTAGTTGAGGGCGACGACTCATGGTAGACAAATGGAGATGGAGTGGTTTCTGACAGCAGCCGAGTTGATCGGGTTGCCAATGGACCCTGTGTTTTGAAATAATTAGTTATGATGAACACTCATTTCCACAAAACATTACTTCTTGTATGGGATCTCGGTAGACGATTACCAAATCTAATGGTTGCTTCAACAATTAAGAAGAAACGTTGATACTTGTGGAATTTCTTGTTCAGAAACAAACTCAACAGATATGATTACAATTCTTAAAAAAAATACATTATTAGTGATTCAGAAAAATTGTGCCTTATTCAAAGTCTAACTTTTGCCAAGAATAAATGTGAAATTTATCTATTTATAATCAGATGACTTAATTTCAGTACATGTACAGTAGCTCACTTGAATTGATCTTCTCTTGCGGATGGAGTCGAACATTTCGACAAACTCGGCCTTCCTTTTCGGTTTTCGTTTTTCCTCGCATATGTCGACATCAAAGATACTCTTCTTGCTAGTTCCTTTAGTGAACAAATAAATCAGTACAAAAGACTCGAATTATTCATATGTTATTCTCATAATATTAATTATAATCACATTATTCATGCACGCTTCGAAATGAGATGTAAGGTAAAAAGTAAAGTATTGTGACCTGAAAATTGGCATCTGGTTTCCAACACAGCAACAATTGCAAAGAAATATTTCTAAATATTTATCTTGTTATTACACTCACATATAATTTAACATACTTTTAAACTGCTCTGATAAAAAATGTGCATGTTATACATACATGCTTAAATTACACCTCAAATACCAGACAATTAAAGGAAATTCACGTGAGAGAAAGCATGAATATAAGTAATACTTAATATATTAATTAACGTAATAATACGAAAATTTTTATATTTTTTAATTCAGATTTATCGTTGGAAGTTGCACTATTCGTTCAATCGTAGCTTGTATATACATTCCTGCTTGCGATATCAGTATACAACCCGGTTGAATTAGCCTGCATAAGAACAAATTTCTTAGTATTAGGCATATCTTACCAGGTGTAGAGGCAGCTGGTGCTGATGTTGGGGCAGCAGATGTTGGAGTTTCATGAGACGTAGCGGCAGCTGCAGCTGCAACGGCAGCAGGTGCAGCAGAAGGAGGAGGTAGAATCGGAGGCATCTGCACGCACAGAAAAAGTTTAAGAAAACATCAATCAAAATTAAATAGTTTTAATCTATTTAATTTTTCACACGGTGATTTGATACTTTGAAATAATATTTTATTAATAGATGAGCGGGATTTTTCAGTCAAGAATTATTCAAGATTGAAGAGCTAATAATTCGGGTTCATAGAATAAGATTGTGGTGACGATAAAACGCTTAACAACGTTGCAAATGGAAAGTTAACAATGTCCGTAGAGCTTTGAAAACCTCATAAATGATGTTCATGTGAAATATTCTGCACCAAATATTGGATCAGAGTTCAACTGCAGGTAAATGCTTACCCTGCCTGTGATTTTGTTGATCTGTGAGCAGCGTAGAATCTTGCTGATGTTGTCATCTCGGAATTTCACCTCGCATTGTTCTGAAAAAAAAAAACAATTGGGATGAAGTAAATGCAGGTCGGTACTATAAATAAAAAGTTCCAGGATTTATGTAGAATACAGTGCTGATACTGATCAATCTTTCTTTCTTCTCGAAAATGCTTTTCCCCCGATGTCTCTAGGAAAAGCTATACATTATATTAAAAAAAATACATACTATACTATGGTCAAGTTTGGTTAAAAAGGATGCCATTTTCATTTAGAACTTCTTTAGAGTCTTGTTTCTTTAGCTGTCTAATAATAGGTACAATAGCAGGGTTAACAAGTCCTAAAATTTCTCCAAGTGAAAGGTTTATAAATCCGTCACTGCATTTCGCTCATCACTGAGCATTTTCAGGCATAAGAACCAAGCGGCTGAGTAGACGAGGCGCTTGCAGCTTGGCTGCAGGAAGTAGACTAATTGAAGTGGTAGATGAAGCGGAAGTAAGCATACAAAATTAAAAAAAAAAAAACAACGTAAACGATTCAAGCTCGAACAAGCAAGGGCATCAGAGCCAAATTTCCACGAGATATTTATAAATGAATAAAATTTCCGCACAGTTTTCAAATTTTAAATACTTTCTTGGTGTGCTAATTTATGATTTTATAAATTAATAGAAAGTTACTTGATATTCGATACAAGGAAGAAAATAAGCACACTTTACAAACGTTCTCATACATCTTAGCGGGTCATGGAAACAGCAATACATTCCTTAAAAAAACTAATTCCACATTTCTTCGGCTCAGTACTTTTAATTTACACTACTATTCGCTAGGTGCGTGAGCAGGAAAATAGCACACCAAAGGTATGTCATTTCCCACATGCATTCGGAGATGCAATTGTAATTCCAATTAAGAATGAAATTCCAATTAGTAATGAAATTAATTAATTAATTAAAAGTCATGGAATCTGTTAACTCACGCGGGTTGATGACACGCATGACAGTGGCGGGATAGTAGCGCTGGTCGACCGACCACAGCGCCAGGACCATCTCGCCCACACTGAAGGGACACTCATCCACGGACCTGCACAACGATCCATATCTAAATTACTTCACGATGGATTACATTTTAAATATTACTTCACGATTTACTTAAATTTTCAAAGAACAGGGGCCAACTTTCAAAACTCGCCAAGTGAACGTAAGTACTTACGCTCTATTTTCTTGTCTATGATCGGTGGATTTTGCCTGAAAGGCTGTCAATGATTGGCTGATGAACTTACGATCTCTTAACTTTTTTGAAAGTATGGGCCCAGGTATAACCGATATCAAAAAGTTATCATACAGTTGTCGCGTAATTGTCATGTAGTTTTCAAGCAGTTGTCTTGTAGTTTGCAATCAATTGTCATAGTCAAGCAGTTTTCATGTAATTGCCAAGCAGTTGTCATGTAGTTATGAATCAAAGGAAGGACGCGCACACATCAGTGTCGTGTATATTTGGTTCTGTGTGGGTGTATATTTGAATGCCACCCGTCTTGCGGTTTGCAATCAAATGTCATACATTTATCAAGCAGTTATCATTTCTCAAGGAATTATCAGACATTTATGAGCACAAGACTGACGTTGCAGGCACGGCCCTGATGCGCTTCGAGTCCATCTTGAGCCACTCATCGAAGCGGTCGCTCCAGCGCAGGTAATGCACCAAGATGTCCAGCTCCCCCCAGTCCACCTCGACCACTTTGCAGTCATACCTGCACAAGCAATCCAGTTTATTTGCAATAATAAAATAGCCCATTTCCAACACAAGCTAATTGTTAATTGTTTGCTTGTGATGTCGGTATAATCAAACCAGTTTATTTGCAATCATAAAATAGGTTATTTCCAACACAAGTTTGTTAATGTCTAATTGTTTGCTTGTGCTGTCGGCACAAGCAAACTGGTTTATAATTAAAGCCATTGTTTACCCTCCGGTATTGTTGAAGAAACAAAGATTTGACTTTATTCCGAGATAAAAAAAAAAAGACAGTTACAACCCAATACATTGTGAACCCATTAACATATGATGAACTTCTTTCACTACATTTTTACCTAGTATCGCCAACAGATCTGATTCAGTCAAAATTGACGGATGAGAAACAGTCAAAATTGACGGATGAGAAAGACTTGAATCACAGTTAATTCGTAAACACTCTCCCTGCGCTCGTCGTAAAATAATTACTATACCATGACACAATAGTTATAGTTAATTTGACGACTGAACAATCACATCAGTGCAATTAAATTTGTTTCATTAAAATCTAGAATGATCTCAACTACTAGTTAACCAAGTTTGATCACGCTGGTATTCCAATTAAACTCAGACAGCCTTCACAGGCTCTAATTTTATTTGACGAACGACTTTTTAGTATGATGCTGTAAGCCATCAATTAATGACGACAAATAAGTCGTCATGTTATTGATGTTAATAATGACGACGAATAACGCATTGGAAGACAATTACCAGAAGTCAATAATATACTAATTAATGATAATGATGGAGACTAATGAAGTCACAGATATAACAATTAAAGCTTTATAATGAGAACAAATGAAGGATTGGTTGCTGACCAGAAGTCACAGATACAACAATTAAAGCTTTATAATGAGAACACATGAAAGATTGTTTGCTGACCAGAAGTCACAGATATACCGTAACACTTAAAGCTTAAGAATGAGAACAAATGAAGGATTGCTTGCTTACCAGAAGTCACAGATACAACAATTAAAGCTTAATAATGAGAACATATGAAGGATTGGTTGCTGACCAGAAGTCACAGATACAACAATTTAAGCTTAATAATGAGAACAAATGAAGGATTGGTAGAGACTAACCAGTTGTTGTCGATGGTCTCCTGGACCTGAAGTTTGGCGCCAGGCACGAATATAATGCCTGGCTTGTAGACGTGTAGCTGCTTAGCGCTGCGTATGGCAGCTGCCTCCTCGGCCGGTGTAGCTGTCTGAATATGAACAAACTATATCACTTAACATGTACACCATGCACTAACATAACTATTAATTATAACAGATATTAGTTGTGTAAGTTTATATTATATTACCTATAAGTGACACGCTAAACTAATCATTCCTGGCAGACAGTAAACTAACAATCTCAATCACTTAACATGTACACTATACAGTATACACTAACATAACTACCTATTACTTATATCAGAGATTAGTTGTGTAAGTTATATTGTATTAGTTATATGTGGCACGTTAAACTAATCATTCCTTACAGACAGTTAACTAACAATCTCCATTACTACTTAACATGTACACCATACCCTACACTAACATAACTATTACTTGTATCAGAGATTAGTTGTGTAAGTTATATTATATTAGTTATAAGTGGCACGTTAAACTAATCAATACTGAAAGAAAGTTAACTAAACTAACAACTTTCATCACTTAACTTGTTCACTCTACACTAGCATAACTATCGATGAAACCAGGAATCAGTTATACAAGTTATATTTGTTATAAATGACACGTTATACTAATTATTCCTGACTAACTCGGTAAGTGCCACTGGTAATAAGACAATTCCGTGTAATCTTATAAATAATAAAACCATACTATATCATGCAACGAAATTGAATTCTACCACAATTGCAGAGCGCAACAATAGGATATAGTAGTAATGAATGAAACCTATAAGAGAGCAATTATGTTAATTTGACTAACACTTTCTTTGGCATCGGCTGACGCACAATAATTGATGAATAACTTTGTAATGATAATGAACAAATCAAACCCTTATGATGGATAATAGAATACTTCATCAACTCGTTTATTCGCGTCGGCGGACAATTGAATAAAATAAAATGGTAACGAATGAAACACTTAAATAGTAATAGAGATAATTTGACTGACACGTTTTTACGCGTCGGTATACAAAACAATGAATGAATGAAGTTATTATGATAATGAACGAACAACTTGTAATCATAATAAATGAATAACTGATAATCATAATGAATGAATAACTAATAATCATAATAAATGAATAACTGATAATCATAATAAATGAATAACTGATAATCACAATACATGAATAACTGATAATCATATTAANCTTAACCCCACAACTGAGACCTACAGTCAGACACCGCGAGCTCAGCGGTGGGGCGCTCAGGAACAATCCCCCTAGGAGCGCGAAATCCCATAGGACTTCTGACGAGCACAGACACCCGTCAGAAGTCCCCCCTGAGGGGTCACTCATATTAAATAGGTATATAGCATGAAATGCATATGACTGGTGCATGGTGCATTTTTGCTAAGACTTATTCTATTTGATTATAATTCCCTACCGACTTTGTTATGATTGCTCAAATACTAATAACAAAACTAGAAATAATATTGTCTGAAATTGAGAAAAAGGTTTTCAATTCCCAAGTTAAGTGATTAAATCAATAGTTATATACCGGAAAATCAGAAGCTCCGTGAAATTAACGCGAGGCAGATTATAGTTACATTGTCGCTTCTCCTTGAACTAAGTGCGATCAACTTCAGATTTAAACAATTTTTTAACTAAATACTTAAAAAAGATTCTCACACAGACCTTGTAGTTGAATATCACTTGAACAATTAAACTCTGAGCATGAATTTAATACACCGAGAATTCTATCCATCAAATCATCTTAACTTCACCTTGCGCAAGGGAAAGCAGGTTGCCAGCATGCTGGTTACCTGCTGAGGCTGGCGCCTGAAATTGAAATAAATAGGCCTGGCGCTGGCCTATTCGTACAGGTTTTCACTGTGAACACTTTCATTATTATCTTATGTTCATTCTTGTGGCAGGTTAGAGCAGGTTGCCCGCACGGGCAAACCTGCTTTCACTGTGTGGGTACCCTAGCCTCTGTAAATACGTTACTTTATTCATCAACATCGTTACATCGAAGCATGACGGATTGCATAGCGTATACGAATGGTCGGAGATGTTTTATACACCATAGATGGACATTATATCATGTATTATATACCATAGAATGGATGGCTTTTACACGAGTGATCTACCCACTCAGGAAAATGAGTGGGTAGTTTTGTGTCCTAACAATGACACTTTCTGAAGCGCTCTTTTGCCAGGCTAAACTGGGTCAGGACGACCAAGACAAAAGTGCATCACAGTTTGAAACATGTCTCCGTCATTTCTTTGAGTGCACGCAATTTATTCCCATTTACATGAAGGGCTCGGGACACCCCGGGGAGCGCCACGTCCCCAAGCAACCCTGATCATCAGGGTTACCTCCTGGGGGTACATCCAACCTCAATACGTACTCATACCGTACACGTAGTATTAATCCTACCTCGATACCTACTACCTACATCCTAACTCAATACCTACTCATACGGCACAAGTATCATTAGACATGTATTAATCTAACTAGTTTACTTTGAATCAAAAATTTACTAGATATGTAAAAGAACTAAAATTACACAGAAACTCGCCATATCTCTATTAAAAAATTACTCCTAAATTATTAGTAAGCATCGTCCATGCCTCGTCGCAAGACCACAGTCTTTAGTTCCCACTAAACTAATCATTTCTTACCCAGCAAATCTATAAGGCAACTGTTTCAATACTGCACTAAATAAACGGAGTATTACGACTTAATGAGCAATGAATAACTGAACTTTTTTTAGAACAAAAATTTATTTTCAGATTGCTAGAATAACGCGCATGTTGTATGTGATCCGCGAGGTAACGGAGATGTCTCAGAAGGCGTGCTAAGCGCAATGAAATAAATAAGGAAACAAAGCAGGTGTAATAAAACGAGTGGATCTTCCACAGAGACTGTCCAGTCTCCAAATCATTTGTATTGTAAAAGCCTGCAGCTTGCTGGATTTTAATAAAGTTTGAGGGATATATCTTTACAAATGGGAGGAACATTTTTTTCATCAGCAAGCTACTAGCGGCATTTTACAGTTGACTACAGCATCAAGATTCACTTGACAACACATAAGGGAGGGAAACAAGTCCCTCCACTTTTCATGTTAACAAAATAGAGCTATTTTACAAGTGGCAAAAGTTTTCTCTACGAGGTTTTTATACACAACAGCGGCACGGTTAGAGGCGAGTCAGAGCTGTGGGATGAAACTGCACTAATCAACATGATATTCAAATAAGACTTAAATTAGCGAAACAAAAAAATACGGATGATGCCGAATATGAAAATGAATACAATGCAGATAGCTAGTCCGCTTATCAAGTAGCAGAGGTAAGAAGCCAGCGTAAAGATTCGTTTGTGACGCAAGGAGATAAACTTCAGAGCGGGATACGAGTCAAGGCGATATATGTACTTTTAATACCTATTAATTCTATAACGATCAAGACGGCCTATTTAAGCCAACAATAATCAACAACAATAACAACGATTGCAAGTAAGAAACATGGTTCAAATAACAATCACAAGCTGGCAGTGAAAACTTCTTAATTAAAACATGATTCTTACATCTGCGACGAGTAACACGGACGCTACGCATCCCGCTCCGAAGTATTGCTCCTATTGTTGTATTTCAAGGGAAATTTGCACCACAAAACATCACGGAAAATTCAGTTATATCCAGACTAATTTTAAATTAGGACATTGAAATTTCTCGTGTATCAGAAACATTTGAGCGAAATACCAGAAACGAAAGGTTAAACTCGCAGACGCTTCAAGAATTAATTCATATTTAAAAACAATCATTTGTTCGAAAAAATTCTTGCGCTTCAGATATCAAGTTGCAAGGGATGTGGATGAATGAATTGAGAAGAGCTGAAACGTCCCACAACCATAACCTACCACAAACACATGTGCCACTGATTCAAACCATCAAGCTCACTACCATTAACCCGCGTTATTAACCATCCTACTTAAGGTAGGTTCCACCTATAGCCCACCTCATGTAGATGAAGTGAGCTGCACTTAGTCCAGTTCAGTTAACTAGAGGACAACATGCGTCGGAATACATAATCTAACAAATCAAAAGGCTTCACCATGGCAGCAACATCCCGAACTTCAGAATTTGTTCCGCTCCAACAGTCAGCAATGAACGTTCACCTCTAACAAGGTATATAGGCAGCGATCAACAACGTGTTCACTCCTCTGGCCTTCAGAGAAGCGTCTAATCATCTAGTGTTTGCAAGGACAACAAATTTATCCTCACGGCACTACAAGCCCTTCTAATTCTAAGACGAAGCAAAGGATACTCTACACCAAATGTCTACCCTCCGTGTCTCGCAAGGAGCTAAACACAAAACTTGTACAATGGGAACTCAGTAGCAATTTAGTGAGCCGAAATTTAACCTCAATTTCAGGATTCCTTTTACATTGATAACAAATATGAAAACAAAATAATTAAATACAAATTGTTATAATACGGACGACCCAACTTTCATGAACATACGTTTGACTGCATAAAAATTTGAACATATTATGACACGCAGGTCGCACGGATGTATACATTTATCGAAAAAATATAGCATATTAGGTTACTATAATGTTTAGTGGGCTGCTAATGCACATTATACAGGAGCGCAGAAACTAGCAAGTCGTTTTATCGACGTATCAGAAAGTCAGTCCGATTTTAAGGCAAAATTGATTTTAGATTCAGAATGGCGCAGCGTCTGGCATGCCAATCCTTGGCCCAGGATAAATTAACGGAGCTTTATGAAAACATCGTAATTACAGAACGGGCTTACTCCATCATCCACGCTGGTTATGAATAAATTTAGTGAAGTACATTGAATTGATGAGCAATTATTTTTGCAAGGCACGATTTACTCATACCAGCGCACGGCACATGGAAATATTTAAATAATTGACAAACAACTCCGATGTGCAGGAATATATCACTGCAGTATTTACGCAAACAAAAGGTTCTTTTCAAAAACGAAACACTTACAAATTTCCTAGAAGTGACAATGATTTGTGAACAATATACACAACACGAAATAAGTTATTTTCAAAAAATATAACAGCGATTCTCATATATTTTCCTGATTAACAAACAACGACATCCTAGCAGATGAAATATTGATACGATTTTGTAAATTGAATAAATGCAATCGAAAGCCACGATGGACAACGACGAAATAAGTACATTTCATTTCAACAACTCGTCAAAAAATTACCTAAAAACCCAAATATCTCCTTCATTCAGCCGCAAGATGCACAAGAAAAGCATAGCATATAGCCCCTCAACCCAACCTGACGTACAGAATTGACCCCAGTTCAAGTCCAACACTTTTCTTGCCTCCTTATAAGGTAATGACCGTATTAAGAACGTCTATGCCGAGTTCACCGAATTTATTATCACTATTAATTTGTCGACACTACACTCAGAAAAATGGTTGAGTCAAATTGTCCAATTGTAATAGTTCCTACACGTAGGACTGAACGTAGCACTGATACGCCCTAAACTGGGTCATAATGACCAAGACAAGGGCATCTCTTTATGGACACGAACTCACTCATTTCTTTGAGTGTAGATATACAGCAGTGATCACTTCCATTCTTACGATCAGTCGGTCAGCACACACATCGAGCAGCATTCGTACTTAATGACCTCACAAAACAGCAACGATGCAAGTACCGTCGTCAACAGGGGTGACTTTGGCCAACGTTTATGATAGACTATTACATGATTTATGATACACGTGGTTATAGACTATTTAAAAGGCATGTGCCAACGTTTATGATAGACTGTTACATAATGCGTTTCGCTGCGTGGTTATGCGTCATAAACGTTGGCCAAAGTCACACATCAGTTGTTGGTACCGCGCAAATGAGTGATATGCACAAGTGCCTGTGATCAGTGGGTAAATAATCCACATGAGCGCGAGATCAAACAATAACAACAAGATCAATGCGCTCAAGTGAACAATATGTACATCCGTGATCACAAGGCGCACAGCGGTCTTCAGCTTATCCCTCATAATACACTAGACATCTGACATTGAATCAACGTACAATTAAACGTTTTCTGATAGAATTAACGTTAATTAAACGTCATTTGCCTGGTGGGTAACGTCTTTTACGGGACTTAGAAAAGAAAAAAAATTTCGCCGGGTTGTAGGCTCAATCCAAGCTAATAACGTTACTGGCATTAAATTGAGAAACATTAAGAGAAGTAACAATGACAATAATATCAAACAATCTTTAAGTAACATAATAGTACTTTAAATCATAGTTAATGAAGTGAACAATAGTTATTTATTGACTTAGGAATTTGAGCAGTACAACAATAACAAGGCATAAGGCGATAGATATCAATAACAAAACAATAATATGAACTGGGAATAAATAGAGGCAGCTCAATATATGGGCAGCCACAATAGAGGACCACGATGTTCAGGTGATTGACATATGATTTCTTCGTGAAATTTCATGCAAGTTCAAAGGTAAAAAATTTAGCAGTGCGTTTACTGAGAACCAATTAAGAAATTCTAGTAAGGTCTAAGTGAATAATAGCTCAGGTATTAAATTCGAATTAAAGTCCGCGCCTTCTTGCGATTACAAAGAGATTAATGGCCTTATCTTTCACTTGTAAGTTTGGCAATAAATTCCAACAGAATAAAAGTTGCAATCTGATGGATTTATTGAAACAACTGAGGGAGAAGAACTAATTGCGGAAAAACCATAAGCGCTGAAATGATCACAACAAATTAAATAGCTGATGTTAATTCAACAAAGCAAAAGATAGTTAAAAATCGAAGTGTCAATGTGATAAAACAAAGACAAGAAAATTGGTAAAATAGAAGAAAAGGTTTCATCTCACCGGCCATAGCATTCCTAGTTGAAATTGAACGAATGTGACATTTTAGCTGAGAACACGAGTTTTTACGACACCAAAATATGACAGTGAACATGAACATTCATAGGAAATGCTGCTGAGAAATCTCTGCAGAAAATCAAGTGATATAACGAGCCCGAGATTGCTTGAACTCTCAGAGAAATGAACGATTCGCTGTGCAAATAGCGATGCACTTTTCTTCTTGTGGTTGTCTTGACCCGTTTAGGCCTGAGTCCTGGTGAGTGGCCTTACCAGTGCTATGGGCAGGAAGTGCGTCGCTTTTTGTACAATGTAACCCTTTCATTTGTCTTACTGTTAAAGTTTGTGTTCAATAGTGGCACATATTAGAGTCACAGGCAGGTGCCAAGAGATAACAGGTAAAACATAGTTGTGCTAGTAACAATAACAATACAAGAGAACAATCACAGCTTTACAGCGCTAACAATAGCCATGCCGATGATCACAGGTAGCAAGTGGCTAAATTCATGAACAACTTAGTAATGAATAAATCACATTTGCTAGACTTTGTGTTCCTTACAATATCAATACGAGTTTGTCCTTTGACTACCAGTTAATACAACAATAACACAAAGGATATGAAGCAGAATATGTTGAAGAATATTTCATGATGCAGGTAACATCTTATATCGTGGAACATTTTCAAAGAATTAACTATAACAAAGTGGTAACTCCGTCAAACTGTTTCTAAAAAAAATCCGTTTATTTTGAGCATAACCAGATACGGTAAAATACGGCGCAATGACATGTACTCGTGCAAGAAGGCATGAGTAGTCAAGTTAGTGCATGAACATACATCATGAAATTATGAAAACAAATGCGAGAAGGTACGAAATGGAATTAGAAGCACAACGACATAGTATGTAAGTTTAAGGTAATATTCTCATGCAGAGCTAAATCGAGAAGAAATCAACTACACGACATTTAATGTAAGCATTTAGGACATAACAATGGGTGCTGTTGTTACTGTTCTTACAAGCGCATGACTGGAAGCATGGAGTGAGAGAAAGAAAGAAGAGTGTATTATTACACGAGTTGTTCATTGTAATCACCTGCTCTTGTCGCAAGGAATAAGTTCGCCAAGCACGTGAACTGAACACACGGTTTCAAGTATCTCGCAGAATTCTTCACTACGAGAACTAATATCAATAAACTTGTACCCAGGAAAGCACTTCCAGGTTTTGAACGCTCGTTGTGAACATCGATATCGATGAAGAAATATTCGAGGGACGAATGGTATGAACATTATCACCTTACAGGGTTACCATATTACCGAGTAGAATTATTAAGATGCTGATGTAGGTAGCCAGGAAATTTTCCATGAAAACCGACTAGCAATATCATCACAAAATGAAGTAAAAGTTAAAGGAACACGAATAATGGCGATAATAACTAATTCATTACCTCAAAGTCATGAGATGACACACGGCGACCTAAAAAAAAAGTTTACGAGTGCCGAGGTTTACGATGGACATTTCCTAACTTAAAGTTTTGTCACTCCGAACGAGCTAAGTTAATGCGAAAAAGTTCATTATTAATGGTGCTTTCACCATTAGTGATTCAAAATATTGAAAGGAGTCATAAAGAGGATTGGCATAGAGAGAACGAGTATTCGATGAGTATTCAACATAACGAAAAATAAGTAGTATTTCTCCAATTCCGGTCATTACGACAAAAAAGACTGTACGCCATCTTCCCTGCGCTTCATTATAGATAATTTGCAGCCAAAATCTTTAATAAATCAGGTACAAACTTCTCGGGAACCATGGCGACGTTTCAGCAAAAACAGAAATGCAAGAAAATCTTCAAAAACATGAATTGCTGGACCAGTTAGAATTGTTACATTTCGAAACTGCGATTTTAGTCAAATTGCCAAGAATATAGAAGCAAAGAAAAATGTCGAGCAACTATAGCGATTTTTTTCCGCTTCAAAATTCCTGGTTAATTTGCGATTAAAGCAATTAAATGATACAGTACTAGAGTCAAATTACTGAACAGCACCAGAGCCTAAGCATATCAATCAAGAATTCAAATTACTCTGAATACGATTTTAAAATTTAGCCAAACAATAATCACATCGATAGGTACAAAGAGACGACGCTTCAATTTCGAGATCGACAACTGACTGAATCATCGACAAAAAGGAACAAAGTTCCAATTAATGATTCCGATCAGCTTATGACTGATAACGATCAGCTTATGACTGATAATGATCAGCTTTTGACTGTGATGATGACAATGATTCAACATCAGGTTAGGCAAGATAGATCCGTGACGCAACTTGCGTAATTGATTGCATTAATATTACTATTGACTGTATATTATTGTATTCCAACTCGTAAGATAGACAGTTCAGATAACCTCTTAAGATGAGAAGTCATTAATACATCTCAACTATTAGCCAGGAATCGTTGGAGCAAACACGAAACCTTGTGACAGTAAACGGCACTCTAGGACCTAGGTGAACGATATCAAAATCGTTCAGTTAGTATTGTAGAAATATCAGTAACAATATGCGCTCTTGCTGAAGAAATTAAGTCACATTAGTACAAGAAGAATATTAGTATTAGAGAAACAACAACGATGTACTGAAAATCGAGATCAATGTATCATAATCAATAGAAACACGTCAATACAATACAATTTTAATCAAGAAAAATATAACTTTATGAAAGAAAGAATATTCTCTTATATCAAGATAAGTCTTCGCGAATTGTTCAGCCTTCCATACTGTGAGTTAAATGTCGGCACGCCAACTGAACGAGCCCACACCGTACCGAGTAATTGGCTCTCATTATTTACAACCTGGTATTTCTCAACATCAGCTACAAAATTCCTACTTTTTAGATATTTTTTTTGCACATTCGAACAAGCCGAGGTCATTAGTTCATGACCTCATGCAAGAACCTCGTAATATTGCATTATTAGTTATAACTACAACATGCTACGGCACCGAATAGTGGATCCAAGGCATGTCCACATGCTGAGCCCCACTTTCGAGATCATGATGAAATCATTACTTTTCGGTGGCCCTGATCAAAATTGACAAGGTGCGGACAAGCCTTCGGATAATTTAACCTAAGTTGACAAACTAATCTCCTCTTCGCTTGTCAAGCGTAGCTGACACACAAATTGCGCTAAGCCTTTTTTTCACTTTCGAAGTCGCAAATCTAGGGAACGAGCGAATTCCTATCCTTACACGATCCATGCGCGAGTCTTCATACTAAAAAATTTCGAAATAGTTTCTACTGTGATGAGCCTAACATTTTAAAGATGGAATTGGATTGGAAGATGAAAAAAAAAATCTAAACCATCGTTATGCCAGGCGACCGCAGCGGAATTCTGAGCAACCGAGCAATGCTACTTCTTTATCTTCACGATACTGTGTACGATTTCTCCCATTGAAAGTTGATAGTAATAAAACTACGCAGGACAACTCAAGATGACTGAAAAGTGACTGCTCATTTCAAGCAAAGCAAAATACATGTTCCGTATCAAATTTGTATCTCTACTAGCAGGGGAAGTCAAGCAATAAGCAAACGAAGAGGCAGATTAGTTTGTCAGATGCGAGTTTTTATGACAGTCAAAATGAATATAAATTCACTTGGTGTTGTCATTGAAACTCAAATTTTACAAGTATAACTAGCGATCTAAGAAGCATTTGGAAGCTTCGCGCTGAATTCACACGCTTTGAACGCGTTGTCAGTGTCGTACGGTTGTTGCTTCACTGGCAGCGCGTTCAAATGAAGCTGTACCACCGATAACATTTGATAAATCAACAACTATTTAGGAACTATGGGACCGTTTTCACTGTAGACAGTACTCGGAAAACTAGAGACTTGCTGGTTCAAGATACCATTCAATTGCAGAAATATAGTAATATTGACGGTGATAATTGATATATGCGGTTGGTAACTGACATTAAAATAAGAAGTCATTCATCGAACAAGGTTATCAAACAACAGGCTCTATTTCACGACTATGCACAGGCTAACATCTAACTTGGACTACGGTTATTTTAATCTATGCAGCTACGCACTGAAGGCCAGGCTTAACAATACCCTAACACTAAGCACCACGAATTCATTTCAATTTTTTGTTCCTTATTATTGCTGCTCGAGTTCTCCTTGACGCATAAAAACTTTAACAGGATAAGCACAAGAGGAATTTTGCGCTGATGAACATATCTAACATATTATTCCGACGCTGTCGCCTGACACCCCATCTGGACTAAGCACTGCGCTTCTCTTTGCTAGAAGAAACAAAAATCAAATTTTTCAAGGTCTGCCACGTTAAAAAAAGCATCGGGAGACAGTGGAATGTCATCCCCCAACGAAGGTTCCAAACCATCGACCACAAACAGTGATTCGCGCCCATTACCTTGATCGCATATGTCTTCAATCTCCTGTTTCACGGTTACATCACACAAGTCCCCATAATCGTCCATCACCAGGTCATTCCTTGTTTTGATATCAGCCTCCAGACCGCCACTTATGACTTGATCCATTTTATTAACAGGGTTGATCGTGTCAGAGCAGAGTTCTTCAGACTTGATATCAAGCGAGGTGCCAGTGATGACTTGGTCAATTTCGGGCTTAACGTCCGAAGTCATGCCACTTATCACTCGATCCATGTCTAAGGACGGCACAATTACGTCAGTGAAGTGGCGTTCATGAGAGGAGAGCAGCTTTGGTGCATTGGCAACCGGACTGCACTCGCTCTTCGTTGAGTTGTAACAGTTTAAGCCGATCTTAATTTTGTCTGGAGTTACAGTATTAATGAGCCTGTCAAATGTTTCAACAGAACTAGAAATATTGTCGCTCTTAACAACTTTGAAAATGGCCCCAGGAGGATAAGGTTTTTTAGCAATTTTAGCGCGATAATTCTTTATGGGACCAGCTGCCGAGGAGTTGCCACTGTCGATGTTGCCCTCAACAGGCTGGAGGCTCTTAGCGTTGGCAGCAATGCCAACAAGGACTGGCACAGCTCTTGGTAAACTAGTGTCAGTGTTAATGTTTGATGGCTTGGAAACTGCGTTAAGGTTTGCGCCCATGCCAGCTAGTGTGCTGCTGGACATGTAGTGCTGGATGGTAATCTTTCCAGCATTTTTTGCACCATTGCCCAGACCCGCAGTCACTTTGCTGGACACGAGATTGTACTGAATACTGGTGGTCTGGCCAGCCGATTGATCTTGTGCACCGTTATTGCCATTTTGCCCGCCACAAGCACCACTGGCTTTTACAGTCTTCACAAGACCAGTTTCTGAGTTGATATAGTAGCTACCATTAGATGTGTTGATGGTACGAGGGCGACATAAGCTGGCGTTGGTAGGGAACCCAACCCTGATGGAGTTGCTTGAAGAAGTCAGAGTGCGCACCAAGGGGAAGTGAGTCACAGCTCCTGTGATGTTATTCTTCAGCCCATTGCTCACTGCGTTAGCTTTGCATCCTATGCTGGTTGAGCTCTGGAGTTGCTGCCCCGTCTTCTTAGGTGTGAACTTCTCATGTTTCTTGCAGCTGCTAGTGAATTTAAGAAGAGCATTAGACATCTGTGGTAACTCATCTGTCTCGATGGTAGGCAGCCTAGCCAGCCCGTCCTCCAGGGCCTCACCAAGCTCAAACAGAGGCTCAAGAGGACGGTCTTCGTCCTCACGAGGCTTTGTGCATACCACAGTCAGCGCGCTGCACAGAAACATTCTTTCACTAATACGTTATTCATTGTTCACATTTTTTTAGTGAGTTGATTCACACAATTTTGGTTTCGTAAGGTAAGCCTTGAATATAAAACAGGGGAATTATAACGTCCATTGTTGTTCCTGAGTATTTAAGACTCACTATTTCCAGTTAAGAAATGCATTATTCCTGAAAAATTGATTAGCAAAGCATAAAAACTTAGCAGAACCTAAAACTTATACTTACGTGGGCGAGGTGGGAGACAAAGGAAGGCTGAAGCTCATAACAGATTCCTCGACACCAGACTTGGTCAATTTCGGGCTTAACGTCCGAAGTCATGCCACTTATCACTCGATCCATGTCTAAGGACGGCACAATTAAGTCAGTGAAGTGGCGTTCATGAGAAGAGAGCAGCTTTGGTGCACTGGCAACCGGACTGCACTCGCTCTTCGTTGAGTTGTAATAGTTTAAGCCGATTTTAATTTTGTCTGGAGTTACAGTATTAATGAGCCTGTCAAATGTTTCAACAGAACTAGAAATATTGTCGCTCTTAACAACTTTGAAAATGGCCCCAGGAGGATATGGTTTTTTAGCAATTTTAGCGCGATAATTCTTTATGGGACCAGCTGCCGAGGAGTTGCCACTGTCGATGTTGCCCTCAACAGGCTGGAGGCTCTTAGCGTTGGCAGCAATGCCAACAAGGACTGGCACAGCTCTTGGTAAACTAGTGTCAGTGTTAATGTTTGATGGCTTGGAAACTGCGTTAAGGTTTGCGCCCATGCCAGCTAGTGTGCTGCTGGACATGTAGTGCTGGATGGTAATCTTTCCAGCATTTTTTGCACCATTGCCCAGACCCGCAGTCACTTTGCTGGACACGAGATTGTACTGAATACTGGTGGTCTGGCCAGCCGATTGATCTTGTGCACCGTTATTGCCATTTTGGCCGCCACAAGCACCACTGGCTTTTACAGTCTTCACAAGACCAGTTTCTGAGTTGATATAGTAGCTACCATTAGATGTGTTGATGGTACGAGGGCGACATAAGCTGGCGTTGGTAGGGAACCCAACCCTGATGGAGTTGCTTGAAGAAGTCAGAGTGCGCACCAAAGGAAAGTGAGTCACAGCTCCTGTGATGTTATTCTTCAGCCCATTGCTGCCTGCGTTAGCTTTGCATCCTATGCTGGTTGAGCTCTGGAGTTGCTGCCCCGTCTTCTTAGGTGTGAACTTCTCATGTTTCTTGCAGCTGCTAGTGAATTTAAGAAGAGCATTAGACATCTGTGGTAACTCATCTGTCTCGATGGTAGGCAGCCTAGCCAGCCCGTCCTCCAGGGCCTCACCAAGCTCAAACAGAGGCTCAAGAGGACGGTCTTCGTCCTCACGAGGCTTTGTGCATACCACAGTCAGCGCGCTGCACAGAAACATTCTTTCACTAATACGTTATTCATTGTTCACATTTTTTTAGTGAGTTGATTCACACAATTTTGGTTTCGTAAGGTAAGCCTTGAATATAAAACAGGGGAATTATAACGTCCATTGTTGTTCCTGAGTATTTAAGACTCACTATTTCCAGTTAAGAAATGCATTATTCCTGAAAAATTGATTAGCAAAGCATAAAAACTTAGCAGAACCTAAAACTTATACTTACGTGGGCGAGGTGGGAGACAAAGGAAGGCTGAAGCTCATAACAGATTCCTCGACACCGGACGAGAGGCTGTTAGTGGGGCTGTTATTGGGGCTGTTATTGGGGCTGTTATTAGGGCTGTTATTAGGAGTGTTGGACATGCTGTTGTCGGGACTGCTGTTCTCGCTGCTCTCAGGGGTGTCACTGATGCTGCTGTTGCTGGGGGTGTTCAGGTTCAGAGTGTTGTACAGTTGAAAGTTCTGGTGTTGACTGAAGTCCGGGAAACTGTAGAGGCTGTCAGTAGTATCCAGTGAGTCTGGAGTGATCACGCTGGGTTCAGCAAACTGAAAAATTGACAAGATTTGAAATATTATTACACTGTCATAGTGACAAATTAGAATTCAAATTAGAATACATCAAGAGTAAGCTAGTGACCTCAAAAGATTATAAAATATCAAATACAAATAATAGAAAAAAAATATATCGTGGATAGTAAAGTGAAATAAATCGTCAATAATAAAAGAAAGACAATTTTTTAGAAAATTCATGTCCACAAAACTTTAGGCCTAAACATGTAAAACTCATTCCAAACAAAACTGACTTTCACAATTTCAAAGCTAAATTGGAACCACATTAAATGCAGCGCTGTATAGGTATTATATGTGACACATTGACATGTTATGTGAAATTAATAATGTGTGACAGAACACAATGGCTTCCATCACTCAGTCTAAAAACTTACAAGCTCAGGATCTTGCTTCTTAATAAAACATCGCTGTGCTTGCTCGGGTAGAGCAACATGGAGCTTGAGAAGCTGAGGAGATGCAGGATTCAGTTGCTGGTGTGAATGCTGGTGCTGAAATTGTTGAAGGTTAGCAAATGGTGACAAAGTGCTGTTGAGCCGGTTTTTGCCCACTATCAGCTTGATGGGTTGTTTGTGCGTAGATGACATGTTGACAGCAGAGTTTGTTGCACCTGACATGATGCTGAAGGTGGTCGCGCCTTCCACAGAGTCTTGATTAAAGCGACTCTGGGTCTTCTTAAACAGCCGCCGGGGTTCATCGTGCAATTTCTGGTGAAAATTAACTTATGATACTTACTACTTAAAACGTAAAAACCAAACTAATTTCAAGCATATTCTAAAAATTTGACACACAAAATTTGCACTCAACATCATTCTGTACATTTGAACTAAGCATCGTAGTTTTGATAACCTTGCAACTTATCTTACTTTATGGCAGCTCACAAAATATGAGAAGCAATATATACCTTGCCGGGCTCACAAAATATGAGAAGCAATATATACCTTGCCGGGCTCACAAAATATGAGAAGCAATATATACCTTGCCGGGCTCACAAAATATGAGAAGTAATATATACCTTGCCGGGCTCATGGTTGTGGCTATTGTTGATCTCCTTAACAAGAAGGGCTTGGCCATCTCCTGAAGTGGATAGACGGACCTTGAACGGACAACCACCAGCCGATGTCCTGCAGGAAATCAAAGATAAGCTCCAGGTTCCATTTATTTAATTCTTGAATTTGCCTTATAATGGAGCAATATCAAAGCCATGAGTTATTATGTACAACATTCTGTCACAAATTAAATCTTTGTATTTTGACCTTATTCCTGTTAATCTCATTTAAACATTAATTAAATTACCTAATCCCATTATCCCAGGTTCAAGGAACAGATTTCTAAGTTCTAATACGGGAAAATCTGTACTGACAGCATATCTCAATCCTGAAGTAAACTATCCTGAATGCTGTTCAATAAAATATGAAGACTGAATTTAGACAACACTAAAAATACCTAGTACTCTGCATTGAGATAACACTTCAATAATATGAAGTGCCAATTTCAACATCAGAATTTGAAAAAAACAATCAGGAGTAATGCAGTACATGACATGAAAGCAAATTTAAAATACTGATCTTCTGCTTCTTTTATCAACAGTGATGACTAAGATTGGAGGTAACTCTTTATGGGTCTATTATATATTGAACAACAATGTTCAGTTAAGGAAGATGGGGAATTATTCACCAGCACCTCAAGACAAAAAGTTCTTTCTTAATTGCTGGTCTTTTTTTCCCCCAGGAGCTAAGACACAAGAGCCATCCAGAAGGATACAATATGAGTCAAAATATATCAAAAGCAAAAGTAACAGCAATTCATAATAATTACAGTTTAAAATAAAGGCTTACTGATTGTGGATCTTAGTAGTATCAGATGGTCTCCTTCCTCCAAAAACACAGGAGTAGGTCAGCTCAGCATACTTTAGTGCAGGATTTAAACTTTTGCGCCGGGCTCTCTTAGCCGCAGCGATCACTGTTCTCGAATCACGGACCCACAGCTGAACACGTTCAGCTTTCTGAAACTCTTCCAATCGTTGAGACAATTCTTCAAATGTGTCAAACTTGCTGCCAACTCTAAGCATTTCCGTGCCACCGCCAACTTTTCCCTGAAAAATAAAAATAGTCTCATAGAATACAGCATGAAATAATTACTCAGAAAAAAAATGAAATTGTGACTTGAAAATACATTTAAAAAAAAGCATCATACTTGTTACTGTATGCACCTCCAGCTTTCTTATTGCCTATCTACTTGTATTGATGGTACTATCATGATCTACATGACATTGTTGCACAGCTTAATGCAAATAATAATTTAAAAATACACCTCTTCCAAAAATTCTTTGTTTGCATTGTGAGAAAATGTTCATTTTTTACATGTTAGAGCATGCCTATGCACAACCTAAAGCATGCACACAAACAGTTTGCTGCTTTAGATGCCCTTCTTCCACAGCTACAATAAGAGATCAGAAACCAGAAAAGCCTTTTTTCCAACTTTGGGCAAGACCCTCTTCTTAAATGCCCATTGCTGGTGTCAGCAATTGCTGTCTAATGATGAATTCATACTCTTGTGCCTTGCTGCAATGCCTTTCTGTTTATTAGTGAACATTGCTGCAGCCTGCATTCAATGCCAGCTGTCATAGCCCATTCTGACCAGCCATCTGCACTGGTTGATCAGAGTGAGATTTTTCTGCTAAAACTGCATGGTCTTCAGGTTTCAGGATGCTCATTCTGCATGATAAAATTTCTAAAAACCTTCATCTTCCTCAGAATGGTTCACAGCCCACAGGTGCCTTCTGCCAGTATTCTACTTTGGCAATTGTCTATGAAAACTAACAAAGAATGTTATCTTGTACCAAAATTGCATGGTCAAATGGTTCTAAATAGCTCATTTTGGTCCAAAACTTTCTATAATAAACCTAAATTCCACAAACTCTTGTGAATTGGCATTGGCAAACATCTACTCTCTAAGATGCAACTGAATTTTATGAACTGTGAATTCACATATTTTCAAGCCAGGAGCCCATGTTTTTCAGCTGTAAATTCTTTTCCTGGCTATGGAAAGATATTTCTGGGCTTCAAACTCATTTGCCAAATAGCAAGGTTATTTGTCAAGCCATGCACACACATTATGACAAATTGCTAATTTTGCTCTGGAAGTGGTGAGTGGCAACTTCAAGAATATTTTTGTTAAAAAAAAAAGAAAATCCAAGCATGTGTTTACATGTTTTTAAAGACACAATGCAGTTATAATATAATAATCTGATGGGACCATAACTCATTAACTGTACCATCAAACAAGGTAAAAAGTTAAACAGGGTTTTGAGCATTTTTGTTAATAACTTCTTACCATGAAACATTTCATAAACAAGTTTAGGTTCATTTTAAAGGTCTTTGCAAGGGCTATCGTATGGCATCTTAAAAAAAATTCCATATGCTATTTGTAAGGTGCTAGACATAATATAACAGGCTCCTGAATTAAGCTGGAAATGAGGAAAATAAAAAGGGACACTTGAAATAAAACTAAATTGTAGACATTTGAAGCAGGCAGAGCACTCTGAAGTCCTCTTCTTCCTTTGTAGATGATGTAAATGTAGAATAAATAAAATTTTCTATGATTTTTACTTGTTTTTTTTTCATCGATATAATATTACCTTATCCATACATTACCATATTATTAATATGATTTTACTGTATCCATGGACATGCCATTGAGCATTGACAATGACCTTGTCAACTGCAAGCTTCATATCAGCAGCCATGTAGCATTTCTTCTGTATCTGTAAGCTTACATGATGGTTTGTAATTTTGCACAATTTTAATTAAGTCAAGTGATTTCACTATAACAAAAAAGATTGTAAAGAACATACCTGAAACAGGAAGGAATATTTTAGTGACAACCATCATATTTTTTGGAGTAATAAATCATAGTTTAGGTTAATTACTTTTCATTCATTGTTGCCCAGTGCTCAATTCTATCTGTGACATTCTATGCATAATTTTGTGATGACTGATGCAGTAATTTTTTGTTAAGTGAAATTTTTTTCAATGAGCGAGGTGAATGTAATCAAAATTCTTTGTTGTTGATTGATTTTTTCATTAACTGGAGTCTGCTAACCAAAGTTCTACTGAAAATACAATTTTAGGGGTATCCCTTTCTAACCTGGGGGTGTGTCCCTTATTACCCCGTTTTGCAGAATTGCCACCATTTTTTCTTGGAATGAGATGTGCAAATTCTGTCAATCACGTTTTTAAGCCAACACTAGTGTACAACTTTTATGCAAGTAAAATTTTTCAATATGACAAATATTTTTTCTGCTACAGACCTTAGCAGAGGTACTTTTCCAAAATATCACTTTTCCCACTTCTTTTCAGGGATTTTTTAGAGGTAATAAATGTATGATTTCTCAACTTGCCTTATGCTGCATAGATAGTAAAAATGTTGAACTATACACCACTATTTTTAGTTTTGCAATATTTTAATTAGTTTAGCAGCTTAGCTGCTGCTACATTTCTACAAAATGTTAGAGGACTATCCCTTATTACCCTGCCCGTCCCATATTACCTGTTTGATGGATTCAAAATTTCATGAAAATAATGACATAACATATTCAGGAAGTACATTTTTCTATCAAACTAAAATAAATGACTAATCACCCATGAAATTTCATACTATAATCATACCTACCAAAATGTTATATTAAACTTTAAAGCTACACCTATTTCAGAAGAGGTTTGATTTCCCAATGCTGATTGGCAGATCATTGCAGATGTTCTCAAAACAGAAAGGAAATCCCAACAGAATCAACAGATAGAGATAGTGAGATATTAAATAATGTTTAGAGTGCTCATTTAAATTTACTTTGATCTTGCAAATAGAATAGAAATGAATTTTTCCATCTGCCATTATCCATGTAGGTAGGGTAAACGCGGTATATTCCAACATCGTGGGTAATTCCGACACTTCTCAACTTTTTTCCTTTATATTAAGCTTTGTCTTTGCTACACGCATTCATTCCTTGATGGTTGACAGAGTGACGTCATACTATTGCACGCCATACTATTGCCAAACTACTAGGTCTGGGTCGTCTGGCGGGAAAATGTTGAGATCCAAAGAGAGACAGTGCGCGTTGTTACCGGAGGTTAAATTAGGCTACTGTGTAGCCCAACCTTCATGTCTCTCTTTACTAATTATCATATTTCTTTAGTTCTCAATCCAACTCAAGCTGGAGAGGTGACGGAATTACCTACGATGTCAGAATATACCGCGTTTACCCTATTAAATAATGTTTAGAGCATTGAAATTTACTTTGATCTTGCATATAGAATGGAAATGAATTTTTCATCTGCTATCATCCATGTATGATGTATTGCAAATAATTGCACGATGTTCTAAAAATTTTAGAGAAGTAGAAATTTAAGAGGGTAATTACTCAAGTAAAATTTATTTGATCATTTTGAATTTTTGATGGAAGTCAGTAAGAACCTGCAAGGACCAAATAGGTAGTAGGCTTATCAGAATAATGAATATAGGTAGGTACTCAAACTTAACTTTACTCTAATAATTATCCTTTAATTAGTTTAATAAAGAATTCCTCAGAAGTAACACTTGAATTTTGAGGAATTCTTTGATAATTCAACAAACAGGCTTAGAAAACCTTTCAGCTGTCATAGGCATATCATATATGATAGTCTATGATAACAAATTAACTATGTCATATAATGAAGATTGAAGAAAAACCATGAAAAGAAGCCCTTTTAGTTTTAATAAGAAATCTTGAATAACAGGTTACGTTGAAAAGAGCATGATCCGCTATTAAAAATAAAACTCAAAATACCATTACTGAAAATGAAGTAAAATTTTTAGTACTAAGAAAAATAACAATGATACCAGTACCTTGCTAGATAGTTGTGTGTTGAGGTAAATCCTTTTCAGTCCATTTTAAAAAATTTTCACCACCTCGTGTTGTTAGGCCATATCAACACACAACTATAAACGTCATGAAGATTTATCTCGGAAACAAATGCCTATATTTTACTTCTTTTTCTTAGAATAACATAAAGCACACAACTTTTTTATTAATACTCGATGTATGTTAATTGAAATATTTACCATATTATATTTGTGAAAACGCATTCATTATGGGATAAATTCGACTATCATAACTGGAACAGTAATAAATAAGGAAGGCTTTAGTATCAATAAATATTACTTAATGTTTTAATTCATAATATTCAATATTACTGAAAATTTTCACAAAACGATCCTCATCGAATCTTGCAATGCAATCATAAACTCAGCGGGGATTTGTGGATTCTAGCTCCACAAAATTCAAGGTCAACGTTCTATATATGGATACTGATATATACGTATGACTGAATGATAGAAATTGTAATTTCAATGCAGATCAATTGCGCGTATAAACCGAAATAACACAGGATTTTCAGCAGAATTAGGTAATATTGTAAAGTCCTTACAGCACGTGGTTGCAGACCATATGAAGCCCTAATGTTAAATGTTTCGCCGAAAAATCTAGAGAAAGGGCTATTTACAAGCTTCAAATTAATATAATGATGTAAAAAGTTTCTATTTTCACAATTCTGTGCATAACTTAAATTCAACTTCCCCTTCAAAATAGAAATGAATGTTAGGTGAGGTGTATCAGTGAATAAGTTGCCATATTGGAGTAGAGAGAGCGAGTTGCAAGTTCAGGTCTGATCTAGATGTAAAAATTTTAGTCAGAAAAACGAGTGGTTGGAGCAGTGATTCGCAGGTTCCAAACTTCCAACACACTGAAAAAGGCGATTTCAAGAATAGGCTATCGGCTAAACATGACAAAAGGTCACGATTGATCCCATAATTTTATATAATAAAATAATACTTCCTGCCAAGGAGGCGTATCTTTCTGTAACCTATTAAACAATTGATTAAAAAACTGTAGCACGCGAACCGCTATGGTTAATAAAAACCACAAATAACAAGACAATGGAAATTAAATATTTATCAACCGTGGTTGAGTAGAAACACAAATTCAACTGTGTTGATACGGAACGCATGAGAGGCCAGGAAATGGTGGAATTGATCTACCTAGATAGTAACAAGCAAAACCCTAAAGTTTTACAACAAATCAGTCCAAAGGAGGAGAAAAACTATGCAAAAATTTTGAATAGCCCAAGTGATCTGCATGAAGATTATTTGAATATAATTGGAATGAAATGCCACAAAATTCTCCATTTCATTGCACAATAAGATACGGACTGAAACTCCATTTATTTCATCAAGCAGGAGCACCAGAGATAAGATAGCATCACTGAAGAAGGCTCCAAGATAAGCCAAGAATAACGAAGGGTTATTGAATGTAGGCTGCATAACAAAGATTAGGTGCTCAGTCAAGCGCTGATAAGAATTGGTCAAATTTAATTCATTTTACAAACGTCAACAATGAGATCAAGGTTATTGAAGTTACTCTCTGATATAAACAACTGATCGAAGAGTTCGTTTGATAAATATAATGAGCATTTCTACCACTCCACCGCCCGTAAGCAAGAAGAATTAAAAAATATAAAAAACAGCTGTAAATTGTCATTCAAATTTGTCATTCAGTGATTAAATGAATGTTTCAAAAATTTACAAGGTTTTAACTAAATTTATTCTCAACCAATGACAAGTGGCAGACGTCTCTAGTGTAAAAAGAAAATGGGCCAATATTCCAGGAAAACTTCAATATTCCGCAGCAAATTTTGTTAATAATTCGTTATAATAATAAATAAATAATAATTTTGTATTTCATAGTTTATCAAATCTGTTTTTCCTGAACATATGATAAAAAGGCACAGAGGCAATAAGGTGAAACACACTTGAAGGTGCTCACATGCATTTTCTGTGATAATACAATAAACGAAATAGAAATGAACTGACAATTTGAAAGATCTCGGTGTACAATCAAAAAATGTCTTGAAATTTTGCTTTGTACAAATGGGAGCACAAAAATAATCATGCTCGGTATGATTAGTTTATTTGATGCCCAAAACATATGGCGAGCTTGAGCATGGAATGTTGTATTAATATAATAATAAGATAGTGACAGTTGATACATCATCCCTAACACACTAACGCTTACTGGTATAGCTACGGTACAGGTGACGGCACGCGAGGGGAAAGTCGCAAATAATTTGAACCATTGAATTAAGATGAAAAAAATGAAGGTATCACAACCAGCATTGAAATGACTACACAAGTTAAAATAGTAACTCAAACAGACTTGAAACGCTTAGTTTCATCATCATCAAGATAGCTTGAAACTTTAATCAAATTTAAAATTGATCTGGAACAACCCTGGACACCAATGAATGTCGCAAAAAACATTATTGCATTAAAAATTTACACGCAATTCAAATTCACACATAGTGCTTATACAAATTCATTAATTTTTGTACAACAAAATGACTAAAAATACAGTAAGATCGTTACAGCAAACAGCTCAGCTCCGCATCCAGCTTCAACTTGAACAAGTGTTAAGAGCTGCACCGAACACAAAAATTGAGCATCAGCTTTAGTGATCACTTTAGTATTTAACAATCAAAGAAATTTGTAATCTAAAAACAAAGTATTTCTAAACCAAGTTTGAATTACATTACACTTACAGCTGCAACTAAAAGAAAAAGTATAGTTTAATTTAAAAATAGCCAGTCTTGAGATCAACGACGGTTCGATCTGCATACAATGAAAGGATTCTTAAAAAATGGGAAACTATTCTCCATTCAAAACTCTATATTAGGCTCAAATATTGTGATTTTCGCACTCGTGAGAGAAATAGAGGTGTGTTGTTTTCCAATCTTATCCAGTCTTTATATTTGTGACCATTCCTGTTCTGCAAAGGCACCAGCAATAGGCTGTGTATAAAAGAACTCAAAAGATAGAAAATTCGACGATAAAATCTTCACTGGTTTAGATGAACAGTGGAATTCACGAGGAGCTCCGGTGCGCAATAATAAAAAGCAAGCTACCGATAATACAACGTGACTCGAGCGAACAGCGTTCACACTCTGTGAAAATGATTAATTGAGTAAAGATTTCTATAATCCAAGCATTACCACTCAATGATGTAGGAGCACTAGCGTCAATGACACACAAGTCGCCACAAAGCAGCTACTACACCAAACTCGCCGCCCGTCAATAACAACCGTATAATGCTTGTCGCCATCATCATTTGTAGGGTTTAATCTTCACCTATTAAATAAGAAGCTTTTACGAATGCGCTGAAAAGTTAAGTCTCAATTTTGTTAACAAAACAGATAGCTTCTTTCGAAGGCCGGCGACATAAGTGCTGTGGCAAAGTTAGCGTCATTAACGGAAGTGTTTACTCTAGGGTCAATCTAGCGGGTTTGCCCTCGATCGTCATTGAAGAGCCATTGTAGAGGAGATGCTGACGCTTGACGTGCCCAAAAAGCAGGTCTGTCACCAGGAAAATCTGCACACACACGCCCAATATTAGCTCAGCAAACCAACACGAGCCTAGTATATATTATAAAGTCTAAGTCGAACTTTGACGAGAGGAAAGGCTGAGAGCAGTACCAAATATCCATCAATAATTTTCTATTTTTTTCATGAAGTTAACATCGCAATTACAGCTCACAGTTTTTGTTTAATTTGAGTAATATTTTTTAGCTTTATTTCGGTTTCAAATAAAGAAATGCCATAAAAATTCACTGGAAAGCAAAAATTAAGTTCACATTTTGTAAGAGAACAGCTCTAATACCGATCTCAGGCAAGCAGGTAATGCATGGAGATGAAAATACAGGGTGCGGCGCGGGAACTTACTTATTTGAATTGCGCGCCACGTGGCGGCCATTAGTCCTAGGAAGGTGGCGCCACGCGCAATATGGTGCGCGGGCTATGAAGTTTTTCGTCCACTCAGTTCAGTTGCGACCATGCAGTGGTCGAGAGAGGAGCGCGCGTTCGCAGTCTCTGTGTACTTTTCTAGTGGCCGGTCTATCGTTGCAACCCAGCGTGCGTTTAGGAGGCAGTTTAATGTCGCGCCCACTGGTCGTGTTCCTGGTCGTACATCAATCGTTAACGAGTGTCTTCAGAAGGTACGCAGATGCTAAGTTCTAGGATATGTCAACAGGTGGAAATAGCAAGAGTAAAGTCAACCTGTGCAGTATTGAAGGCGAGGGTGACTGCGAAGTAAAAATTAGCGTTGGCAGCGCCACTGAAGATCCACTGGTTGTACATGATGGGCCCCAGCACCGATGAGGCCACCAGCATGCACCCCACCAGGAAGCTTTGTCTAAGAACTGCGCACAATATTACATTATATTAGATGCCAGGGTCCACACTATCAAAAGTAGTTACGTGTTCGTAACTCAGTCAGCCAATAATGGACACGGCTTTTTAAGTTATACCCACCAATCTCATACGATAAATTGGCCACTGCGAGTACTTAGGCCACTATTTGCACTTAGGCCGCAGCGTATAATTAAGCAAGTTGTTTTTATTGCAGACCCTGCAGGTAGTTGTAGACAATAAAGAGAGTATGAGCAAAATGAAGAATAACCTGAAGTTAACACGTTGCCTACGATTGCTTCATCTTGTACAATTATTTCATTTTTTGTACTGTTTTTAAACAGGGTTGCCAGACGGTCATTTTTTCCGGACAAATTCCGTTATTTAGTTTTTCTCAATTGCGTTGGCTTGCTAAAATTTATGATAGGGGTGCTTCCTAATTAAATTTTAAATACTGCAAAAAGAAAATAAATAAAATTTTTATAACGGAACCTACAAATAAACTAGTACATATTGAGTCATCGCCCTTTTTTGTTCTCGGATTTGGCCGATTTTAGGCAGCTTGAATTATGTACCACTACGTCCTGGAGAAATACATTTCGTGGTACGCATATGTACCACTTCGGAGTCAACGTGTTAATGTAGCATAAATTTGAGGCGCTATGTAGCATACAAAAATTTCCTCCGAAGTTCCAGTGCATATTAAAATGCGTGGGCAAAATATGCAAGTAGTCTCGAAAATAAGCTAAAAAAAGTGTACACTAGTGAATAAAATTAAAAAAAGATGTAAGTTATGTAGGTACACGGGCGAAGTGAATAAAGAGTGCGTGACATGGGTAGCTGTGTGTCATGGGTAGGTGCGTGACATGGGTAGGTGCGTGACATGGGTGGGTGCGTGACATGGAAGGGTGCGTGACATGGGTAGGTGCGTGACATGGGTGGGTGCGTGACATGGGTGGGTGCGTGACATGGGTAGATACTTTGGAATATCTGAGCAACACAGAGTATACATGAGTGATGGATTACACCTGAGAAGACCAGAGTACACACGAGTGATATAAAGAATAGTAGAAATAGAGGAAAATTGATACGTTGATTAGGCCACTTATAAGACTAAAAGTATTATGACATTGTTGCAAAAATAGGATCAAATACATTATTTTTCAGGAAAATTAGTAATTATTACTAAGTATTGTTATTTGTTAATGTCAAGTGACTAAGGATTGAAATTACAGAAATCAATCCTTTAATTTAAGAGGAATTTTGTACTTGATATGAGATAAATGATACTGGAAATCGGAAGCAAATAATTATTTGAAGGGATAACAAAAAATATTCATTATAATAATAATTAAAAGGATGAGATACAAGACCGAATTGCTAAGATCAAATTGGAAGAATAAAAAAATAAACGAAATATTTAGGAGGCGAATACATGTCACTTTTTGCATGTATTGTATGTGCTTGACGAGACCACAGAGTTTAGTTGGAACAAGTCCAGGAATTATAAATATAAATAAAAACTAATAAAAAATATGAAATCATTGGAGATGAATATAGTTTGTAGCATCATGGGTTGGCAGTTGAGGTGTTCTGACCACAGCGTTGCGCTGGAACACGGCAAGAAATTACGAAGATAAATGAGAACTAATAAAAAATATGAAAGCATTGGAGGTGAACATAGTTTGTATTATCATGGGTAGGCAGTTGACAAGTTCTGACCACAGCGTTGAGCTGGAACACGGCCAGGAAGAAGAGGCGGAAGTGTTCGAACATCTCGGTGAAGAAGTACCAGAAAAGCCCGATGTTCGGGGTCAGGTCTGGGGCTGATAATCTGCACAGAAATAATTCATGATAGCAATTAACACAATTATTAAACAAATAACTAAATAAACCAAAGAATTTAGTTGACGCAAATTAATAGGCAGGGTCAAGTATCTAGCTACCACATCGTAACATCATCAGAGTTGACCAAGTAAAAGATAAACCCTGCAAATAATTTATTTCAATGCTGCACATTAATTTTATTTGACCAAAATTTTTTAGTAATGATGACCACACATGCAAGTTACTATAAATTTATAGCTTTGCTTGCAAGTCATTTATTACTACAAATATTTAATTGCACGTTATATATGTATTACTACAAATATTCAATTTGCAGGTCATTTATCAAGTTTATCTCTTTGTTTCAAAGCTACAAATAACGCACATAAAGCCGTAGGTGGCCTCAAGGAAGTCCCAGCCTCCTGCGATCTCAGCAGACACGAGCAGCAGGAGGGCGGCGGTGACGACGAAGGACACAAGGCTCCTGCACAGGATCCTGACGCAATGGTCCTGTAACGCGGGGCGCAGTGCCCCCGACCTCACCTCCTTGCTGGAGTCTGTGTAAAGAATTCCAGAACATGAATTATCATTTAAATAATTTGATGTCAAATATTAAAGTAATATAAATTGCACTAGGTAAAAAATATCACTATTTCCTTGCCGGGGTCAGCAGTAACAATTTTGGATGCTTATTAGCTTCAGAATATATAAAAAATTAATTCAATATATGAATGAGAGAAGGAAGAAAACAACTCGGTTACCGTTATACAAAAAAACATTTGTGTGAGGACCGTGCGTTGTGTACGTGTGTTGCTACACATGCTATACACTAGCCTTATAAACAAAACATGACATACTGCAACCTTGACCTGAATTAATGAAGAAATTAAAACAGGTAGCACATAAAAAATGAGACAACAGCACACCAAATTGCGAGTGGCGTACATATTGCCAATCTGAAAAAATACTTGGATGAATAAAAAAAAAAATAGAATAGAATATTAAAAATGATTAAAATTAAATTAAATTAATTAATTAAAAGTAAATTTGAAGTCAAGAAAAGAAGAAGTAAATGTCTGACCAGGTAGTGGAGGAGCAGAGGCGCAGTTGTGATGGTAGGGGTCGGCATGGTACTGGTAGAGCGCTATGAGACCAGGCACCAGCAGCACCACGGGGTACACAGCTTGGTAGGTAGCAAGTGCTACCAGGGCACCGAACAGCACGGCCCGGCCTGAACACACAATGTAATTAGTGGGTAATTTATTAGTAATTTTTATAATTACCTTTCAAAAATAGTCAGATATTCAAAACAGGAATTAGATAGTCAGATAAATCAAAATCATAATTACTGTTACAGCGGGGGACATGCAAGGTTGTGGTGTTGAGGTTGAGGTTGTGGTGGTAAGAGCCAGTTTGTGGTGGTAAAGACTACCTACATTTAAGCATAGCGAGCAGTAGGCTGGCTAGTACAAGGTTGTGCAAGGTTGTGGTGGTAAGGACTACGTAACTTTAAGCATAGCGAGCAGCAGGCTGGCTAGTACAAGGTTGTGGTGGTAAGGACTACGTACCTTTAAGCATAGCGAGCAGTAGGCTGGCCAGTACAAGGTTGTGCAAGGTTGTGGTGGTGAGGGCAGTGCAGGACAGCACCGTGTAGGGGCAGAGGAGGTAGGCCGCCGCCACGTCCTTGGTGGCGCCGGCGAGCGACGCGGCGCTCAGCAGCAGCGGACGCGAGTCTGGGGCGTAGCGCGGGGCCTCAGTGTGCTGCTCCCCCAACTGCACAGCGGGACTTAGGTTACTAGTGTACTGGTAGCTGTTAGGTTACTCGTGTACTGGTAGCTGTTAGGTTACTATTGTATTGGTAGCTGTTAGGTTACTAGTGTATTGGTAGCTGTTAGGTTACTAGTGTACTGGTAGCTGTTAGGTTACTAGTATACTGGTAGCTGTTAGGTTACTAGTGTATTGGTAGCTGCTAGGTTACTAGTATATTGGTAGCTGTTAGGTTACTAGTGTATTGGTAGCTGTTAGGTTACTACTATATTGGTAGCTGTTGGGTCACTAGAATATTGGTAGCTGTTTGGTCACTATGATGTCAGTGGTTCTTAGGTCACTACAATGACAGTGGTTCGTAGGTCACTAAGATTTCATTGGTTTTAAAGTCACCAACAAACTTTACATAATTACACACAATAATATTTTGAACTCCACAATTAATTCTAACAACAACTGGTAGCGTTTGCTACTAACAAATGTGAAGGTGAATTAGCACACATAGTTTCCTCACCACACATTTAGCAGTTCATGAGTAATGTATAATAATATAATTATAAAGCACTGGATGAGTGCTGTTCCCAATTTCAGCTATGATGATCATAATTCATATAATCAAGTTGAATGATGATTGTTTTAGGTAGACAAATCTAACAGTGCTTCATCAACCTATACTCTAGAAACCGTAAACAGCAAATTTAAATAAAGATAAGGTTTGCCCAAGCATTGAAGCCAGCACGAAAATAGCATCATTACCACTTAATAGAATTAAGGTCGGAAGAAATGACTAATAATCAGGAAGTCATAGATAACGAAAACCAAATGGAAGAACCGATGTGTGTGTATAAATACTCTTTAGAAGTCTCACTAGTGGTGAATATAAGTAAGAAAATATAAGTACAGGTAAATACAGGGTGGGGCAGAACCGATTGGGCAGTTTTGAGGCAAAATAAAAGAGAAATGGAGGTACATAAAGAAGAAAGTTTATTCTCCTCGAGGTTTGCATAACATACCATTTAGAATACTTAGGTTTTGAAAACATTATCAGGAAGATGGTGGCCGTTAGCTGCAACACACTGTTGGAGTCGTTCTCGGAAGTTTCCTACAGCACGTTCACACATATGGCGAGGTATGGCCATAACCTCTGCAATAATCCGTTCCCTTAGCTGCGGTAGGGTGTGAGGGCGACTTCTGGTTGCAGCAGGATGGGGCTACAGCTCACATAGCCCGAATGTCACTGAATGTTTTGAAACGCATGTTTCCCGGACGTCTGGTGTCTCTGAGGGGTGATTTACAGTGGCCTGCGAGGTCACCTGATTTGAGCATTTGCGATTTCTTTCTTTGGGGACATCTAAAAGAGAAGGCGTTCAGAAGTCGCCCCCACACCCTACCACAGCTAAGGGGATGGATTATTGCAGCAGAGGTTATGGCCATACCTCGCCATGTGCGTGAACGTGCTGTAGGGAACTTCCGAGAACGACTCCAACAGTGTGTTGCAGCTAACGGACACCATCTTCCTGATATTATTTTCAAAAGTCAAAACATAAGTAATTTAAATGGTATGTTATGCTAACCTTGAGGAAAATAAACTTTCTTTATTATGTTTCTCCATTACTCTTTTATTTCGCCTCAACACTGCCCAATCGGTTCTACCCCACCCTGTATAAGTTACATAACTCAGGTGTAATTAGTATAATTGACCCACCAACTTATTAGCGTAGGCCATAGCAGCCCGACTTAGCAGGAAGGCCGTGAGCAGATCACAAGTTATGAAGACGACCTGCACCCACCAGCCCCACCGTGAGCAGATCACAAGTTATGAAGACGACCTGCACCCACCAGCCCCACGACCTGCAAGTTACAGGTTATGAACACGACCTGCACGTTACAAGTTATGAGCACGACCTGCACCCTCCAGCCCCACGACCTGCACGTTACAAGTTATGAACACGACCTGCACCCTCCAGCCCCACGACTTGCAAGTTACAAGTTATGAGCACGACCTGCACCCACCAGCCCCACGACCTGCAAGTTACAAGTTATGAACACGACCTGCACGTTACAAGTTATGAGCACGACCTGCACCAACCAGGCCCACGACCTGCACCCTGCAGTCCCACGACCTGCACCCTGCAGTCCCACGACCTGCACCCACCAGCCCCACGACCTGCACCCACCAGCCTCACGACCTGAACCCACCAGCCCCACGACCTGAACCCATCAGCCCCACGACCTGAACCCATCAGCCCCACGACCTGAACCCACCAGCCCCACGACCTGCAGGCTACCTACATCAGACCAATGCACAATTGCACAAAATTTCAGGGCACGATTAGCACAATTACAGTACGCTTTTTGCATACTAATGCACACCTACGTTATCACACTATTATGGTAATTGAGTTATGAATGAGCTAGTATCTTAACATTCTAGCAAACTTCAAACCAAATAAAACAAACTTCATGTTGAGGTATGGACATATTCTGATTTATTTCAGTTACACAATTAAATTGGAAATTCATCTATTACAGAAAATTTTTTTTACAACTGTTACAACTTTAGATGTATTAAAACAATATGATAGGGGGAAATTCTTATTTTAATTACGATTTGAATTGAAAAAGCTGCAAAGAAATTAGTACACATTTTCAATGTTCAAGACATTAAATTGAGACATTTTCAAGAAGAATAAGAGGTGAAGGCACCTGATGAAGATGCCCCCAAGGAAGAGAGTTATGGGGGACTCGTGGAAGACGCCGCCGCTGTACACGGCCACGCCCTGACTCTGCAGGTACACTCCCTCCTTCACTGCACAGCGCACAGTGATCAACCACAGCACAGCTCAACACTTCAACTTATTTCAATACAGTCAAACTAAACTTTTAGAAGAAAAATAAATAGAATTTCAATCGAATTGAATGAAATTCAACATTTCTGTTGGAATTTCAAATCTGTAAGCCAGCTGTGCAGCACAGCATGTTCACCTCTCAGCCAGCTGTTGAGTGGCGTGGACACCTCCACACGGCTACTGATGGCTGTGGCGAGCGTGGCACTGTTCATGAGCCACAGCCGCAACAGCGCAGCCACAGCGTACAGCAGCACCATGCCACGCATCCTGTACAGCTGCTGTGCAGCTCAGTTCCAGCTGCTGTACGGCTCAGTTCCAGCTGCTGTGCTCTAATATGGCTATGCACTCAGCCAACAGCTGTGCATTCCTACACCGCTACTGTACTAGGATACTTCAGTTTGATTGATTGCTATTTTGCATGCATATTACCTTGAAAGGGGGACAATAATATTTATAGTGGATCAAGAATTATGATAACAATGTTCACGCTAAGATAATAAATAGGTGTTAAATAAGATTACAATTATTTGTGTTGTTATATAGTTATTATAGTTCATGCGAGAGATAATAGTAATATTCACATATTACTTATCCTGCTCAAGTCATGATTCAGACCCACACTTGAGAACGATGTGGGTCACAATAAATTCAATGTAAGTGATCAAGCAGATAAAATATATAGTGATATTGAATAAGGTTTAATGCGTCATATGTACAACTTGAAATCCCATCAAAAGATGCGCTTCTAAATTAAAGTGTTATGGTTCTGAGTAAAAATAAATTTCTTTAAACACAGTATCAAGTATTTAAAAACTCGTGTTATTTGAGTTTCAATAGTAAAAGTATTCAATAACTTGCAATTAAATTAAATGAAACTGAAGCTCCAGCGGCAAGGATTGCACATCCTTTCAACCTTCCTCTCGGTCACCATTTAGCATCAAGGAAACTATTGAAGATTTCTTAAGAGTATCTGAAAAATTATAGAACATTTCATTAAAAGACAAAAAGCTATAATGTCAAAAGTGCACAAGATAAATTTCTTCAACAAACTAGAACACTTCCCTGAAAATGTAAGTTTGTAATGTAAACTTCAAAGTAATGTAGTAAATGTTAACACAAAATATAAAGTAAATGTGAACAAAGCCAGCACGGGAGGAGCGAGAGGAAGGTTGCTGTAACCATGAGGGAAGCATTCGACAGATGATCTGTAATCATTTTGGTAAGTTGTCACCATGAATGATGTTAGAATATTGGTAATTAACAGTCAGAAGTTCATAAAAATTACATAGACCTTGCACTTGCATTGAAAACATCGAGTCATGTGAAAATATTACAGTATTACAGATAATCATGCAACCAGTGATCGTGACTAATAATTTAAGCTCATAGAAATCGATGGAGATTGCAGAATAATTACAGAGATCATCATTGCGCATATAATGTTCAAATAGGTTAAAATTTTTAAAAATATTTATAGTGGAAAATGAACCAGCCTAATTTAGGCTACATTTTGATAACAAATCTCATAACAGGAAGAAACAGAGCTAACAGTCAAAACATGAGGTACTCTGGCAATCAATATGTAGCATTTCATCCCCTCTTACTTCTCTTTCCAATGCCACTGGATGTGGATTATTTCTCATACTCCCAGATCCTACGGTATTTATTTTTAAAAACCAATAAGCTATTATTATATTATTTTCTGAAAAAAAAAAATACTCCAATACTCCCAGATCCTATTGGTTAATAAAAAACCATAAGCTATTATTATATTATTTCGTGAAAAAAAATTGAATTAAAAAAATACAACCCTATTTATAATGGGAGGTACGCTACAAGTGCTACATTTTCGAGCGTAACTTGCTGGTCTACGTAGCGCACTAGCTTGGCCTGCAGACCACATTCTCGCAAGAACTCGACCCTGCCGTGGTCTATTAGGAGCTTAGCAGCGCGGCCAATTGCTTCACGCTCCCCAATGCTAAGACCCAGCCTCTCGTAGCGGTTGCGAGCGCCAGACCCTTCAGTCACGGCGTCGTGCTCTTCGTATGTTGGTGTGGAAGAGGCTTTGTTTTTAATGTTTTGACAATCATGGTGCACTTTTATATCATCCAGTAGCATATAAGAGACTTTGCTATTAACGTCTGAACTAACTACAGTTACTTCGTCGGCGTCCATTGTTGCAAAAGAGGCTTTGTAATAAACGTCTGAACTATCGACATGCACTCTATTGGCATCTGCTGTAGCTGCAGGAACTGAAGAATCTGCTGCAGGAGGACGAGCAGCACACACGGCCCAGCTGGTGAGGCCCATCACGGCAGTAAATTCTGCTCCACTTAGCCCAATTCTCTGGAATATTTCACTCAATAAGTGCACATGCAGCAAGAAGACAACATTAATTTTCATGTATCATATTAATAAGGTAAGCTTTAACTGCATTGTTGATGAAACATAAAAAGGAAGATGATATTTTGAAATATAATACAGGAATTATAGCCAATGTAACATGAAAAAAAAAATGTCCTCAAAGAAAATAAATACAAGCATCAATTTCGCTATTCCGCAAAATTTGCATAGAAGACAATAATTTAAAACCTTAAAAACTGAATCAGATGATTTGGTTATCAAATCCCAATATCCTAATCATGAAAAAAACGAAGTTAGTGAGATACCACTAATACCTATGCAAATATAGTTGGCCTGCTGTTATTTTGTGAATGGCAAAAGGCTTTACGTGAGTTTAACAGAATCACTCCATAAAATATTGTTTTTTTTTCCTGCGCTCACCTTGAAGAAACGTTTCCCAGTGTAGTGCTGCCAAGAGCATTTGTGATGACAGCAGAGAGCGATGACCAGACCACAAGATGCAACAGACGCATTAGCAAGGCTGTCTTTACAACAACAATGGCTTGATAAATTTTCGTTCTCTGGAGCTTCCCAATTATTTTTCCTACACAGGCATTTCATTTCCATATCAGATGCCTTACTTGTAACTTCACGAGTAGAGGTCTGGTCAATAGATAATGCATTGTCATGGAGTTCAAATAGACTACTGCTCGCAAGATTGTCTGCAAAATGTTGGTCAGATTTAATGACAAGATTAGAAACTGAATTTGAACCACTTATATCAACCTTTAAGTTATGGATTTCTTGAGCATTGCAGTTTCCGCTAAATGTAGTTGAATTAATGTTCTGGTGAGCCAAGTTTTTTTGGTCTTGAGCATCATTTTGACTTCTTGCTTGGAAAAGTTGCAGCCGATTGAGGCAGCGCAGAGTCAAATCTGAAAAAAACAGACAATATCTTGTCTCTAGGTTATTTGATTTGATGTTGGTACACTTTGTGTGAGTAAAAGGCAGTGAAAGATAAAACTTTTAACTTGATTACACAATTTTCATGATTTCAGTAGAGGGCGAAGAGCATTCTTAGCTCATAAAAATAATTATAACAAAAATATTATTATTAGTTTTAAATGTACCATTAATTGATGCTAAAATTCTAAGTGTGAGGGTAGAAATACTACTGCCAAAATTATAAAATAATAGTCAGTTTTCTTTTGATGTAAGAGAGTATATTGGTTATTTACAGTTTTATCGCTTATTTGTAGCCTTGACAAGCATAAGTAATGTAACAATAGGGAAATACGTAGTAGATAGGTACCATCTTTGCACCACCAAGAATGTGGTGAAAGTACCACTACAAAGGTGATTACAGTACCAATACCTTACCAGTAGCAGCTCCACAGAGATGCTTGCCCCCTGCATACACTCTCCCTCCCAGCATCAGCCCTGGCACACGCTCCAGGGCTAGGTCAGCAATGTCAAGGCGCAGGCGCTTTGTGCTCACGTTACTCCTGATCATATGAGAGTAACTTGTATAAATACACTATCAATACAAATTTAGGTTATAAATGTTTCAAAGGGCCAAAAGAAATTGATTGTATGAAAGCAATAAATAAACTATCTTATTTTCTCATCAATGAGGTCATGGCCATGCTGGCAAGATCATAGCTGAGAACCATTCAAGCATGCATCACTCAATAAAAGCATGGTTCTTGATAATATATATAGCACACTTCAAAAGAAAATAGTAACTATAAAAAATAACCAACCCTTCTCTTATTTTGGTATCAAACTTGTAGCGCTGAGCACCGCGGTCTATGAGCACCACCTGGACCTGCTGTGAGCTGTCACACGCCCTCACCACATGATGTGACAATTCACCTGTAAAACAATCTAATATTAGGTGGCAGGAAAATAACATACCTAGCAAAGTGTCATGACTTTCCTGATTGAAACAAGTGATGTTAGGGGAAAAACTCGTAGTTATAGAGGACGGTTTTTCTTCTAGAAATATAGAAAGAGCAAGTGTTTATTCCTAGAAATCCCTTTAATAGTGGAATGATACATGGAGTCTGCACCTATGATCAATAGGCAGGGGCAGGACTAGGGTACTAGAGATGGCAAAGAAGCATTATAAGATGGCATGGATGCCTAATAAGATTGTACAAATGCCTGATACGATGGTATGGATGCTTTTAAAGATGTCAAGACCATATCATCACCTCTGCCAGCACCAAACTCCAAGAAGCACAACTGTGAGCCCATTTTGTCATGCTGGGGCAAGCTTCCATCAACCATTCTCTCCACGCCATTAGGAGCCTCAGCACCGAGCTGTTTGGAACCACCCAGACCACCAATGGCACCAAGACGAGCCACCAAGGACCTATTCTGTAGGAAATGCTTCTGGTAGCTTGGTCCACTCAGAGGAGAGATCTCAGTCTCAGGAACTACAGATGAGTGACTTAGGTCAGCATCTTGCACTGGATCTGCATGGCCTGTACAACAACAATGAAATTAAGTTTGAATTAAACACAAACAGTATTGACAAAGCAATAGCTTATGATAAGAAGAAAAACTTTGACAACTCAAAGAATGCACTCATTAGAATAAATAAAAAATTTTTTGCTATCATAAACTAACTAAGAGAACTATGATTCCATTAAAGTGAAAAAAAAATGTCTGACAAAACTGTCTTAACCACTTGAAGGTACAAAATAATAATGACTACGAGTATTTTGTGATATAATTTCAACATTTTATCACCCAGAATGATGCAACATGCACAAGGGAATTTTTTAATGGCAATTATGGACATGTATAACAATCTCAAAAAATTACTGAATAAATCAGCCCGATGATGCTGAAATAATTAGAACCAAACAAGAAATATAAATATATAATAGATATGTTTTATCTATAAATTTTATATTCACTTACTTTGAGCATGATTCTTAACATGTGCAATGAGCTGCATGAGCTCTGCATCACTAAGCTCAGCCAGAGTTCTGCCACCTAAGGAGATATGTTGTTTTATTGCTTCAGGATTTTCAGCTGCATTTGTATAATTTTCATTATCCACATCAGGAGGCTGGGCATTAACATCTTTACAGTAGTAAGGGAGGTCAACAGGAGCTCGGGCATTGCAGACTTTAAGGTGTTGGTCCATGATATGAGAGTATACAGAGCTGCAAATCATGAATAAATTACTCTCACAATTGACATGAAAATAAAGAAATTAGTTCAATAGTCCTAAACTGATTCAATAATTCAAAATGACAATTGAAGAAATCACATGAATCTCACTACATATATATTGATTAACATCACATTAGAGTTACCTACATGTTCATTCATTATATTATTATTATATTATAATCATTGTATTAAGACTTCAGACAGGCACAATTTATAAACATTTCCTAAACATGAAGTGATACATAATTATATACATAAATATCTTGAAGAGCCATCAGGTGAGGTTAGGTAACTAATCTAAAGAATTTAAATTCTACAACCAGAAATGATGAGTTTCACAAAATTCCATATCTTATAGTATTAAACTTACTGCTTGGGATCCAATGGACAAGGTACTCGTATTCGTCCTTCTTCCTGTGAGGGAAAATAGAAAAATTTTACTTCTTTAGAACTTTTAGAAGTCATAGCAAGATTTGAAATCACTGTCTATCATTTAGGAAAAATAATTAGAGCTATGAAAAATACCTACATCCCAATTTCTAACATCCTGGGCTACACATCCAAGAAGTATAATAGCATATATATAAATGCAGTTGACAAATAACATGAGAAATTATTCCTTTTTGAAAAAGGCAAAACAACAACTACTATATATATATATATATATATTGTGACTGGGAACATCCAAGCAACTTACATCAGGAGATGACTCTGCTACCATGTGTTGTCCGCAATATTTCTTGCCTTTGGATGCAAGCATCCTGCAGAATCGTTTCTTGTGGTTCAAATAAAAAGTGCATATATCTGAGCTTGATCCTTCCATAATACTGTCTGGCTGGCTTATTTTCTTCCGTTTACCAACCATTATTGTGCATTAGCTAATTTTATTGGCAAATTGATGATGGCAATTTTAAAATTTACGCTCTCAAGTCAGTCAGGTGAAATGTTTAGAACAGTTATCTTGGCATTTACAGGTCTTGCAAATCACCTTGAAAACCAGAAAAGCATGAAAATAATTTTTTATTAAGATAGCATAATGAACATTATAAAAATACATACAAAACATTTTTTTTGTAATTGGAAAGATTTTTCAAGAAAATATAAACTATTTAAAACTGCAATGCAGGCAGATAATTTAATCCATTTCTTTAGTAAATATTTATAATATATGTAATAAACGAGACATTTTTTGCCTGGTTTCTGGTTTACATTGTTAGAATTTAGTTCGAAAAATTAGCCAAGAGCAATAGGCAGGACAAATTCTAAGAAGGAAGTTCACTTATAAAAAAGCTTTTCACCCAAGATGGAAAGCTTTCCTTAGATACATCGCTCTGCCAGGTGGTAGGTGACTGACTATAAAGGAAAGGGAGGATCAAAAGTTGGCAAATTGTTTCAATTGTGTAGTGCCAGGTACATCAGACTTGTCATTGAATTGTTTAGGTGTCCCTTGCTTGATTACTATATTTTATTCTTCTCTTATTTAATGTATTTTTCAAACATTTTTCCAGGCCCTTTGTTTATACAGTAATGAATAATGATTAAGCAAGTTAAGTATTAAGTCAAGTAAGTCTAAGTATTAAGTTAATCAGTGGTTCAGCTAAGTGAGCTAACCATATTTAATAGCGGGGCTTTTGGGCACAACACAGCTGGAAAGGATGACATCACAATCCCATCAACCAATCACAGCTGGAAAGGATGACATTGCAATCCCATCAATCAATCACAGCTGGAAAGTATGTCATTGCTGTCAGCCGGGGCTACTCGGGACAGTTTTGAGCGTTTTTTTGTTAATAACTTCTTACAATGAAATATTTCATAAACAAGTTTAGGCTCATTTTATAGCTCTTTGCGAGGGCTATCGAATGGCATTGTCAAAAAAATTCCATATGCTATTTGTAGGGTGCCAGAAGCAAAAAAAAGAATGTCACGAGTAGCCCCGTTCGACGGGGCTACTCGGGACACTTGGAATAAAACTTCATATTAAAACATTTGAAGCATGCAGAGCGTACTCATCTACAGCAATCCCTTGATTAGCACGGTTTTGAATACTGCGGTTTTGATTAACGCGGAAAAAAATGTTGCGACCTACCCTTAATCTACGCGGTGCCAGTTTTGATTAGCGCGACTTTTTTTCACAACGCATCATTTTCCCGCCTCTAGCCAGAGGTGTTACATTCGTAAGTCATAACAAAAGTGTTACTTTTTGCTTATTAGATCTTATGTTGTTACTTTTGTTACGACTTTTGGAAAAATTCGCCAAATGTTGTTACTTTATGAATTTCAGCCAATAATTCTTTAAATAAGGTCCCGTTCCGTAGGCACTTGTGCTGACTACAGAGTCGGTTTAACCGCGTCTTGTCTCGTTCATAACTCGAATGGTCGAGTTCGGCAACGTTCGCCAGTAAGTGCGCCATGCCGGCGCTCTACAGTAGTTACTCGTTAGCCTTCAACTGGTCAAGATCGCTGCCATATCTACTGCTCACTTTTATCAAACTACATAATTTTCCTTGATAAATTCCCGTCATAATTACTGTATGGACAAAAAGGGAACGCTTAAACGTAAAAATATCACTTTGGAGACTAAGCTTGAAATAATTAAGTGTTTTGATAATGGTGAAACGAAAACAAAGATCGGTGAAGACCTAGGGTTTCCCGAGATGATGAATTTTAGTGAAAAAAAATTATTATGTAACTTTGCTATTTTTGAGGATTCATTATAATTATTCCCATATATTCTCAAGTTTGATTAGCGCGGTTTTGCTCAACACGGTAAAACTCGAGTACAACTTGTGTTTTTTTTTTGCGGACAGAGGTCAAGGTTCCACAGTCAAGCCATTTCTTCTTCTGTACCCCCGAGTTTCGGACTTTTGGTTCAAATCTCTCGATCATGTTTTCCAGGTGGGTCCTGAAAACAGTCCATGCCTTGTTTACATCCTTCTCTCCCAGCTCCTCATCCCAGATAATGCGGTTGAGGTCCTCCCTCATCCGGCTGTAGTCTGCTTTGAGAAAGTTTGGTCGCGCTGGCTTTTTCGGTTTCTGATAGTTGCAGGCGATGTTGATGAGGAGTGTGGCAGTCCATCATATAATGGACTGAAATTGGAAAATTCCTGGCCTTTCGCCCTTTCCAAGCTTTCAGATCCTACTTTCCAATATGCTACCTGTAATGGTTAATTTAATATCCCTCTAGAATTCCACACAACCATAGGGTTGGGAAAAATGGACTACAAGCAGTCAAGCACAACCTCTGAACCTCACAGAGACACAGACACTGTGAGTTACAGTCACAAGCATTTTTGTCTCATTAACAGGTGTCAGGTGGATTCTGCCTTATTTTTCTTGTTTGGATTTAAATAGCAAATAGCATGAGAATCCTGCCCTTGCAGGCTTATTTGAGGCTATAGTTGAATAGTATGGTATTGGTAATTCAACACTTCTACTCACATCACAAATTCTCATTCCTTAGCCCTCATGGTCTGTGCTCCATGGGACAGTGGGAGCAGCTGAGCAGGTCCAGTCAGGGTGGGAAATGTCCTATTTTTTTAATATTACAGCTCTAATATCATAAAAAAATTTCCAGTAGGTATGAAATCTTGCGGCTCTAATGTCATGTATTTTTACTTGATTGAAAAAAATCGCAGTTTGCACTTTGCAAACATGTCATTTCAACATCCAAAATGTTTCCTTGAAGATTGCATAGTTACAGTCACGTCAGAGCGGTCAGATTGCAATATCATGTGTTCAGTTGACACTTATGTGAAGACAAATGTTAGTGTTGCTATTTGATGACTGTCTTTGGAGTAAAATTAGAGATTTGAGGTAAACCGTGCATAGGACTTTGAAAATAAGTTTGAGGCTTGTAAATTCACAGCTTAAAGAATGGTATCATGGCTCAAAGAAATGGAATCACGGCTGGAAAGCTCATAAAACCACAGCTTGAAAAATCCAGCTGTGGCTTGCCTAGAAGATATATTCCATCATCCATGCCTGGGTACAATGACTGGGGCACTGTGACAGTGACGGTGTCACCTTAGGCTTAGTCTCTTAGAGAGCTGCAAGTAAAAGTATGAGGATTTTTATTGTTCTTTCTTTGGCCATTGGCCAATAAGTCAATAACACACTATGACAGTAACGACACTATCACACTAACAAATAAAAATGCAGGATACCCGATAGTGCCGATACAGTGAGAGTGACAGTCCACTGAGTGTCTGAGTCCAGTCTCCAGTGTCCAAATAGTGAGAGAGTAGAGACTGAGTCTGAGACTGAGAGTGACAACTTCAAGTGTGTGGAATTCTCAATTCTAGAGGTTTGGCTTTGGCAGTTGGCAGGCTTGTTGCTTGGCACACATGACACCACTATCACTATGGCAGTAAATAATGGCACTATGCCTACAAGGCTACGGTAGTTACAGTCAGTCCGACCTAGTCTAGGCTATCACCATTCACCTATTAGTATCAGCTTACTATGGCAGTACCTAATCAATGCCAGTATGCCACTATGCCAGTAAATAATAATGGCATTACATTCTATGATTCTACAAGCATCAATATTCATGACATAGGTAGCTGGTAGCTCACATACGATTAAGATTATAGGAATAGGTATCTTATCAAGCCAGGTATTTAGCCGGCAAGGCCAACCCATATCAGCTATTTACATTATTTCTTAGACCAAGACCAGAAAAGGGGTCTTATAAACAAATTTCTCATTTTCAGAGTTAAAAGTTNCGACACTATCACACTAACAAATAAAAATGCAGGATACAGTGACACTGTGACAGTCCAGAGTCCACTGAGTCCAGTCTCCAGTGTCCATATAGTGAGAGAATAAAGACAGAGTGACAACTTCAAGTGTGTAGAATTCTAGAGCATAGTGACAAACCAGAGATTTTTTGGAATCAGTTCATTTTTAATTCCCCATTTACCCAAGATTTAAACCAATTTATTATGTATGCAGTAGTATGATGATGATGGTATCCGGGATACTTTACTGGTCTACTTATAGGACTCAAAACTGAACTTGAGCCTTGAGGGAGAGTCTAAAAAACTCTCTGCTTTACCACTATGTTCTACTTCTAGAGGGTTGGCAGTTGGCAGGCTTGGCTGCCTTGGCACACATGACAGTCAGACAGTGATGACACGGGACACCTATCATGACTATGGCACTATGCCTACAAGGACAGTAAATAATAATGGCATTACATTCTATGATTCTACAAGCATCAATATTCATGACATAGGTAGCTGGTAGCTCACATACGATTAAGATTATAGGAATAGGTATCTTATCAAGCCAGGTATTTAGCCGGCAAGGCCAACCCATATCAGCTATTTACATTATTTCTTAGACCAAGACCAGAGAAGGGGTCTTATAAACAAATTTCTTATTTTCAGAGTTAAAAGTTAAAACAATATTTTTTGTTGGCAATGGTAGATGGTAAAAGCAAAAACTGAAAGTAGGTTATAGTGGCAAAGCAGAGAGTTTTTTAGACTCTCCCTCAAGTTCATTTTTGAGTACTATAAGTAGACCAGTAAAGTATCCTGGATACTAGCATCATAATACATAAGAAATTGATTTAAATCTTGGGTAAATGAGGAAATTAAAAATGAACTGATTCTAAAAAATCTCTGGTTTGTCACTAAGTCTTAGTAGGTCTTTATTTTCCCAAAGAACTAACACTGTGACTGACTAGGAAAGTCAGTCTATAACTCTTCACTAAACACAATTCATAACGACAAGATCGCTGTGAAGTGTGAAGACAAGATCACACTTCACAGCAGGATTAAAATTCGACCTTTAAGAAGTTCAAAACTTTATGCGTGTATAATAATGACGATAATATTAATAAGGACAAATAAATTTGATTATTCATTTACTCTTACTGGACACGGTCCCAAAAATATGAGATTCTTGGGCTTGGGCAAATTGGGTTACCGTACTTGAATTGCGCCTCACTACTCACTAGCTACTTTGCTAGTGCTGCCCGGTGTTTGTTTGGAGGCCCGGCAGTCGGCACCGGCAGCGCTCCCAATACAAATAGGTTTTTAACGTCCGCCACAGGCCTGGCAATATACAATATTTTGACTAGAGATTTTTATTCTTCCGCAACGGTTTGCAATTTTGCATTCATCACATACGATATTGTTTTGCATAAAGTGAATGCATTCGTTCAACTTGATAACGTTCTTAGCATAATTGAAAAATTTTATTGGTGGAGCGAAGCCCACTGATAAAAAAAAAACATAAACGGATAATATTCATTTCGATAAGTAAACAAGTGATATTCGAGGTGGCAGCGTTGAAGATTATGTCATCAGTCCTGTCGCCGTTTTTGAACATCACTGAAATTTAATGCGGTGGCTGCTGTCACGTCATCGATTTCGACCAAAACTTTAAGTTTGCTAAAGGCTTCAAACTTGCTGATTCGCGGCTGATGATCTTAATAAACACACGATTACCCAGAGCGAAGCGAATAAGGAAGTCATGTGCACCTATATATGAGAGCAAATTGTTATAGTGGTATTTGAATAAATTTTTATACCTTTCCAGGAACACGTTACAACGTTTTTATGCCAGTGACGACATTAGGTTTTGGCGCATTAGGACCATTTTGAGGGGCTTTAGCCGTGCCAAAACGAAGATATGAACTAACCCCAACAAGACCCAGTCGACTGGGTCAATTGTCAGTCTGACTGACAATTTTTTAGATTGTGGAGCTGCACCTCTTGTACAGTTGCAGGCTGAAGTCAAATCGTGAAGAAGTTCTTTCTTGAACAGACGATCGGCTTTGTAGCAAAAATGTCACCCTCTCGCCGAGGTTCCGAAAAATGGTTATTTGCTTGAATATATTCAATTTTGCTCAGTGCATGCTGTAAAAATGCTTCAAGTCCATTGAGCGCTATTAGCGGCATAGTGTAGAGAAGTACTCTCTCGTCAGTTCAGATGCTAATCCAAGACAGGAGTCAACCGACATCATGCATTAGAAGGCGAAATATAAGAGAGGCTGTATTTCAATCAAGACTACGACTTTCATTCGTTTCAGGTGATCATCAACGACCTGACGAGTGACCACTAGCAATACATTTATTCGCCAGGATCCTAAAGACGAATGACGAGTATTTATATCAAGAAATGATCACTGAGCTACGATTATGAAGGTCGTAACACATTAAGAAACCTAACACAGGTGAGCGCGATTGGTATAGATGTCTATCAGTAGCGCCAAGACTATCAGTAGCGCCACATTCTCAAGAAAAATTCCTACTAGTAAGTGGCCACCTACAAGAGTTGACAATTTTAGTCACAATGCCGTCCGCAGCAACCTGAAGTGAAGAATATCGCTAAAAAACAATTACTTCTATTAGCGCTGTAACTGCGCCGTACAAATCTCATGCAGTCGAGCTGTATTACATTCATCCTACAAATTTTCTAAACTAATGCCTTGCACGTTCATGCATGAGTCGTTACGATACACACTTAATTGCTGCTATAATTACTTCCCAATCCAAAGTTAAAATAGTATTAAAACTCTAACCTAGTTCACTTCAAGCCTAACGATTCAAGGTCCAGCGTTCAAACCTTTAAAATTTCAACATAGATAGCATTCAGATTTCAAAGATCTTGAACTAAGAAAAGAAGAGACATATGAAGTCAATCGAAAATCAGGTGGCACTACGGTTACTTTTAGAATGAGGCGACGACGAATCAAAACCGTTGTAATACAGCAGAATGACTGGCAGCCCGCAGAACAACGACTCACAGCGGAGATAAGTGCTACGTGTTAACCTATCATACCCAAAGTTAAATATACCTACATATATTGTCATTAGTTTGTCAATGTGTAGCAGATCTCACTACATATTTAAGAAAATAGTTTAGAGAGAATTCATGCTAGTGAATCACTGCTTCCGTAAGCAATATTCATTCCCAGTAGGTCTATCACAGCTCACTTCTTCCAAATCAGAGCTCACCTCTATTCCAGCAGCCGGGAGCGCAGCCGCTCCTGTAGGATCGTGGCAAGCTCCCTAACTTAGAAACATTGCCTTTATAGGATTGCCCTTGTCTTCAGTTGTGCTCAGTGTAGTGTAGCCGTAATAGATGAATCTGGAGACAGTGCAAGGTTCTGCAGTGTTAGTCGATTTTGCCATGCCTTAAGCTCGCGTGATAACTTGCTTACTTCCCAACTTGAATCGTGTGTTCAAAATTAATATAGCTCTGTTTCGCAGCAACATCACGTCAGCACCTAACAACATAATTTCTTGTTAAGAATTGTACGAGAGCAAGAATGAATCATTGAAAAATCTCGTGGGGCCGTATTCAAGATACACGATACACTGATATTGTAAATTCGCAAAAGATATAAAATCCTTCGAAATCAGTTATCTGAAAAAATAGTAATGAATAAATGATTCTCAGATCTCATAGTGGATAATAATATTGATGGAAAATGCCGCACTGGGCATTGACAACTATTCCTGTATGCAATTTTCTGAGAAAGGAGACGATGAGTGTACAAAATTCGCTCACAAAAGCTTCAATGCTATCTGATTTGAACGGAGGTCTGGTGCTTAGTGAGGACGAGTCTCTCTTCAACTTGGTTCAAGATGTGCGGCAAGCAATCGTTGCAGGATCTCCGGTGAAACTAGTTGATGAAGGATGTTCTGGGGCTTACACAACTTGCGACTCACTCGGCCAAGTTGTCGGGATTTTCAAACCTTATGATGAGCATGCGTACGGCGAAAATAATCCCAAGTTTGTGAGTTTCTTAATGCGCCATTTTGTACCAGAGAGTTGGAGGAAAGGCTGTGTGGTGTGGACCCAGAGTCACCTTAATGAGATCGCATCTTATACCGTAGATCGCTTCCTTGATCTTGGTGTAGTACCCGCTACTTGCATTGCTTAGTTAACAATACATGAAGACGAATGTTCGCGACCAACTCGATCTAAAGTTGGATCCTTCCAGTTATTCCTGAATGATTACGTGAGTGCGACCAAGTTTATATCGAATGCAGAAATTTTATTGATCGATGAAGTGGTTTATCGTCAATACCGGACAGAATTTCAAAGAATGGTCGTGCTAGACTTCATCACCAGAAATTGCGATCGGCACGGAGAGAATTGGTTGGTTAAAGTTACACATTAGTCAAAACTGCGCCCGCTCGAAATCAGCAGCAGCATTTATTCACATCTCCTTGACAAATTCGAGCGCAAAGGCACAGAACAGTTTACAATAAAAATTGCCGCTATCGATAATGCATTAACGTTTCCTCGTTAGTTTTTTGGATCCATAAGGAAGTTTCAGTTTGAATGGATCTCATGTCCAGGAGCGGACCACCCGTTCGATGAGGAACTCGCAACTGAACTCCTAGAAAAATTGGACGGCAGCGCTGGCTTCAATATTAGTTTTGTCGAAAGCCTCATTCTGAAACTCAAGTTTCTATTTTCGTTCGATACTAATTTCTGTGATGAAACTTTTAGCCAACAAGCGGCAATTTTGAGAGGATAAATTTTCAACTTGGTGAATGCGTTAAAATTGCGCAAGTCACCCAAAGAACTAGCCTTGATGGATGCAACGACATTGATCGAGAATGTTGAAGGGTAAAGCGGTAGTCACTACGTCTGGAAAAACGTTTAACCTGAATATTGTTGGCAAGATTAAATTCCTTTCTGATTCGTCTGAATGAAATGGAGAAATGAGAATAAAATAAAATGTATTTGGTACACTACATCACTTCTTTCCAAATTTTTCCTGTTGTGAAAAAGCCTCGTCTGATCGTTCCGACTGATAATGTACTTTGAACTAAGAATAACGGCGGTACTTGCATGAATGTTACACGTGCTGTACACGTTTTAAAAATGGAAATTAGTTTCTGAGTGTTTTATTATCCCTTTTGGATATAAGGCTTTAGTGCGTTTTATAAACAAATGCGAAGGTATTTTATGAAACTATTCTGCCGCTCACGCGTGGAATCTTGAAATAATTTTTTCGATTAGCGCAATTGTTAGAGAAATTAATTAATAAATCGAACTTAATAGCTCGAATCACAATTTGATGGACGGTTGACAAATGATTCGCACTCAAATATGTACATAATAGAATAGGAGGGACCGTTCAGACAACTTAGACCATTTAGATTTTCATCCAACATTCAAGATTGTGGTTAATGGCAAGAACTTATTAAACCACGTCTAATGTTTAATAAATAATCGGGACCTAGGTTCACCAATACAGATTGTGACAAATGTATGTTACTACAAAAGTAATAGTTTCTCCCATCAACGATGCCATTAACATTACATTACATCTCTACATTACACGAATCGTTCAAAATTGATCAGAAATGTCAGTCAATCGCATAAATCCTAAAAAAACATACTGACTATCGATGATTGAGCCAAATATGTTGATATTTCATAAATTCGTTATGTTCTCCATGATAACCTTGTCGAAGCAGTTCTTTTCGATCCAAACATTGAATTTTTCTTTTTGATCTTCATTGAGCGTGGATTTCCAGCTACCAGATGTCCCTGTTAAATAATATTGCGTGAAGCTGCATCATGAAACAATTGAATGTTATACCGACTGGTAAAGTATCACTTAAGCCCCAATTTCGAAAATTTTAAAGAATATTAACTGTTTAATAATAGTAGTATGGGATTTTTGGCATATATGAATGGCTAGTTCTTGTAATCAGACAATGAAGACAACATAATTATATATAAATAAATATATTAATAGGTAGGAATAAAGAAAGACCTTGTCGGAAGAAGCCTCCTTCTTCATTCGCGCGCACGAGGTTAAGCATCACGTGGGCGTCGCGTGGAGAGATCACGTGGATGTCCCGCTTCTTCATCTCTGAGAAACTCGTGTACTCGATGATCTAAAAATTATGTTTATTAAGTGCCACAGAATAAGCGAGTTTCAGCGAATATGTAATTTATTTCAATTGGGAACAGATATTTCATGGTACAAACTCGATGTGTTTCAATTATTCTATTGTTCAAAATAAGCTTGTCCTCTAACGATCATTCTTACCAATCCAATTACTGTTATTTAAAAAGGTAATGTTATCTATAAATATTTTGATTTCTTGATGAATTGATCAGTAAACGATATATCAATTGAATCATATATAAGATGTCGGACCTTATCCATTTGGGCATCAGAAATATCAAGACCGAGAAACTTGCTGAGTTTCATAAACTCTTCTTTTGTGTTTTTCTTCATCTTCTCGTAGAACAGAATGTGCAGGTTGGGGTGGTTGCGCCGCTCCCAAGCGGCTTTCACGTGTGCCCAGTAGGGGGCGTAGGTCACTGTAGTGAAAATATAATTTTCGCTAGATCGAAACAAAGTTTTATGCACAGTTTTAATCATTTAACACCGTGTATGTAATATTTTGGAAGCTTTTATAATTCTGTTCCACATAACTCATTCACTTGCCAAACCTGCTCCTTCAATGAAAGCGTCAACGAACTGGTCAAAGGTGCCCTGGAAATCTTCGTACTTGAAAATTCTGCAATGATGATGGTAGGAGATACACACGTCCCTGGGGTCGCGTATCACGTACACAATCTGGAGAAACATTAAAAATAATGTCTCTTAAAACACAATCCAGAACTCAATTGCGAAGAAATTTTCCTTCGGGATAAAATATTGTGCGGCATCGTGCGCATTATAACGTAAATAAAAGTAATCTTTCATTGCGTCCAATATCCTTGCGATGCCCCAGATTTGAAATTTATATCTAGCTTGTACTAGCATTTTGAGCTTGTACTGCGATTAAACCGATCACGTGTACCAATTCGATTCACGAATATGTAGAATAGAGTTGACTGCTCTGCCTTGTGAGAGGGAGTGAAGACTTCTTCTCATAGATATTGATTAATTTGAATGTAATTAGTGACTATCCATATCCATCCCTAAAAAAATTCAAGAGGAAAAACGCTAAGCTTTATGAGTTAGTTAACTGATTCGACTTCCTCATCTTATCGATCAGAACTTTGGTATTGGAGAGAGCTGAGTCGGAGATGAGAGAGAAGGACAAGTGGGTCTTGATGACGCGAGGTCGAGGGGCTTTACGCGCCACGTGCAGGCCCATTCCGTAGGATTGGTCGAAGTCGGGGTACTGCTGCGAGAACATCTCTGCAATCGTGCCTCTGTGCTGTATCTGCTCAACCAGAATGTCCACTCTGAAACGAAACGTGCTTTCAAGTAGCGGAACTCGACTCTTTTACTTCTGATGGTAACTCAATAATTACCAGACTAGATCTGGAGCTCCCATTCTGACACAAAATGTGCTGGTGAGTAATGGAACTCAGCATTTTTTGCTTCTCATTGTGACTATAATTACAAGCCATTTAAATACGTATAACATTAAAGTCTGTTTAGGTATCCGTCGATAAGAGGATCACCTTCCTCTGAAAAATGGCCGATCTCAGATTCAACATGGCATCCAAATTTTCACTGCTCTGATTGACTAGGTAAATTTCGAATAAAAGAATAATAACCATGTAAGAAATTTTAACTACTCCAATTACATTATATTCAAACCAATGTCTTCTTTCAATACCGTTCTAAATAATATATATATAATTTGTTGAAGTTCTCACTCTAGAAAGGGAGATCGGCGGTTGAGCGGAACGCTTGCCATGGGGTGGTCGAGTTTAGCATTATTTTTCATGGTCCATAAGATTTCCTGGATCCAGGTGGTGCCGCTTTTGGGCATCGTCATCAAGATGGTATCATCCTCGTAGAACTGCAATAGAATATTTCATTAACAATGTTCGGAATTCGGGCCAACTGCGCAATGAGGCACAAATTCATGTTATGGATGACGAATGCTGCCCATTCGTAACGTAACTAAAATTTAATGCTGCTAATAGAATTATTCTTAAGCAATAACTGAATTAAATAATTTCATTTGAAGTTTATTTAACGGAAGCATCATTTATCTGAAATATCACTTATATACTTAGCCAAGAAAGAACACTGTGTGGATGAGAATAAGTATCGTTTTTCGAACTGAGGTTATGGTGGTTGAACTCTTCAATCGACTCATTCGTTTGACAATCGTAGGAAAGTAATATGGTTTAAATTTGAAAGTTTCTCTTGCTAAAACTTTAATAATCCGACTTGTGGTTCCTGTTACGAAATACTGATTTATAAAGATTTATAAGACCTTCTGTAAAAGGAATATTTGTCAATGGGAAAGCGAAGATTTACATCGAATATAATTTCTGAACAGTTCATTTAATCTTAAACTAATTAATGTTTTTTTTTTCAACTATAATGAAAAGTGCTTATTTAACACATGTTCCTCAATTCATGCGTGTTTTTTCACTTGCAAACTTAATGGATACTTATTTAAATTACTTTTTGACTGTCGGCTTAATTTATTTCATGTTGTTCGATGGCATAAATTATTTTAATATAGTTCAACATAGTTAAAAAGAAAATTCTCACGCGGATGAGTAATGCATCACAGAATAATTGTTCATTTTTTCATGAATACATTCGTATCTCAGCTTACAGGAAATTCTTTGATGTCTTTGGAGTAGCGCTCGAAAGCAAGGGGAAGTGCCCAGCCCTTGGGCTGGAGCTGGATCATGCCAGGCTTCCCCTTGAACAGTTTGGCAAGATCCTCCACTCTTGGGGACATCTTCACTACATTGTGATTTGACACGATTGACATTCTAAATATTCTGGTTTGTTTATTCTGAAACAAATATCAAATTAGCGCCTCACATAGAAAGAATAACTTTCAAAATGAGTTGACTTCAGAAATCTAGTCATAATATAGTAGCGGTTTCAGCGTTATTAGGCCGCAGGCCTGTCGCCGATTCCTTACATCGCAGAACATTCACAGCAAGAATAACTTTCAAAATGAGTTGACTTCAGAAATCTAGTCATAATATAATAGCGGTTTCAGCGTTATTAGGCCGCAGGCATGTCGCCGATTCCTTACATCGCAGAACATTCACAGCTTGTTGCGGTCTCGAACTCGCAACTCACTGCAACAATTATGCTGTGCTTATCCGCCCGGCCTCCTTGCCGATTCTGATCAGAAACTGGCGCACAGAGCTGGGATCGAACCCGCGCCTCTCTGCACCAATCTTGGTACTCTGAACTGTACCCACTGGGCCACCCTGCCCCACCACTGGGCCACTCTGCCACCTGCCACCCTGCCAGTCATCATTAAAACTATTTGATTCCTTAGTGATTTCGAACTGCGATAAATGAATTAAAAATCTTCACGATATGGATTAGACATAAAATGTTTCGGGCAATTGAGTATTGCGTATATTTTCGAAGATTTGAAGCAGTTCCTGACTATAAATGCGAGGATTTACGAGTGACTTACTCGAAAAAAGTAAAGTGGCATCACATACTCATTAATAATAATCAGTAAAGAAGTTTTACATAAAAATGGCAATCTTTTTTTATCGAATTTTCAGGTTAAATAATAAAGGCAACGCTGTGAGGACAGGTAACTATAATGGTAGATACTGAACAACTGATAGAGATGTATTAGCATGGCTACAGTTAAATAGGTTAACATTGGGAGCCATAGCTCTCTCACGCAGTAAATAGATAAGTAGAACGTCGATCAGAGATAAGTATAAGCGTATATCTCAAGATGGTACGTACAGTTCTTCAGTGTTGAAGCGCTGGTCGAGAAATCATGCTGATGATATATTTAATATTTTTATATTTTAGCCAAAAATGCAATATGGTAGATTATATCGCATTATTTACAAAAAGTCTGCCAGAAATAGCTTACAAGGTATGAAAGATAATCTGCAGTTGGGTTCGTCCTTAGCTTCAGCTCGAAAATATCTCAAATTTTAAATGAACAGTTTTGATCTGATCTGAACTGACAGGAATTTCGCTGAAATCGAGTATGAGAACATTTTGCAACAAATAATTACCGGACTCACCCAGGAAATTTAAGTGAAATTTACCCAGAACACCAATTTAGGTTAACCTCGAAAAATTCCATGATGCACTGAGCTATTTCAAGGAGAATAATTTGTCACCCCAGCATAGAAGAAATTAGGCGACAGTTCCTTAGAAACTTAATCAGGTAAAACTTACAGGGTATTGGCAACAACAATGTTATTGCTTACCCGTCATGATTATACGTACTCTAATTCCGTGCTATTTCGCACATCACATATACCGCATCTTCACTGCATCGCAGGTTGTCAAAAAATATTAATGAGAAGAATCATTGACGACTCTTCGCCGGTTCGAGGTTTTCAGGAAGTTGATCGGCTGATTTAAACAGCCTGCAAAGCTCGATCGGCAGAATGAGGGAGGGAAGAGTTTCTAAATTGTAATTCCATCACGGAATTCACTCATCGCGGCCGAGCTCTGGAACGTAACACCCGCGGTAGGTGAGGGATTACATGTGTAACCGGAAACACCGCCACGAAGTTGAAATAATTACGGGTAGCGTGCCGAGTCAGTATAGAATTTAATACTGATCCTAAACACAAGGGCTAAGAGTCGCTCTTTGGTCCGGCTCTAAATTCCCTTGCGTTGGAGAGAGGAGGAATAAACGCAAGGAACTTCAGGCAAATTACAAGGTTCTTCACACGAGACGCACAATTTATTATTCGTCTAAGTCCAAAAGTTCACGGAAAAAGGCTTGACACTCCAGGAATACAAACAGCCGAGAAACCACAGATGGTTACGCAATACACAGCTGAAAATAACAAAATGGAGAGCAAATGGTTCGGGAACTAGCCGCACCGAGATGCCAACAACCAGCCGCAGAGACTAGGGGTTCTAGCCCTAATGCACCGCGAGAATCACAAAGATGAACAGCAAATGGTACGGGAACTAACCGCACCGAGATGCCGACAACCTACCGCAGAGACTAGGGGTTCTAGCCCTAATGCACTGCAAAGTTCCGATTAATCTCCAGCGCGGAAGGTGTTAACTCCCACGACACGAGAGGCGCGAACGGTACTGCAGAAGCTGTACCAGAACGCTGACAAATATACTCGAGTGCAGAAGTTGCTAGCCCCCACAACACGAGAAGTGCTCGTCACAGGAACTAGCCGTACCGGAGCGCTACCAGCAACTGGAACTAACCAAGAACTCCACCTACGCCGATATTAGTTAGTGGAACTCTTTACGAGTTATTTCCAGAAATACGGTGGAAATTATTCTTGCAAGCCCAGATCGGGCTCTTTGCATTCCAATCGAAACATTTGCACCCCCAACCCAGTAACACTGAGTACACACAACTTACCCGCGAGGGGCAACTCAGCTAAAATGAGCTTGCCTCAACACCCCCGTTTACAATGTACAAGAAATAGGCTGATAAAAGCGTCTATATGCAAAAAATATATATTATAAATTATAATATATCACAATAAAATAGAATCATAATATATTCCTTTGGTCAAATAATGGTAAATGAAAGTTGATGTGAGATAGAATAACTCTCGAGGATAATTAACTTGCGAGCGCGTGAGTCGATACCAGTTCGTTAATAGACTAGACAAATGAACACTGACTAAGCATTATCAAATACAATGAAAAGTATTTTCACCTAATAAAATCATATTAACATAGAGTTTATTCTTTCGACAACATGACTACAAGTTATATCCTTTATCGTTTTTTTGACCTTGCATGTCTATAATTGAATGCAATAGATGGCAACTCTATGCTGCCTTTTCACTGGGTTCCTATTGTGTTTCCGAGGAGGATTGCTTCAGCAATACGTAACAATATATGAAAATAATGCCAAAATCTATACTGTCGTAAATGGACAAATTTTTCAATAAATTATATTCGTGGAGATGACTTGAGACTTGTGAGAACTAGGAGATGTCTGTAGAAACTTTCAAGGACTAGGGGATTTCAAAGACTTAGGAAGCCTTTTGACGAGTAGGAAAGGACTTAACTAAGAGGACTAGGATAAGGCTTGAAGATTATGCATTGTTCAGTTACTCAGATAACTATTCTCTCAACGTGCATTTCCTACCTCACAAATTGTTCCTCCAAACTAGAAAATTGAGGTATTTAAAGCCTTCTCCAGCATCAGTCGTGATCGCTATGATTTTTTCGCCTGTTGTTTTTAATCCGAATTTGACTAAAATGTACTTTGGTCATGAAGAGATGCTCATACAGAGATCCGTGTTACTTATTCGCTGTTCGCACGCGGAGCAGGGTCATTTCTGATTCACTATTACGAGGTCCCTTCTCGGTTCTAATAGGAGGCTAAATTAAATGTTATAGATTCCGTATTGGTGGGAGACTGAAGTGAAGTGGGGCAAATGAATAGTAAGTCTCCAACATATGGGATGACGGCAGTTTTGGGTATGAGAATCGATTCATATATTAGGACCGTTTTAGACACAATGAAAAAACTTATACCCTAAGAATAATGTGTCGCTGTGAATACATGCAATTAAGGCAAGGATACTTGATGTTTTGAATTTTGCTTTCTCTAATGAACTCTCGCATGTTTATGCCATGCTACTTTCTTGCTATGGATGCTTGTGTGAGGATACTGGTATGCTAAAGATACTTGCTTGTTGAAAATAATTGCATGCTGAGGATACGTGTATCCTGATGCCAATCTTATGCCGAGGTCGGTTACTTTGTGGTCGGTTACATAGCAGGCTGTACAAGTCTGAAGATACCATGTTACCTTCACCCGGATATTTTTATAGTTTATTCAGTTCCTTAGTATTTCTGACGGGACGTCCCATTGTTTTTCTAACTGAATGTCATTATTAATCTAGCTTCGATTAATTCTCACTCATAAGAGCACAAGCAGTGGTTACGTAGCTTCACCCTGTTTTTCTTGAGTAACGACTACAAAGAAAAGTCCTGCCTGCCACTGTCAAACTTAGTCTGTCAGTCTGTCACCACTGTCACGTGGTCTCGTCATCATCATCATCACCACTGTCACGTGGTTTCATCATCATCATCATCTGTCACGTGGTCGCTCTCAAGCAGGTAGTCTATCGATCGTTATCCGCCTCTACGCAAGGAGTCTTTCACTGACCATCACTCGATCCGCAGTCCGCAAGGAGTTCATTCCTACTGGTCTAATGCTCAACGTCACGCTGCAAGCAGTCTACTTCTCGCAATCTCAGCATGGAGTCCAGTGCTAATTATCTCTGAGCAAGCACACAGGTCATCACTGGCATTTCTCCAATCTTATCGGTGACATTTATACTTCAACTCGTCAAGATGGCTTCAAGCAACTTTGTTTCCAACAACGGGCAACACTGGTACTGCAGTTGATGTCTGGTCGATATCGTTCTACGATTTCGGGACTTGGACCCAAAAAATTTAACATCCAGTCAGCGCGGGATATGCAATACCATATGGCTCTCGGTATTGGAGGACCAGCTATCATGCAGCGTCAATGAACTGCTTATGCAATCTTGGACTTTAGATGCGGGACTAATGCGCTGTGCTCGTACGCTTATGCATGATGTCATGTCCTTCCATTGGAGGGTAGAACTATCATTGTTAATTTAATAACTTGAAGTTTATTGGAAGCCCTAATTTGTCCTAGCATTAGCTCTAGCGTTGGACCTAGAGAGCATTAGCCCATTAAAGACATTTGTCTTTAATTAATGCTACATCCCTAAGTCTTAAACTTAGTGCAGCACCTAGCCGTGCCGTCATTCAGATTTTCAGTGCTTTCGAAAGGTTGTTATTGCGTCTTGCTAAATATCTTTTTTGACATAACTGGGGCTTCAGCGGTTAATAAATGAAATACATTCCTTGATTAGCGCATTATTCAATTTCCACTAGCCTGTCTTTTCAACGCAGGCAGGAAGATGCTTAAGGATACAAGCATGAATGATGCCGGGATGTTAAATAAAATAATAACTCATTTTACTTACATGCTGAGGCTACTTATTTTTCAAGGATGAAGCGCATAAATACTTTCTTGTTTAGAATTATTCACTGCAAGGGATATTCTCGGTAGGAATTCTCAGCATTTTTATCATCAGTGTCATAATAAAGATAAACCACGTACTACTTATAGAGAATGGCTGGAATGGATGAAATAAAAAATTATCATTCATTATGGGATTAAATAAACTGCAGTGATCAAATCTTTTGCCTATGTTGAAGACAATGGAGAAGTAAAAGATTTCGCTTCCAGCTAGTCAAAGGTAATGGCAATTTGTTTTAATTTAAATTCGTCGGAAATGTTATCTGTTACCGAGCGATAAGCATGACCACACTGCTCCACATCTCCCGCTTCTCAGCATGTGATTCTCGTCACACGTTGGGCTGTCGAGATAAAAATTTCCAAGATGAACGTATTCCCCAGCAATAATTTTCAGGTTATCATCACGTAACTGTAAAGATAACTTCCGTGCATTTATGCTGGTCGTGATCTTAATGTAGGTCGCAATACATAACAACTTTTAAACAAAGCTAAAGTCACTGGGTCCGACGTGCTGTAACTTCTAGGTCCGACCGACCTACTTTTACGGTTTACGTTTTGTTCAATTTGAAGTACCTCAAGATCTTTGAAATACTTCTAAAAAATTACACGATAAAATAAATTTAAAATAAAATTGGGAAATGCTTTAAAACTTATTTACAAGGTTCAACCAACAGCCGTCGCATGTTCGTCGCTCACTGTTAATTCGTTTCAATATAGTTAACCGCCGATTGAACCTCTATAACTTTCTTATTAATGTGTATTAATTTATTTACAATGTTCCGTATCGTTTTAAAGTAACTTTTATCTTCTATACTCTATAGAAGAAATTATATTTACTACCGAATTTCATTCGAAAATGATATTTCTGTGACCTGATCCATTCATTTTATCAAGTGTGAATAGCCTTCAGCGATCAGATAAAATAAATTAATTTATATTTTTCAATTACAGAGTTAAAAATCTGTGCGAATTGTTAATGCTATCCAATAATTATTGATATGGCCATAGTTGCTGGGTTGGTTGGCCACTCAACGATATCTTTCAAATGTCTCGGACAAGTCCTCATACATTGCATCGAGCTGTGTTTACGCACATAACAACTACAATTGTAGTAAAAGTTCATCGTTTAAACTTTAGAGTTCTATCAACACACCCTGCATCGAGCTATGTCTACTCACCTGATATCTAAGAATACTTCCTCTAATCTTTTATAGAGTTCAGTTTATACGCTCCCGGTCTCGCTGACTGCGACTCACTTTAGCTTGTAGCCTATATTTCAATTAATATCCGTCTTTATTCGTTCAATACGATATAACAATGTTAATATTAAATATATTGTTCGTTGTTTCGCATTCTGAAATGCCCAGGTTACGTTGCGATTCGATCAGAAACAGACGATTATTTCAACCCTGGTTGTTAGTTGATAAGGTGTTCCATTGGTTCTACATGTAAATGATTAGAAATGTTCTGCATAATTTTTTCTTCGCGAAGTCCTTGCTAATTTTGATTTAAAAAGTTGTATCACTGCGCTTGCTGCAGGATAGCATTTTGCAAAAAAAGTTCTCGTGATTCCGAAAATATGATGAGGCGGGATATCGTGATGGCCTCACAAATTTAATTTCGAATTTTGAATAAATTCATGAGCAATATAGTTGAATAGCCATGAAGCAGTTCTTACAAGTTTTTAGTAGACGTTTGCCTGATCTATTTTGGAAGTACGCAATAATGATTACGCATTATTAAAAAATTGTTCACGCGTCTTAGACTTATATCGTTGCTTGGGATGTTAAATATTATCTACAATAAGCATTTCGTTACAATACTTTATTAAAATATTATAACGAGACTGTCTCAATGTATGTATTATGTATTCTTCGCATGATACGCAAGCACGACAACAGCTGCTTTAAGTGAAATAACTACGAGCAAAGATTATATTAAATGAGATCAATTAATGTGTCATTGCTTCAAATTACTGTATTAAATTCGCAGTACAAGAGTAAGAAAGTTCCGGATATTTTGTGGTACATAATATGCAGGCTTTGAACAAATTACAACTGCGCAGGTAGCGTAGCTCTGCATGCCTACATTATCATGTGACGACGCAATCAAAGGTCACCACGAGGGCCCCACACGTGTGGTCCTACACCACACTTGTGACCTATACCACACTTGCAGCCTACACCACACTTGTGGCCTATACCACACTTGTGGTCCTACAGCCAAGGCCACTCAACAAGCCTTATTCTCACAACCAGTGCAATGACTTGGCGTAACAACATAATATAAAGTATGTTTATATGAAGTAACTTTGTCCTAGAACGATTGAAGTTAATTTCAAGTCTTCAGGAAGCTTCGTTGATGTAACCGAAAACCATTTTGATTCAGCAATTTAATGGAGTTAACCCGGCGGACCCCTTGTCACATTATATGACGTTTACAAATACAATGAAGCTATTTTTTTTAGCACGTCACCCGTATGCTCATGTTTTGTCATAACCTAACAACGGAATCTTGTAAAGAATACGATGACCTACATGACTACGAAATCGAAACCAGCTAATAAAAGGAATTTATTATTCAAGAGAAATTTAAATGGCTATTCGAAAGAATTTATTATTAAATAGAAGTTTAGAAGAAGATTTAATAGAAGAAGAGGATCCAGGACACAGTCCTGGATCCTCTTTCGATCATTGGACGTAAACTATGAAATAGGGCAATTTCATGAATAAACAGATAAACGAAAATTTATCAAGAAATAGATAACAGATATTGTTAGCTGATATTAAAGTCTCAAGGTAGAATGGTCGTCCAAAACACTCGAAACTGACGCCACTCGTTCGAGTGCGTAAGTATCTTCAGCATCTGTTATCTGTGTATCTCCAAGATAATCGAGATGACATCCATGCAGAGACTCGGCGGACGGAGGAAAATAAATATGTTAGATAAGGCTTACGTATTTTTAATTAAATTATATTTTGCCTATTTGCTGTTAGAGTAACAAAATAGAAATGAAGGAGGGAAATCGTCAATCATGACTAAGTTGATAACCTAGCACGCCGCTATTAAAAATATCAAAACAAATATTTTTTAGTGTAGGCAGAATAGTAATTTAAATAAATGTTAGAAATGGGCTCTGAATCAACTCACAAATAAAATGTGAAATAAGCTGAAATAACACATCACGTCACAATAACAATCCTCATTTTACGGCAAAAGAAACACAAGCTAAAAATGAATAACAGTTTCTAGAAAATTTGAATAATAATCCTTAGGGTAGGAATTAAAACCACGTCAGATTATCTCCGTTCCACAAACAATATAATCAATCATAGGAATTCAAATCTCAAAAACTAAATAGAGATGAAAACCTATTCGTCATTATCAACATGACCGTTTCAATGGGCTCCGTCATCAAGGGTTGAGGATGGTCTCCATGATCTCTTTGTCGGGGCAGTTCTTCTCGATCCAAGCCTCAAATTTGTCCTTCTGTTCCTGGGTCAAGACCTTCTTCCATCCACCGGATGTCCCTTTACACAAACGAAACTTATATTGAAATGAATTTAAACCATGAACTTTGAGTGAAAAGCGTCATGAATATATATGCCAGTGACTTTTTCTTAATGTAACACCAATCAAGACCTACAGCTCATAAAATTTCGCATAATGTGTTCCAGAAAATTTATGCTGGAGGGGAATTAAGTATTAATTTAGAAATATCCAACGATGAAGCTCACAAATAAGAGAGGACTGAAGGAGCATAAATACTAACCTGTTTTGAAGAAGCCCCCTTCGTTCTTGGCCAGCACCGTATCAAGGAAGACCTCCTCGTCGCCCTTGTTGATGACGTGATCATCGCGCTTCTTCATCTCCGAAAAGCTGGTGTAATGAACGATCTGCACAATGAATATGCTCAGTAAAGATTAGTACAATTTCAAGCAGATTCTCAGGTGTCGTGTGAAATATTTCTCATGATCCAATCTATAATGGACAATGAGCGTAATTGAAGAATGAAACTAGATAAGCTGTTGTTCATAAGCTGTTTTGTTCAATATTGTAACAGCTTGGAAAGCTGTGCTTTAACGTGACCACATGTTCATTCACAATTAATTGCATATGAGTACTTTGTCGATTTGTTGTTCGGTGAGGTTGGCGCCCAGGAATTGGTTGAGTTTCGTGAACTCCTCCTTGGGGTTCTTCTTCATCTTCTCGTAGAAAAGAATGTAAAGGTTGGGCAGGTGGCGGCGATCCCACGCGGCTTTCACGTGGGGCCAATACGGACCGTACGTAACTGAAAAATTTTCCATGCAAGTAATGAATTTGCCTTCATATACTTTAATTACCAAGCTAGAGAGTCCATAACTTAAGGCTAACAAAAAAAAATGAAAATATAGAGAGTGAAAAGACTACTAAAAAAATTTTCCGTTAAGTGATGCAATGAATGAATACTTCAACCCTCATGGACAATTCGAAGCCATAATTTGCAAAATGCATCATCAAATTCAAATGGATGGTATCATGTATCAAATATCCAAATAACGATGGACTTTTTTGTAATGATAAAAAATAGTTAAGGGTATGAGCACTAAAAATAGAATTAAAAATGAAGGCGATTATTTAATCTTATTTGAAAGTTTTTTTCCGAAAAAAGTCTAGGGCGAAGTGTAGAACTCGCCGAGAATATCTACAAAAATGTCGTTAAATAATATATGTCTTTATTCATTCCAAACGAACTAGTAATTATACAGTTAAACTGCCCTTGCATTGCGCCTACGAATATTTTGTTCGACTCAACAAATCTCAGTTATGTGCTCACCGGAGTCTTCAACGAAGGCATCGACGTACTCGTCGAAGGTTCCCGTGAAGCCCTCGTACTTGAAGAGGCGCGAGTGGTGGTGGTAGGAGATGCACACGTCGCGAGGATCTCGGATGGTGTAAACGATCTTTCCACGAAATTATTCAACCGATCAATGAAGAATAAGATGCAGTATATGATGATGATGATATCAAATCATTAATCAGTATCAAAAAATAATATAGTATTGGTTGAAATCAACAGTCAATCCCACACGCTAAATGTCACTTTCACAAAACATGGCCCCACCTTTGCCTTGGAAAGTGCCGTCTCATTAAGGAAGTCGAAGGACAGATGAGTTTTAATAACTCTAGGTTTTTTTGCAGCGCGAGCGATGTCTAGGAAGACTCCTTTGTCGGGGTCCTTGCCCTGCTGCTTCGTTAAATTCGCGAAAGCGCCTTTGTCTTCCAGCCCGTCGGCGAGAAAATCCGCTCTGAGTAATCCAAAACACTGTACGTGAATAACGAAAGAGAAACCTGGCTTGGAGGTGAGGAGTCAAAATTAAAAATCTAGAATGAAGCCCGACAGCTTCCAAAGAGAAAGAAATGGCTTAAAAAATAAAACAAAGCTAATAGGTTTATACCACCTCTTTATCACCATTCATACTTCTTTGTTAATTTGAACCAAGAAATACTAGAAATATTCCCTCACTGATGGGTAAATTTCCAGCAAATTTCTTTCGTCTAAATGCATGAACATGTTAAGAATTGGAGGTAAAAATATCACTGGCGTCCTCCTAGAAGAAAATAACTTATTTTATGAGTGAATCAAGTGTGTGAAATAAAAACACATGCGTTATCTAGTGTCTGATAGTAGAATGTTACCCGATATCACAGTTGCCTTATTTGAATAAGCGAGCTTCCGAGTTGGGCACAAACTCTCACTGTTTGTCTTTATCTACATTACTATTCCATTGAAAATTCCTATAGAACATCTGTAAATTTTTATATTTTGCAAAGTCGCATTAGTTCAGAAGTCAAAACCATAGCTTTATTGCTTATATATTATATGTTTATATTCACTTGTTTTTCACCTAGGTAGGCAAAAAAATAGGACGGAAGATGATCATACAGGACTTGATCATCTTCCGTCAGATTTTAATGACGTTTAATTAAATGTCAATCGTTTGTCTAACTCAGTGGTTCCCAAAGAGGGGGGTGATCGAGGGGTGGGGGTTGAGGAAGAAGGGGGCGGTAGGGGGGTGGCAGTTCAAAGTCGAAGTAAGAAGATGGAACATTTGTTCGACGATTTGTACACACAGCGAGCAGTACACGGCTCCCAGCGATTGGTTTTTCCACCCAGATCTGGGTTTTTTGAACCTCTCTTGGGTTTCTAGTGTAAATTTTAAAAAAATATTCAAAATCTGGGGGGCGCTAGGAATTCATATGCGTCTGTGGGTTGGCCGTTGGAAATTCACTGGGGAGCCAATGGGGCGCAAGCCTGCAAAAGTTTGGGAACCACTGGTGTAACTTGAAGTAGTTGAACTGTTGAAGTGTTTCAGCAAGATTTGAAGGCGCTTTCAAATCTACTACAAATTATGTATGCGTAGAGGAATAGCATCAAAGATCGTGAAGAGCCTAAGATTTGTCTGTTACTAAAAATACTTAGGATGAAGAACAAAATGAGGAATTCGAGTGATCATTTGCTCGTATACTTTTCTTCTCAAATATGTTGAATACTTTTCGAAGATGCATTGAACTCCTCTGTTAATTTCAATGAGATTTATTGTTTGAAGCAGACGAAAAGAATTCTGAAATTTATCACGCATGTCCCTTGCAATAAAAGTTTTTCACTCACAAAATTACGTAGGTATATTTCAAGGCATACTATTGCAAAAAATAATTTCGGAAAGCTTAAACTCTTCAAGAAAATTTGTTAGATGTAATTGCAATATGAATACTTCATAATGCTCACGATGAAATTATGATACTATACAAATATAGTTATGAGTCGCCCAGAAAACCTGGAGGTATTTTCCAAGTACCTCGAAATCCAGAATTTCCTGGCAATATTTCTTCTGCGCGGTAGGGTAGAACCAGCCGTCGGGCTGCAGTGTGTGGGCCCCCGCAATATGTCCCTTGAACAACCTTTCGATCTCAGCCTGACGCTTCGTCAGCGGCAGGATTTTGTGGCCGGTTGGTAGTGACATCGTGTAACTGAAATAATGAGTATACATCATTAATTTTATAAATAAGCAATGCAATATTACCCGAAAATTCAAGTCTGACAACCTCAAACAAGATGACATGTGGCTAGAAGAAGAAAATACGTAACGCCGAGTAGCGACGTATTGCAACAGAAATAATGGATAAGACACTCGTGAATCAAATCTTTCTGAATTCCATGGTTGATTGCAGGATGTCACAAATGTTCTGCATTATTCCAGTCGATTGTTCGAATAGTCTGTCAATGTATTCTTGAACAAACTTGAAGCACTATTTTCTATCTAAACCAGGAAATGGGATATATTTTCAAATTGGTGACACGAGTAACCTACCGCCTCTACCGCCTGACACGAGTAACTGGAGCAATATTGTCACTGTTGTCACACGCCTATTTCCCAAAAAGAATACGTTTTAGTGAGCGCAAAATGACTTGCATTGATGGTTGCCGCCACGTACGACAACTTTAAAATGTTCTCCGTTGCGTACAAACGTCCTCAGGTTGCTACTCTCCAATAGTTTACGTATAATTTCATTTGAAAGTTATGTTACCGGCGGTAGAGGGTTAAGGCTGCCCAAGGCCTGCGCTGATCTTCGTAGTAATAACTAGTGTTTGATAAACTGAATTTCAATTTAACAATGTTTAATCATTATTAAGCTTCATAATTCGAAAAAAATTAAAACGATACATCATACATCACAATTACGTTCACTGTTAGAATAACATTCACTCGAGTTTGAAGTAAGATGAAAAAACCCTGAAAAAATTGATTCCTATGTTAAGAAAATTTTTATTCAATTTAATACTATGAACTTACATATGCGCATCATTTTTTAGATGCATTACCGATCTCTCAATGCGTATTTTCTACTAGCACATCTCTGCCAGACTCACGCCCTCAGATGCCCACTTTGGAGAGGCCTCGCCCGTATATGGATGGATTCAAGCAGCAATTAAGTGTGTCTCGATGTCTGATTTACCGTCTTCTCTTGTGCTTTCAGTAAACATGGTAACTCATTCAAAACACGATTGCGGTGATGATTGGAGATACGTAAGCAAACGCATACGAGCCACAAAAGCAAGGTCTCCAAGTTGCTATAGCATAATTCCAAGTCTTTGGTCAAGTCTATTTATATCTTAAGCGCATTCCAAAACATCTAGTCGGTAGCTTTGTTAATTTAGTGCAATTCTATGTAGTTGGAAACTTGGTTGGTCCCTTTTTTACGTAAGCATAATTCTAAGCAGTTCACTAGATCTCTTTTGTAAATGACTACGCAATAAATTACATTTAATGCTACACAAGTCGCCATTTTGAAGACGCTGCACAAAGCCACATAGTAACTAAAAACTGTTTCGATTGCGTTAGAAAGATGTGGTTCAGTTTTTATAAAAAATGGCCGGTGACTTTAGTGCTGAGTTAACGAAGTTAGTAACGAAATTTTTTAGGATCTTGCACTTTTCTTCATGCGCCGCCATGGCAGGATCTGAAATGAATGTTTCATGACTTTCGGTTTCTGAAAAACAACGACTGAAAATACATATAAAAATATATAAGGAAAAGGTACGATATAATGACAATACATGAACCAAGATAACAAATTATAATAAAACGGATGTTGAGTCGAGTTCCGCAGGTCTAGATGCGCGGGAAAAGCCGAGTTCCGCGTGTACTGCAGGCATCCGCATCTAGATCTATACAAATTACAAATGAAATTGAAACAGGAGTCAGAGAAGTGAACTGCGTCGAATGCACTCTTTCTCGCAGGACAAATTCCACTAAACATGTAACTGAAAAGAACGTTGAAATAGCGGCGGCAACATCTTTGTTACTGTAGCGCAGTTCTATGTAGTCGGCTTGGTTTAAACTTTAAATGTTACTCAATCGTAATTCTAAATTATTGGCTTGGTCTTAATATTGATCCAGCGTGAATCTAAGGTAATAATATTACTTATGGTTAGGGCATAATGCTACTCAAGCGTAATTCTTTGCAATGGCTTGGTCTTTATTTAATTTTCGAAGTAGTCAATATAGTTAATTAGTTAATTCCAAGAAGTTAGGAAGGTCTACAGTTTAGCGTAATTTTATGTAGTCGGGACGGTCTTAATATTGCTTAAGATAATTATATTTAGTTATGAAGTCATGCAGTGCGCTAAGTCTTACTTAAACTCTAGCGTAATTCTGCGTAGTTTCCCAGACCTGAACTAGGCATCGTAATTTGTCTGATTGACATTCAGGTAATCCCATCGACCTTGGATATGTACTGCATTCACTGTACGAACATAATTAATAATACGGCTATCATGTACATTCACTTGAGTTGGGTGATAATAGAGACAGCAATGACATTTCAGTTATGCCAGCACCTATAGATTCTGATGGCTTCTACATTCCCAATCAACATGCGATTAAAGAATCAATTAATATTGACTTTATTGTCGCCAGTCATCGTGACTTTTAAAATAATCACGCTGACATGCTTTTTTGTATCTGAGATGAGGACAGCTGTCTCCATATCATATCAGTACTCAAAACCCCATCTGGAGTTTGCTGGCAGAGGATCTTTTTCTCGTTGTTATCGTGTTTTTTTTCTTTTTTTTTTAGCTGAGTACAATGCATTTTTTTAAATTGGTCTTCATCGTTTCTTAGTCACAGACTATAGCCACAGACTGATGTCGGTTTATGATGTATCGAGCTGTAGCCGGTTAGAGCGACGCCGTCAAAACGGCGTCTGAAACGGCGTCAATGCATCGTGACATCGTCAGCCGGTGCCCAGAAGCCATAAATTTGTGTGTCATCGTGTGGAGTAAAGCCAGCGTCGCAAGGTCGCCGTGGTTTACTGCTCACAAAATATCAGAAAGCACCTTCAGCACTGCGGTTTCCGTCGAGTGGGGGGTTACAGTATGCAGACTGGTGGCGAAGCATGAGACCGGACTGCTGAAGATGGCGGGCCACAACGCGTTCCAGGAGTTTCGTCAAAATCGACTGGTTGGAGATGGCTCAATATGATTTGGGATCAGAAGCGTCAAGGTCTGGTTTTTCAATGGAGGCGTAATGTATGCTGATTTGAAGTTTTCTGGAACAGCACCGTCAGTGAAGCAGCAGTTGAAAAGGGCGACCAGAAAAGTTGCTAGGCTTAGGACACTTCCTTTAATTAACGACGTAGGCAGTGAATTGCAGGCATACAGCTTGTTGGGCAGCTCACGCACTGCAGCGATTACATCGTCAGCTGTGACGCAAGTGATTTCTTGGATACACGCACTCGAATGGGCATGGCCTAAATGTTAAGGACGGAGCATCGACTCACGACGCTCGCAGTGCAGAAATTTTGTTAAACCGCAATGAATTCCTCCACTCTTACGTCACCCGAAGCATCTCTATGACCTCTTCCCTCAAGTTTATCCAGCAAACGCCACAGCGCTCGAAGGTCGCCTCGTTGGGCGTCGACTCTGTGGCGACTTCTATTGCGCTAACTCTGGCGACTTTCTTTTAGAATTCAGGGGCCACCAAACTTTTTTCACCAAGGGCTAAGAGCAAGCTTTCTGAAACCTTCGCGGGCCGGTCACGCCCATTTACTGTTTTTAGTTAATGCGTAACCAGAAATAAACGCCACGCTCGATTTCTATACACATTATGGTGAACTACGAGATATCCTCGACGGGCCGGATGGAACCTAGCCGCTAACCAGGTGGAGGCCACAGCAGCAGGATTGTAGCGTCTGTTCGATGGATCAGTCGAACTCTCCTCTTTGAGACCCGACATTCGTCAACACACAAACTTCTCATGGTACAGTTATTCCAGACTCCGTACACAAACGTCACATGTAATAGTTATTTCAGACTCCGTACATAAACATCACACGGTATAATTATACCAGACTCCGTACACAAACATCACCTGGTACAGTTATACCAGATTCCGGACACAATCTTCACCTGTTACAGCGATATTAAATTCCGTACACAAACATCACATGGTATAGTTATACCAGATTCTGTACACACATCACATTGTATAGCTATACCCGGCTCAGCAAAGAAACGTCACGTGGTATAGTTAAACTCAGTAACCACATATCACGTGATTTTTGTATACGAGGCATATGGTTTTGACAATACTGAACTGATAAGAAAACTCGAGTCATTTTTCGATAACATGCGTAAGATAGGAAGGCACTTGACTCCCTCTGAATATTTTTTGTTCACTCATCTGTCTGAAATCAAATAAAAATATGTGTAGCGACAGGATAAATTCAACGTGACAATCAAGATTTATGATTTATTTTTTATTATGAATTATGTATTACTTGAACGTAACATCTAAAACCTAAGTAAGATTACATGATTATTTTGACTTGGCAAAAATTTTAAAATAGGACGATATTTTTTCTTCCGAGTCATGGGATCGATCATGTTAAACTCGTTAATACAAAGCGATTGTTGAGTTATATGTCAATAAAATTATCTTATAATGCCTCTGTGACATTTTATTTGAAATGAGCTAATTAAGGTATTTACTGAATTAAATTGTCACCATAACAGTAATCAAATAACTTTACCAAAGTGGTTTGAAATTTAAGGCCTCAATTCAAATAACCGCGAGAATTAAAAAGGCTGGCTACTAATGTAATCCTTCTCGCACTAAGTAGGTTCGCTCCAACTCAATAAATTTTATAAAAATTTTGCTACTCGTATTGATGCAATTTTCTCAATACTCCATGATAAATTTACTGACCTAGTGCGTTGAAGCAGTTTTTACAAATCTACTTCGTCCGAAATTCCTTCAACAATTAAAGATTGCATCGAACTGTACATTCATGGTGGGTAGAATTCGAAGCTTTTCCTTGCGAAACAAGCGATCGTCAACGAACGATCTGATGTTTAATTTTTATACAACTTTTTTGGTCATAAGAATCGTCGATGGCGGATGCCTTTAATTGGAATACAAGAAGTCGTGTGATCTATCATCGGATAAACGAACTAGTTGTCTCCAGTTCTGAATTTCAGTAATCAAATAACTTTACCAAAGTGGTTTGAAATTTAAGGCCTCAATTCAAATAACCGCGAGAATTAAAAAGGCTGGCTACTAATGTAATCCTTCTCGCACTAAGTAGGTTCGCTCCAACTCCACTTGTATATAAGATACCATTTCAATTTTTTTCAATTTTGGGCAGAAATGTATTTGTTATAAAGGCATGTTAAATATCGAAGAATAGTTTGTATTACAATAGTCATTATGAGGAAAATTTGATCACATTAATGTTCATGAATTACGCACCTAGTATACCGTTTTGCGATCAATATTAGTTGTTAAAAATATTCTGTACTGATCGATATACTAGGTATATCTGCATCCACCTCAATGTTGTAGATATTCGTCGCCAAAAATAACAAGTTATCAATGAAGATGCAAATATGGGGAGTGCAAATCCCGAATACTAACAGTTCCGATGAAGGCGTACATTGTTGCAAGAGAGTCTATAGGAAGACGTAATGAATTACATTGCTGTTTCCGCACGAATGTTCACATGGCCTGACGTAAGATTGTATTAGGTGTAGGAAATTCATTTCGAAAACTCATTTGCCCAAATTTACATTAGAACTGAGTTATGGGAGTTTCAATTTCGGGTTACAATGCTTTTTTTAGATCCAATAAACGACTACATCGACTTTTGTTCGAGGTGTGACGTAATTTTCAGGTATTGTCGTATGATTCCCTTTTGTTTTGAAAATATGTGTCTCATCTAAATCGTAATTTTGCTACATAACTTTTCAATTGAGTCATACACGTTTTTCTATCGGGAGGGTTAGTTCTATTAACTTCAGAAAAATTTCGCTACTCGTATGGATGCAATTTTCTCAATACTCCATGATAAATTTACTGACCTAGTACGTTGTAGCAGTTTTTACAAATCTACTTCGTCCGAAATTCCTTCAACAATAGTCTGTCCGTCTGTCCGTTCGTCTGTCCGTGACCTCAAATTTTCGTCGACGAGAAAATGCGCTCTCTGTCACTCACTGCAGTGAGTACAGAGTTATATTTTTTGGAAGATTTCCTTACGATACGCATCACTTCATGTAAGCTGTATTACAGTAAGTATTCAAGAATCTCATAATAAATTATAATAGTGGTTTCAGCGTTTATTAGGCCGTAGGCCTGTCGCCGATTTTTATCATTGCAGAACATTCCCAGCATTTTGCGGTCTCGAACTCGCAACTCACTGCTACAATTCTGCTGTGCTTGACCGCCCGGCCTCCTCGCCGATTATGACCAGAAACTGGCTCACAGAGCTGGGATCGAACCCGCGCCTCTCTGCTCCAATCCTGGTACTCTGAACTTTAACCACTGGGCCACCCTGCCCCACCACTGGGCGACCCTGCCCAGCTCATACAAATCTTAAGCGTGAATTATTTTGCCCATACATTAGCACAAATACTCAATTAATCATCCATGCATACATTGTCAATTTGTTGTTCGGTGAGGTTGGCGCCCAGGAATTGGCTGAGTTTCGTGAACTCCTCCTTGGGGTTTTTCTTCATCTTCTCGTAGAAAAGAATGTGAAGGTTGGGCAGGTGGCGGCGATCCCACGCGGCTTTCACGTGAGCCCAGTACGGACCGTTCAACACTGAAAATATCGATGTCATTAAAAATATATTATCTCTTAAATGTGACCAAATAATTATTGTGCACATATCAATAAACTTAACTTTTTAAATCAGCTGACTGACCATTTTTCTGGGAACTATCATTTGGACAAAATTAATGTATTTTCCAAGGGCCGTAATGGGAGGCGAAATTTCTACTAGAAACGTCGAGCGTGAATCTGTCACTTACTGTACTTAGCTCATAAGTAAGAGTCCAAGGAGCCCAAAATTATAGGGACTGAACGATAACCAATAATTGATGCTCACCCTACTTTAGAGCTTGCAAGAGAGCTTGGAGCCAAGCGTGACGAATGTCTGTTTTGAGAAGATTTGCGTCCCGGAATTGTTTTATTAAGAAATGAATCGGACCACCATAACATGACGATAAGTAATCCGGAAAAAATATCGAAACAAAGGAAAAAATATTTCCGGTATAAATGTTTCAATCGGGATAATGATTTTGGCATAGTATTTAATAATTAATTTTTGCATGTTACGGAACGTAAGACAGATATCAAAGATCTGTATGAGACGCTCTCACGTCTATCAAAAACCGGTATAAATTTACACGAGTTAGGTACGAGCGGGAATTGATAAGCTCCAGCTAATGTTGACTGTGACGTTTAGCCTCGTCTCACTTTCATCCCTTATTTACACTGAAGGTTTACAGAAGAGTTATTATGAGCAAGTCAACAAAGCTAAGATGTACGTGATTACCTGCGCCTTCGATGAAAGCATCGACGTACTCGTCGAAGGTTCCCGTAAAGCCCTCGTACTTGAATAGGCGCGAATGGTGGTGGTAGGAGATGCACACGTCGCGAGGATCTCGGATGGTGTAAACGATCTGTCAAAGAAAATATTCAACCGATCATTCAAGAATGTGATGTACGGAATGTGTTGCAAAGTGTGAAAGAATGCAGACACAGCAGGAACAATATTTCGAGCAACAGATATCGTATATATAATTGCGGTGCAAGATAGAATTGGTTGAAATCAGGTCACTCCTACACGATAAACGTCACCTTCTTAGAACATTGCCCCACCTTGGCCTTAGAAAGTGCCGTCTCATTAAGGAAGTCGAAGGACAGATGAGTTTTAATAACTCTAGGCTTTTTTGCAGCGCGCACAATGTCTAGGAAGACCCCTTTGTCGGGGTCCTTGCCCTGCTCCTTCGTAAACTTAGCGAAAGTGCCCTTGTCTTCCAAGCCGTCGGCGACGAAATCAGCTCTGAAGTATCCGACACGTCATTAATAGAAGGGAAATCATGAAAAATCAAGATAATGATAACAATCGGGTTTATATGCAGGAAATTTGAGGGCTGAATCGCTTTTTCAGTATTTAGGAACAGGATTAACGCTGACATTCCGAAATTGCCGACTTTCTAATCCCTGACGAGAAATTAACAAGTGAAAGCATTTTAATTATTTTTGAAGAGGCTCAAGACTGCGGGGTCTAAGAAAACAGAAGCTGATAGGAACTTTACAAGAATCAATCCCATCGGAGGCTCACTCGAGTATGGGGGATCTGACGTGGAGGGGTTGGTTGGCGTCGGGGTTGTCGAGGTTGGGGTTCTTGCGCATAGTCCACACGACCTCCTGGGTCCAGGTGGTGCCGCTCTTGGGCATCGTCATAACGACCACTTCGTTTTCTTCAAACTAAGTAAAATAAAAGAACTAGAAATTACAGCATCGCTATCATGCTGTTTTCGTTAAACTGAGACTTAGAAGAAAAATCTTTACCTCGGGTTTCAAGTAAAAAATTAATTTTCTCTATCATGATTTCTTATGCGCGTCGATATGATATATACAACAAATTCATGTTAACTGAGTTGATAGCGAATCCTGTTGAATTTTCAAATCGAAATATGTATTTTGTGAGTGCTTGACAAAAAATTTGATTTGATGTTGAAATCCAGCTTCATGCTTACTAAAACCCAGCAGGGAAATCATCTTTGGTGCTTCATCTGTTTCTGTAAATTTGAAACTCACGACGGAATTCCAGATACCCGAAAAACATTTGCATGAATTCTTCCCTGAAGAGACTAAATTGGCATACTTACCTCAAAATCCCGTATTTCCTGGCAATATTTCTTCTGCGCGGTTGTAAAGAACCAGCCGTCGGGGTGCAGGGTGTGGGCCCCCGCAAGATGTCCCTTGAACAACCTTTCGATCTCAGCCTGACGCTTCGTCAGCGGCAGGATTTTGTGTCCGGTTGGAAGTGACATCGTGTAACTGAAATAATGAGGTTACATCATTAATTTTATAAATAAACCATTCAATATTACCCTGAAATTCAAGTCTGACAATCTCAAAAAACAGGACGTGTGGCTAGAAGAATAATAAACTTAACGCCGAGTGGCGAGTAGCGCCGTAGTGCAACTGAAATAATGGATATGATACTTCAGAATAAAATCTTTCAGAATTGCATTTTTGATTGCAGTATGTCACAAATGTTCTGCCTTATTCCAGTCGATTGTTCGAATAGTCAATCTATATTCTATTCTCACGAAGCAGCGAGACGAGTTTTCTTCACTATGAAAGCTCTGATTCAGCACTGAAGATTATGACCCTGGGTATAAGGCTTTTATATGTAGAGCGAGATGACGTGCGAGCATGACATTAAAATACACGTGTCTTGGCTTTCATCATATCGCACTGCAGTGTCACGCATCGTCATCGCACTACGCTTTTTTTATTTGGCAACGAAATGCGCTTGATTTTCCAATTTTTAATAGGCGAGTGATCGTATGCATCAATTAAACATAACATAACATAGTGATTTCGGCGCTGAAGTGTAGGCCTGATGTGGCCAGTCGCCGATTCTTTTCCTTTTCGTGCCTTGTTCACAGAAGATCTAATATCGTTTCATTTGACCGGATATTTTCATGACTGACGATAGTTTCATCTGCATCTAGGCAATACTTACTTGGTTACTTGGTTAAGATACGGCGCAGCACCGACGAAGGTATTAGCGCCCCATCTAGGCAATTGCCTTGGTTTAGTTTTAAACTCCTGAAGAACAATTGGCAATAAGAAAAATGACTAAAGAGAACAATCTCAGATTAAATTGATTACTATCGTGAGAAAAATTTCACTCAATGTGATACTATGAACTTACAAATGCGCATCATTTTTTAGATGCACTACAGATCCCTCAATGCGTATCTTGTACCAGCACATCTCTGCCAGACTCCGCAAAGTAGATGCCTACTTATGCGAGGCCTCGCCTGTATATGGATGGATTCAAGCAGCAATTAAGTGCGTGTGTCTCGATGTCTGATTTACCGTCTTCGCTTGTGCCTTCAGTAAACATGGTAACTCATTCAAAACACGATTGCGGGGATGATTGGAGATACGTAAGCAAACGCATACGAGCCACAAAAGCAAGGTCTCCAAGTTGCTATAGCATAATTCTAAGTTGTTAGTTAGGTCTATTTATATCTTCAGCGCAATTCTAAGCATCTAGTCGCAAGCTTTGTTAATTTAGCTCAATTCTGTGTAGTTGGCTTATTAGGTAGGCCTCTTTGTTACTCAAGTAGGTATTACTTTGGATTAAGTGCATCCAAAAAAGGGTATTTTTTTCTTTAATTATACGTTTTTTTGGGGTGTAGATTAAGAATCTAAAATCCGTTTTTGGCGGTCGGCATCGGAAATTTTTAATGGAACCTGTTCCTAACTGGACCTAACCTGCGAGGTTTTCGTTGATCGGCTAGGTTTTTTCTATGTTTGGAGTCCGTCCGGCGGCCGGAAAAACCTAGCCAATCAACGAGAACCTCGCAGGTTAGGTCCAGTTAGGAACCGGTTGCATTAAAAATTTCCGATGCCGACCGCCAAAAACGGATTTCAGATTCTTAATCTACACCCCAAAAAAAACATATAATTAAAGAAAAAAACACCCTTTTTTGGATGCACTTAATCTAAAGTATTACCCTTAAGTATAATTCTAAGTAGTTTTCTACGTCTCTTTTGTAAATGACTATCTAATAAATTACCAATGCCACTTAGCAGACACTGCACAATGCACGTATTTCGCAGTTCGTTACTAAAAAGCATATAAACAGGTCAGAACTACGATATGTAAGGTTCAATTACTACATTATAACTACAAAACTGTTTCGATTGCGTTTTAAAGATTTGGCTCAGTATTTTATATAAAATAGCCGGCGACTTAAAGGCTTCGATTATCGGAATTGACGGAAGTCTTTTCGTACTTTTCTTCCATGCGCCACCAAGGCAGAATATGAAATGAATGTTTCAAGACATATACGGTTTCTGAAAAACGACTAGAGATGCACATCAAATTGTATAAGGAAAAACACGATATTATGACAATATCTGAACCAAGATAAGAAATTATGATAAAACAGGGACAGGGTAATCAATCGACTTAAAGATAAATCAAAGGAACCGAATAGCTGAGTTCCTTGGGTCCAGCAAGCATCCGTATCTAGATCTAACACGAACGAAACAAGAGTCAAATGAACGGGACGACTGNTGAATTAGTGGCTTGGTCTTAATATTAGGCTGCTCCAGCGTAAATCTAAGGTCATAATATTACTTATGGTTAGGTTATAATGTTACCCAAGCGCAATCCTTTGTAATGGCTTGGTCTTTAGTTAATTTTCCAAGTAGTTAATATACTTAATTAGTTAATTCCAAGAAGTTAGGAAGGTCTTTAGTTTATCGTAATTTTATGTATGTAGTCGGGACGGTCTTAATATTGCTTAAGCTAATTATATTTAGTTATGAAGTCATGCAGTGCGCTAAGTCTTAATGTAACTCTAGCGTAATTCTGCGTAGTTTACAAGACCTGAACTAGGCATCGTAATTTGTTTGATTTACACTAAGGTAATTCCATCGATTTAGGACATTTACTACATCCACTGTACGTACTGATATAATTAATAATACGGCTATCATGTATATTCCATTGAGTTGGTCGATAAAAGATACTGCAATGACATTTCAGTTATACCAGCACCTAAGGATTCTGATGACTTCAATATTCCCTAACAACACGCGATTTAAGAATCAATTAATATTGACTTTATAGTCGCCAGTCACAGTGACTCACAAAATAATCACGCTGACATGCTTTTCTATATCTGAGATGGGGAAAACTGTCTCCTTATCAGGACGCAATGCCCCATCGGAGTTTGCTGCCTGAGTATCTTTTTTTTGTTGTTGTTGTTGTTGTGTCACTTCGGCAGTGTACGTCACAGAGCGTACATTACAATCTATCATACGACTTTGCCGCCGTTGAGTGTACGTTACAGAATGTCCGTTACATACAGAGTGTATGCATTACAATCTATCCCACGACTGTGCTGCCGTACAGTGTACGTTACAGAATGTCCTTTACATGCAGATCATATGCGTTACAGTCTCTCAGTCATCCCTGCCAGTCTCGCCCAGAGCGCCCCTCCCCCTTGACAAGCCCGCATGAGGCACTTCAATGCAAGGCTGTCCTCCACTTGAGCGGTTCTCAAGGTCTCGGACAAAATGTGTTCGTTTTCATAATGGTTGACTATTCTAATTATTTTACTTATATTAAACATTTATCGGACACAGATTAAGAGAACTTTCACTATACACTGGTAATGTGTTTCAATTTTCAAATGAATCATACCGATAATTTATTTTCGATGAATCTGATAGTTTGTTATCTGATCATCGTTATCGTACGACATAGCCCGGTTTCGAGGGTGAATCCATAAAATTAAAGAACAGTGGTAGACAAATTCTTTGGCTATTACCTACCAGGGAATGTTGAAATTGTCATGTCCCGCTTGCATAAACAATTACGTAAATATAAATTAAGAAAATAATGGAAGTTTAACTTAGCGTACCTCGGAAGGTTACGTGGATCGAGTAGTTGGTTACAATGGCAGTTTGAAAAGACAGAGATTTTTAGTTTGAAAAGACAGAGAGAAGGAATAAAATGATTCAGAGCACAATAACTGAACACAATTACTGGCTAAAGAAAGTCAGAAAATTTATTCAAATTGTGAGAAGATTGCACGACGAATTTGTAAAAAACGGGCTGAATGTGCGAAGAACAAGCCAAGAATGTGTAAATAATTTAGGAAAATACCGTTCGAATGCGATAGCGCCGAATGAATTTTGACGTTATACAAGTATCTGCTCCTAAGAGAAATCTGTGATGTACGTCGATGTTATCTGTTATAAAAATGGAAGCTTCAAATTAATATTCACGAGAATATTATATAAACTACGATACCAGATGTTAGTGCAAGCCTAAATTAAAATCAATCATAGTATTTGGCACAAATTTGACGAGAGATTTGAGAACTGCCCGCGCTCCAATAGAAGAACAAAAAAAAAAAATAACAAAGTAATTTATAAAAATATTGTATTCAATTTATTTCCAATGAGTGCAAAAAATAACGAGCATTATACCCTCATTTGTGCCGGAATTAGCTGCAGATCAAGGGATACATAATATATTTTCTTGGCAAAAAACTGAGCGAAATTTTTAGAGTATCAAGTTGGGTATGGAGTTGAGGAGAGCTACGAGAGAAAATGAGTTCAGAATTTATTCATTTCTAGTTGAATGATATCGCATTTAGTTTCTATAAAGTCAGACTTGTTGTAAAATCTTATTCATTTGGTTTCAGACGATAGAAAAAAGGCACACGTATGGTCAAATATTTATTTTGTACATATTTTCAATGCTATTAACTGAATTGCCTTGCCTTTAATTGTGATTAGTTAAACATATAAAATGTATTACTTGTCTCTTTGCTCGACAACAGGATAAGCAGCATCTAAAACCGAAAAACCGACTATGAATAATCACAGCAATGGAATCGTCCAGTAAATTGCATGAAATGAAAAAATAACCTTGCCAACTCGACTATATGGAAGATTCTACCCGCCAATGTTAGCAAAATCAAATTCGGTTGGCGGTCCATAGTTCATTTGTGGGCTTGACTAACTATTACATTAACATTACGCATTAACTCGATGCGCATATAATTTCCAACTCACCGGTTGTCGTGCGGTTACGGGACGAGTTTGAGAAGTGAATTGCTTGCTATGGTCGCTCCTGCGCTGCACTGCACAGTGAGACTTTGAATGCAAAGCTTTTATACAGCGATATGGCACACTACATAAACTAACAACAGTCCCTTGTCTGAGCTAGCCTCATATCGCAAGGCATTAGCATTTATTTCAAACTTTTCTTTCGGTGTTGATAAAATTTCTTGTCAGTATAAATGTTAATGAAGTTTTACATTATTCTCCAAATAGTTGCCACTCAAAGGTAATCCCGAGCGTACGATATGACAAGCGTTTTTCTTATCTGTGAAGGGAAGAATATCAGAATAATTAACTGCACAAACAACATTAAAAGACTGCTACGCTACTTATACTAGGAGGCGGCCTTACGTCCGACCCCGGTGACGACTAGTCTTACAATCTCGGTCTAGATAGCGGTTCCCTGATGTCAAGTGTGGTGCAGTGTTGCCAGTGTTGCCACTTGGGAGCACAGGATACGGCCTTCAAAATGTTGCTTCTTAGATTACATTTTTATCTGAATTATGACCTCTTTCTCAAATCGTACTTGTAAATAGCCATTTGCTTCTGATATTTCGAAATACAAACAATTTTCAAATTTCCTTCTTTTAAACTCATTTCCACACCTCTACTTAAAAGTACTCCTCAATTTCACTCCAAACTGTCATTTTCACTGCTGGTTTTAACTTTAATCACTAGTTTACAAGTGTAGCGTACTTTTTTCGAATCACTCACTCCCAAATCCGTTTCTATAATGTCATCCATCACCTCTACGAGGTCTAGCAGCCAGCCTTCACAAGGCCTCCCTCATCTCAATGGATGCAAGTCCCGTTTATAGTCTCATGTTTTTATTGCGTCATTGTTTGCTTTAGTAAACTGAGCACGTCATCCACAAGTGGCTTGCACTGAGCACAGCAAATCTACTGATAGGATCAAGCTAAAATAAGTATTGAAAAAAATAGCTGATAATGCAATAGTTGATACAATTAAAATTGTTAATGATACAATAGTTCATAAATTCAATCTAAAATACGATACAATACGGTAGTTTGATTTCAATTGGTTACCACGTTCTGAATAAGGTGGTCAGATTTCATCATTCAGAATAGACTCATTCAATTGACTTCAGATATAATTAATTCCTGTACTGGCTAAGTTAGTGGGGAGTTTTGTCTCCTGCAGGATTATTATAGCAAAAACTGAAATAATTTGGCTGTCAACATTCTTTAAATTACCTGTAAATTTCATGATTAATTTTATGAGACCATTTACCTTGATCTCAACATGCACCTCAAGCTCCACATGTTCATTTCGTTATCAATATGTCCAGTCCTCTATCTGGTGCCCATTATAACTGGGATCTGCAGCCCTGACCACTTAAGATTTTGAATAGCCGTGACAGCCGTGAATTGGCTTGCTGGTGTTTCTATTTTTTTATGCAACGTTATAATTTATATCGTTTTGTATTTTTTCGGAGCTTCAAACTAACGCACGCGTTTGAATATAATATGGACCACAGTATCAGATGTTAGTTTAAGTATGAATCAAAAACAACGGGAATATTTGCCACAAATTTGATGAAAGATAAAGTAGTGCAGGTGCACCGACCGCTCAGGGGTGCACCGTTATACCGTGAATAGAAGAACTAAAAATATAACAATGTAATGTAGATTATGGAGTATTGCATTTGTTTCCAGTGAGCCCTAAAAATAACAAGCATTATTGCCTCATTAGTGCCGGAAATAGCTGCAGATTGGGAGATATTTAACCCGTAAATGCCCGCATTTAATCTCATTGGTGCATTAAAATTAAATCGCTCAGTGGAGTTTATGTTTACCGAGCCACACAACAGCGATGTAACACGTTTCGTTCTCGTTTTACTTGATATATATATCGTAGTAATAACCGTACTTAATACAAGGAGCGCTGCAGACGAATAGCCTGATTACCAAATCATTTATAAGCAGAAATCTAGTTAGTATCATTTATGATATGTAGGTCAATTAAGGGCTAATTTATTTTCCTACCAAAAAAACAGACCGAAAATTTCGTTCTGTTTTTTGTTCGGTCTGTTGTCCGGGTTTATAGTTGAGGAAAGCTACGAAAAGAGATGATTTCAGAATTACCTAATTTAGACTTGAATAACATAAATTCAAGTACAGTGAAGTCAGACTCATTGTAAACTCTTCTTTATTAGACTTCATACGATAGGAAAAAGTCTCGCATGTGGCCAAATATGTATTCAGTACACAATGAATTAATCGTCTCTAATACTTAAATTAGAATCAGTTTGAAGCAAATAATATGAGAACACGGATAGTTGTAGTTAGGACTATGCTTCATCACAGCATTGCATTCGTCCAGTCAATTGCATGAAATGCAGGAAAGAATCGCATCATTAATTTTGTTTGTATGGGGCGTATATATCAACTTTATATTATATTTCTCCGTCATATGTTATGTTGATGCGGGGCGTATATATCATATGAGTCGATATCATGTTAATATGCGGTGTAAATATCAAATAAAACTCTGGACATATGTTTCGTTTAGAAAAACATCGAATAGTAATTATTTGTGACACGTTTCTCTAGAACACGTTCTAAGGTGTAATTCTTCTTCGGGCGGATTACATCTTAATTAAAAGGTACATATTCAACGCCAAACTATTTCTCGGTGTAATTATAATCACATTTGTTGGTCTCAAACACAAAAAAGCCCTAAAATTTCGTATTAATTCGAATCACAATAATTTCATAAGTATGATACCATATTTGTGATAATCAGCATGACCGTTTCAATGGGCTCCTTCATCAAGGGTTGAGGATGGTCTCCATGATCTCTTTGTCGGGGCAGTTCTTCTCGATCCAAGCCTCAAATTTGTCCTTCTGTTCTTGGGTCAAGACCTTCTTCCATCCACCGGAAGCCCCTTAACAAATACGAAAGTTCTTGATATCACATTTTAATTAAAATTTTTGTAAACTAAGTTCTATATTCATTTGGTGGAAGGATTAAATTTGGAGGAAAATCAAATCATGGCCAAACAGGACGAAATGTCGTATACACAAAAAAGACACTTGCTTTAGTTTTGCCTTGCCCAAGCTGATCAATCTAAAAATAATTTAGGCAGATTCGATGATCTTTCGAGCGAATGAGATTAAGATAAAAAATAATTATGATCAATTACCAGATCTGAAGAAGCCCCCTTCGTTCTTGGCTAGCGCGGTGTCCAGGAAGGCCTCTTCGTCACTCTTATTGATGATGTGATCGTCACGTTTCTTCATCTCCGAGAAGCTTGTGTAATGGACGATCTAAAAATGAAGGATATTAGGATGCGATAATTATTATCGTAAGATAACAAATTTACGTTGAAAAGTCGCACGCAAACTCATGAGAATATAATGACATTCTTATATTTTGGAAAGCGTAATTGCAGTTACGTGAACATTGCGAAATAATGCTCTTTCATCTGCCTGTTTCTCATGCAGATCTTATTGAAATGCATAATTGCACGTGAAGCCCTCGTACTTGAAGAGGCGCGAGTGGTGGTGGTAGGAGATGCACACGTCGCGAGGATCTCGGATGGTGTAAACGATCTGTCCACGAATTTATTTTAAATGTTATATTGCTAAAAGAGAAAACCTCACAACTGTTATGACAAAGAAATAAATACATGAACGATTTAAAATAAATTATTGTTAAGTACCGTAAGCGTCAGTTGGCTCCTCAATACACAATCCCAAATTGTGTGGTGCTACACGAAACATTTAATAAGTTTTCCCGATTCGTTGTTGATGATTTCGTGAGAAATTACGTGCTGGTCAGTTATTTACCAGAAGCGATAAGTTCTTTGAGCATGATTTGTTCATGAGATCAAATCGTTTTAAGTTACTTACTAGAAACTAATTCACTTATAAGCCCCGTATTTAGCTGTTGAATTGCAACTACCAATAAATTTTGTTTAACGCATACGATAGAGTTCTGCTTCTTAAAATATTGTCTCACCTTGGCTTTGGAAAGTGCCGTCTCATTGATGAAGGGAAAGGACAGATGGGTCTTAATAATTCTGGGTCTGTGTGCGGACCGAACGAAGTTCAACCAGACGCTTTTGTCGGGATCTTTGCCTTGCTCCTTGGTTAAATTAGCGAAGCCGCCCTTGTCTTCCAGACCGTCAATGAGAAAGTCCGCTCTGAGGTAATCGAACACGTCTTATGAGAGCAAAGGAAATAACGAGGGGATATACGGCTTCAAACTGATGGCAGTGGACTGAAGGAAATATAAAGACTAGCGTTTTGTGTCTCATGTGGTCGAGAGCAAGTGTATCAAGGCTGGTTTACGATCAACTAAAAGGTGATTTCACATGCACCGGCGACTCAGCATCAATGAGTGGAAGTGCAACTCTTCCTTTCAAAATCAAGAGAAAATACCAATTCTGTGAGGAAGATTAAATAAAAATAAAATAGTATTCGAATCCAAATCTCAGTGACTCACTCGAGTACGGGGGACCTGACGTGGAGAGGTTGGTTGGCGTCGGGGTTGTCGAGGTTGGGGTTCTTGCGCATGGTCCATACGACCTCCTGGGTCCAGGTGGTGCCGCTCTTGGGCATCGTCATCACGACCACGTCATTTTCTTCATACTGATCAAAGTAATTAAACCTTTTTATTGGAGTAGAATAAGAAATTATAACCCAACTTCATCATTACCGTCAAGCACTTCTCATTAAAAATTGCGCTGCAACTTCTCCACGCGACAAAAAATCTTCTCGCTTCGAATCACCGACATGTGGAACAACCTCCCCAATGACATCGTTGGCGCCACAAGTATGAACGCGTTCAAGAACAGACTAGATAAAGCTATGGAAAAATATATGTTCAGATTTGAAATGCCTAGCACCATATCGAACTCGGTGGAAGTCGAGTAGTACTTCAAACTATTGTCAGTCATGAAAAGATCCGGTCAAATGAAACGATACTAGATCTTCTGTGAACAAGGCACGAAAAGGAAAAGAATAGGCGACAGGCCACATCAGGCCTACACTTAAGCGCCGAAATCAATATGTTATGTTATGTTATTACAATAAGGCGTAATACACGTGAGTTAAAAAATGTACGATAACGAAACATTATACAAAGAATATTCAAGCCCGAACAATAAAAGTAAGTTATGTTCTTTCAATAAGGCTGATTTTAAATGTATACAGTATACCTCGAAATCCAGAATTTCCTGGCAATATTTCTTCTGCGTGGTGGGGAAGAACCAGCCGTCGGGCTGCAAGGTGTGGGCTCCCGCAAGATGTCCCTTGAACAACTTGTCGATCTCAGCCTGACGCTTCGTCAGCGGCAGGATTTTGTGGCCGGTTGGGAGCGACATTGTGTAACTGAAAGATTGTAGCTACATAAGTTATTTGTCTGCATTAAACGGGCAATATTATATGATAAACTGGAAGTCTGGTATTCTCAATCGACGTGGTGTGGTACGAGGGATAATTTTCTGATCGGCTAGTAACAACACAGTGCAACTTATAAAATCATAGTTAACTGAATTCACCCTGTATTTATGTCAGTGAATTCACACTGTAGGGACCTTTTATTAGGAAGAACCTAGCCAACTCAATCATATTAAAAATTCCACCCACCAACATTAGCGAAACCCAAACTCAACTGGCGATCCTTTGGTCATTTTTTTGGCTTGAAATTTCCCAATAGACACCAATCTTATTGAAAGTTATTAAATCTGGTAAATTGAACCTGAGTGAACTTGAGCTCCTAATAATGGATTAATCGAATTTTAAAATAATACTGCAATTTTGTTGCCTGGGAGTTTTTGAACTGAGCTGATTCTGCATGAAAAGCACCTCAATTATCTAGCCGTTTCAAGCCAATTGCTCGGTACAAAGGTCAGTGGGGCCGTCTGGATTGAGATTGTCGACTTTGCCTCACTACGCGGAGCTCACAACTGAGTTATTTGTGTGGATTTTGGAGCCGAGCGACCGGTAATCAGGAATATTCAACATAACACCAGAAAATGTTAAAACTTAACAATAGTTGTTTCAGCACGGGTAGAATTTTAAGACCCTCGCCCTTGAGAGCTGTGTCATGGTATCAAAAAAATTAACCGAACAGTTGTATTTCACGAGTTTTAAAAAGAAGCCAGGGCCTCACAATTAAACGTTAAAACAATTCTACTGCCTGTAGTTCAAGTTTTAGGTCCTAACCACAATATTAACATAATGGCATATTAACATAAACTAGATTAGCATTCCAGTTCACCGGTTGTTGTGCGGTTACGGGACGAGTTTGAGAAGCGATTTGCTTGCTAAGATCGCTTCTGCGCCGCACTGCAGAGTGTGACCCTGAATGCAAGGCTTTTTTTTATTCAGCGAGATGCCGTACTAAGATTGCTATCAACGGTGCCTTGTCTGAGCCAGCCACATATCACAAAGCATCAGCATCGCACAGTGCTTGCAGTCGAACGTTTGAACACTAAAGTTAATTCACTAACAAAATGAATGTACGTATAAGAAATTACTGGTTTAATCAGTCACTGAAATTCGTTGGAAATTACCTTTCCGCGAAATACACTGTAAAAATTATTGGTAGAGATGAAAAAGTGCACAAACATACAAGTTTGAATGGTTGAAAGTGTAGGTCAAGTATTGTACTCTGAAATATTTCTTTCATTTGGATATCGACACTCGGATAAATTAATGGGGATCCAAATAGTGAAGAAATTTCTGCACGTAGCACTGCTTCGTCTTTTTTCACGGTAACCTGGTTTCGGATGTCCCAAACAAGGGCAAAAAGGGCATTGCAATTTGGCTTGTCTCACACATTTCTTTGAGTGCAGGTCTGACCTGCTTGAATGACCACGCAATGTGCAGGTGATATCAGTGTTCAGGACAATCACCGTGACTCGCTTAAATAGATAAGTATTATGTACCTTTTATCAATGTAGCTTTATAGTTCAATGGAGGCTATCGTTACGACTTTGTCCAAGCTTATTTTCACTGGTTTCGTTTCTGGTCTGGGACAAATAAATTAATGATTTAGAGTGATAAGATAGTGTAAGTTAAAATGATGGCTTAATAATCTCAAGTCATGGCGCGTGACTTGAGATTATTAAGGTCAAATTATTACGCAAGTCATTACGATTAAGTAAGAATTAATAGCAAATAAAAGGCTACGAATAACCACCATATTTTTAATGAAATTTTTTTTGGACAACAGCTCCTTAATCAGTTAATAAATTCGATGACTTCGCTCATCTATAAAGAATTGGCATGTTACATTCTTAATAACGCAGCAATCGTTGCATTCATTCTGAAAATGCTCGAGGCGGGGCATTAGGTTTTATCCATGTTGGACTCGTGACTGAATATTTATTTAACCCTAAGTTGGTTGAATATTAATTTAACCATGAGTAACGTAATTTAGGTGAAAGCGGTTACATCCGTACATTCGCAATCGCATTGTTTTCATTCTATCATCTCAGAGTAAATGTGTTGAAAACAGCCATTGAATAAATTATATGCATTGATTAAATTGAGAGTCCATTTTATCTGGAAAAGTTACTAAAATGTAAATTGTATATTTACCGAATGCATTCTGATTTTTATGTAATATATATTTTAAAGAGGAAATTTAATCATTAATTACTTGCTTGGGCAAAAATGCAAGTAAGGCATGAGTAAAATGAATCAGATTCAGCATCATAGGTAAGGTAGATTCGGAGATTAACTGGAAATATATGCATTTGATGACAAATATATAGCACTACGGTTCATGTTCAGAATTGTGACAAAATTACAGGTTAGCCTACAACCATGATACCTAATTAAAATTGTCAGTCACTCTAGATTTAGTTTTAGAGAGAAAATTGTTGGTTATGAATTTGTTAGCTCGAGCATAAATAGGTTATTCTCTTTAAATACGTGATATTAGCTTGCCTTTGTGTTGCTCAAAACTTGTATATGAGTTATCATGATCCAAGTTCAACGCATTATTTGGGTGAAAATGTTTTCCGTTACGCTCAAGGAGAACGTGAAACGTTAGAGCGAGACTCCAATATACATAGGTAGGTTTTACGCACATGTTTGAGACGTCTGTACGTTTCTAATATCCGAGTTATATGGCGATCAAGTTGTTGAATAAGAACTTTATCAGATATGTTTTCTTATAAAATGAATAAGATCGAAACTCTAAAATATTGATTTTCGAAACAAAATTTCGAACCGTCTATGCAGAGAATAAAAAATTTATTTGTAGACAAAGGTCACTTCCGTCGCTACAAGTACATGGATCAATAAATAAGTGTTTGTTCCAGATAAATAACAAAAACTAGACGTTTTATCAAAAATTGAACAGAGATAATAAAGATTTTGCGTAGAATACACTTATGAACTCTTTCAGTCTTTGGATTTTGGAAGATGATTACCGAATTTCAGCCAATAGCGCGGATCCGACGAGCGTTTCGCCGTCAGTCTGGTGTAGACATCTTCGGAAAGTTCATCTTCCCGCTCTGCTTCGGGGCTTGTGTGACGATACTCTTCAGGAAATGCCACCTAATCCATAAACCAGAGTTTCCTTATGACATTTCCTTTGACCTGATCATGGACGTGCTCCTGCTGAGTCCATGTGACGAGCTCGAGCGGTGTGAAGGTGAAGAATTTATAATGGGCAACCACATATGGCCCGGCGACGAGGTGAGAATATTTAAGATTATAAAAAGCTCTCAATTATGTAATACTTTGAGAGAATGAAAGTAAACATTGTAGATTTATCGAACACAAGTAATAATGTCACTAGTTTGCTTGAATCGCAGATTCACTAGAAATTTAAAAGCGAAGAAAACTCCACAAAAATTCAGCATTTCTCTATTGAAAACGTTTTATTTGTAGATTTATCTTATGCTCTGAAAAATTATGCTGAAATACTAACCTGATTTGCTTTAAAATGCTCATGAAACTTCGTAATTTAAGGCCACAGCTTATTCATGCATCACCCTTAGGGTATTTTGATAAATGAAATAAACATTTGCAGTTTGTCCGCGACGTTCTGCCTCTGAGCGTTGCTGCCGTATTGAAAGAGATGGCAACCTATTCTGAACCTTACGTGAAGAAATCTCTTGCCTTCTTATGGCCGGTGACTGTAACTGTCTTCGCAAAATCTGAAGAACTCGAGCGACTGTCACTCGATGCAAAGGAAAACTCAATCAGAACCATTCAACACTTCCTTGCTAGCAACGCACAGTTCTGGAACAATTTTCAAATCATGGATGAGGTTTCTTTGAACTGTATCGTGCATTCACTTTCCACCAATACGTTCTCGGAACTGGAAGCCGTTTTCAGCAAAACTATGGACAATACTTTCCGGTTCGATGTATATGCCCGGACCAGCCGGGTCACCACGTGCTTTTTAGTCGTTGATGAAGACAGCGTAGGACAAAATGCTGGGATTTCTGGCAACGTTTTCACCGATGATGACGTTAGTGAGATCTTCGTTCTCTCTATACTGCTCCTTATGATGTATATCATACTTGCAGTGATGGAGACTCCACATATAGGACTTTGTTCCTTCAAGTGAGTGCGTTGTATGAAGTTGAAACATGTCCCAAATTCTGGTGAAGCTATCATTAGTCAAACTCGAGTCGTTGGCAATGATTTTCGACAACTTTGATACCGAATGATATTGTTGATTGAAGCTTGCAGCATAACATTTAATTAATGCGTTGCAATTGTAGGCATATAACCCAAGTACAATTAGTGGGCAAAGGCGTTCTCTATGGCAATTTCAAAAGTTGGCAATCAAAGTCAACGACAGGCGTTAGGTACGTTTCATCTTCGATGTGTGTTATGTTTACATATATATTTTATCGGTATTTCATATGAGTTGTGTCTGAAATATAAGTTATGCCTTACATATCGGTTATGTGTCGTGCATGTCTAATGTCTCAAATACGTGTTAAATCATGAATATTTGTTAGTGTATTTCTCAGTCAATCCAATTCCCAGTTCTTAGTACGGCATCCTTATGAAATTTATTTTCCGTATTCGTCTGATACTGATTGAAATTTGAAATCCAAATTTCCCATGCTCCTTTAGGGGATGAAAACCTTAAAAATTCTTTAAAAATGAAATTCGTAAAATTAATTTTTTATCGTTCCTAAATCCTAACCATTCACCTGATATTTGCTTAGCAGAAAATTTACCTTTTACAATCATTTATTTATCTGGTTGGTAGGTTCCGGGCGCCGGGAAAGTTAGTGTTTCTCATCAACATAATGCTGGCGGTGACGCAGAGTTTGGTGGTGCGGGCATTGATGCTGCTCGGCTGGGAGCTCAGGAACGCCGTCGAGGACTCGGCAGGGAATCTCTTCAGCATGGCTAACGACATCAGACATCAGTTCTACCGCCAGGCTCTCGTCAGCTATCTGTTGTCCCTCCAGGTGGTAGAAATAAGAATTTTTTTTGTGTTGAAAACAATGCCCTTGAGGCCCATATGCTATCCCACTCCATGATGTCTCCATCCTATTGTTGTTACTCGCAGGTGGTGGAGATAAGACTTCAGGCCCTCGTCAGCTATCTTTCAGCCAGTCAAATTAATTAAGAATTTTTGTCTTATCCCTCTACCGCCTGACATGAGTAACCGGATCTATACCGTATTGTCACAAACCTACTTCCCAAAAAGGATACGTTCTAGTGAGCGCAAAAAGACTTGCACGAATGGTTGCCGCCACGTACGACAACTTTAAAATGTTCTCTGTTGCGTACAAACGTCCTCAGGTTGCTACACTCAATAGTTCACGTATAATTTGCCGCCACGTACGACAACTTTAAAATGTTCTCTGTTGCGTACAAACGTCCGTTTAAGTTGAAAGTTATGTTCACGGAGATTGACGTACGGCGGTTGAGGGTTAAAACGATACGTACTGTATGTGTTACAAACTAAGCCTGTGTGTTTACTTGTTAATGAGCATGCTTAAGTGATTGAATTTGGTTTTTGTTCTGCTCCAAAATTAAAAAATTATCAAAAATCTAAACTTAAATGATACAATTTGCAGAAGCATCTCCACTTTTTTGTTAATGTAGTTACCTAACTTCGGAAGAAAACACTAACCTAACGGTCGCTCATGACAGAGACACATATTTTAAATGTTTTTAATAAATGTTTTGCCATCTAGCGAATGAGCTTGTTTCTTTTCGATCGCTTTTCAAAGCAGGTTTTTAAGTTTATATATTGCAGGTAATGGTATTGACGTCTCTTTCTTGACGAAGGTTGGGAGAAGATGGGTAATTAATTCCGTATTACATTTTAGCGTATTTCCGCTACAGATTTTGATATTGTTTCGAAAATGTCAAATATGAAATTTAAACAACTCATCCAAGCTTTTCGTTATTGCTTTTAATTAAATATATAATATAAAGCATTTATAATAAAGCATTTGTACCAATGCTGCCCAATTTGCTGCAAGTTGCTTCACATTGTCCTCGACGTATCGATATTCTATCCGCTTACTTCTGTAATGATGTTCCTGTTCATTATATGATCTCTGACACCTTCGTTGTGATGATAATATCATTATAAATTTTGTTTGGTTGTTCAAGGTGTTGCTGCTGATGGCGAAGAGCGTCGTGATGCCCTCGTTCTTGCATTCTACCCTCACGTCCCTCATCAGGAGCCTGAGGCTCACGCTGCAGAGGCTGTGGCAGGCAAGTGGCTACATTGGCCCGGGTTCACACCATCTGTCGAGCACATGCAAGGTATTTGCCAGCTTTGTCAAGCATTTGCCAGTCGAGGTCCAGTCTAATATTCTTTAATGCATTCATATCGAATCATTCTCACCATGGACTGGCATATGCCTGGCACGTGTCCAGCAGTATGTTGTGAACCCGGCCTTAGAGTTCAATATTAAAGTGAAATTAATCATTCGAATGTACCTATGTCCACTGGGCAGTTCAAAACAATAAAATGTTGAATTATACCGGCTGCAGCACATAATTGTTCATGGTTGTCTATAACTAGATAAGATTTACGTTCATGTATAAAGACAGCAGGTATAGATGCAAGGTAACGTGGCTGATGGTGTATCTAAGAGGCGCGGTTGAAGTCAGCCATGACCGCAAGCCAAAAAGTTCATGAAACGGAGCCTTGAGGTCCTTCATGTCTGGCAGACGTTCAGTACTGATTAGCGTTATTTATTATTATCGTTTACAATGACATTTATTTGGACCGTAGGCATATAGGACTATGCACCGTGCAGCGCAATTGAGCATTGCCCATCTGTTCAGGTGTTGGCGCTCGTTTTGCTTGGCATATTCGCCATGTCGACTCTCCTTTACTCCATCACCGACGATGAAACGCTTGCGCTGCTCACTCTCGAGGGTTCTTTCATCTCTATACTGAAAGTGAGTTTTGAGCGACTTCTTTTGCAATCAGAATACAAAAGATTTGAAGGCTTTCAGCTATTATTTTCTACAAAAACAATATTTCGCAGTTATGGTAATTTTATTCTGAAGATGATTTAGATTTGTCATGACATTAACTCGAAGTTATTCTAACAGTTCAAGTTGTACTAGCTTGTTGATGATTTTAAATTTACGCAATTCTCATTGAAATCTAAGCGCGCGTTGTCCTTAAACTACATTGAATTAACATTATCACGTTGGCTAGCAAAAAGTATTTTATTATTTGACCAGCTAGCCCAAATTTTCTTATGAACAGGAAAATGTCTGTCATGCTTTTGACTGATCTTAACCGCTTCTGAATATTATATATTCTTAAATTACCGTGTTTGGCGGAACTTCTTCACAGGCTGAAAGTCGTTCTTTGAGTTCTGCGAGTCGTCTTTTCCTGCCTTTTGATCTGTTCGTGGGGCTGTTCCTGATGACTATACTCCTGGCGTATATCGCTGACATCGCTGAAGACCAACAACCTGATGAAACGATTTCATCGTCCTCGGATGAAGATTCTGACGATGACTCGTTCGGAATTTGAATAGAGCTCAGACTAATGAGTTGATGCGAGTTTGAAGAACTCACGATGATTCATGATTCATACGTGGTTGAAGACTAGCATGATTCAAGCCGGGGACAAAATTTCATGATGGCACGTAAGATTCGACGAGCGAGTAGTTTTAGATATGAATAAGCATGAAAGAAGCACATAGAAGACGTTAAATGCTTTGTAATTTGATCAGTTATTACATGATCACTCATGGAAGTTTGTTCCCAACATCCACCGTTCAGTTGAGTAAAATTGATAACGATCGTGTGTAAATTAAAACAAGTTGGCATGCCAGAACCTCACGAACAAGGAATTGCTGATCAATGAAAAGCCTGCTAAGATGTGTGTTGGTAGCTCTGATGGCTCAAAACACTTTTGTAATGCATGAGCTCACAATATGTGGCTGATAATTATTTCTTATTTAATACTTTTATCGTTGGAATTATTTTGCATTGCAGTCAAAAGAGACGGATCTGATGCGTTCTATTGTTTTTGCATGATAAAAAATGTAAAAAATGTACCACGAACAAGATGTAAAATTCATCATTACATGAAAGGAATACGTAGGAGACGTATAGATTAATGCAAGGTTATGTCCATCGTTTATCCTACCTACCTATTGTAGTAGGTAGCTCATAAACATAAATACACGGTTACCTGCAATTAATGTATATTCTTATGTCATAATATTCCGTCGATATTATATCGGAGCATGTTTTTATAGTAGAGTGTGATATTAATCTATCTTCACTTAATTAAGGTGATTTTCATCGTCATGGTATAATGTATACAAGTAAAATAATCGTAAGCTAGACACACAAGAACTAATCTCTACTCTTACGATGGCGGCCGAGATTGCGCTGGCACTTGAACAATTATTATAATTTCTAATCATTTGTTCGTGGTTTCCCGGATCAAAAAATACAGACACGCATCAAAAGTTCTCCTCTGAGGGAGAATGATATTGAATTATATCATTTATGAACTCCAAAGATGCAGAAAAGATTCATCATAACTCACTATTGCAAATAGCAGCGCAAAGGAAACTAGCAGAATTAGCAGCTTGGTTGTGCATCTTAGGACTGGCCTGCTAACATAGCACTACATTAGCCGACATAACAACTAACCTGTCAGCGTAACTGTCATGGTAATGCGATATCCTACAAGACTTCTGGTGAGCTAAGACACACACTATTGAGATTAATACATAATAATTTATATTAGAATTAACAATAAATAATTATCTTCAAACAAATCAAGTAAACTCGACTTCATCACAGCCACAATCGTAGAGTCGATTCCTTTTACTTGTTTAGTTCCCGATCAGCTGATCGTCTGAGCAGGCAAATAAAAAATTGCAAAGCAACAGCTCTGAAGAATTCACTTCTGCAGGCAATAAAGCGAAAAACAAAAAATGATGTTAAACTATAATTAGGTATTAACAAAAATAAATATTACAATAATTCAAAAGATAGATTTCACGAGCACTACCCGCCATATCCCCGTACAGGTTACAAAAGCAATATCTTCACATGGCCCATTGGCCACAAAGAGCAGCGATCGGTTCCATATACTTCTTTGCTGCAACTTGCATGCAAGTTTAAAAAAATATTCTGTTCCTTATGCAATAATTAGAATCTTTCTTCTTAACCATCAGTTCCATAAGTACCTACTGGAATTTTATTTTTTACATCACAATCTCAGTTAAATAGTAAATAATAACAGTAAATGCAACATGACTTTCAAAACTTATACAACACACCAACGTCCGCTGATCTATTTTGCATTTTTCTAAATTTGTTTCCATTAATTTTATTCAGCATGATTTTCTGTTTGTGCTATTTTACCTCAAAAAATGTCCCTACCATGACCTGGAGTTTGAAAGTAAATGATCAAGTAACATTATACCAATGCATAACATTACAGGATTTCTATGAACAGATTGCATTAACTTTCGAGCATTTCGTGATATGCTTTAACGAAGCATGAATAGCCTCATGCGAGGTTCAGTCTTTGCACCAGTCCAGGAAGAGGATCGTCAGCGACATCATGAGCCTCATGTTGAGAGGTTCAGTCGTTGTACCAGACCAGGAAGAGGATCGTCAGCGACATCATGATCAAGAAGAACAAAATCCACACGCGGAAGCTGGCATCTTTGCGCATCGCCTCCCTGATCTGCAAATTAACGCAAGGTTAATAAAAAAACATCTAAAAAAGTGTAGTAGAAGTATTGAAAGAAGTGCAACAAAAGTATTGAAAGAAGTGCAGCAAAAGCATTGAAATAAGTATTAAATAATACTACACACATTGGATTCATTATTTGATTAAAAGAGGAGAAATGAAAAAAGTCACGAAAAGTAAATGAATCGGCAACAGGCCATGGGCCTATTTCTTCAGTGCCGACATTTCTATTCTATTTCATTCTAAATGACACACTAACCAGTAGTGTGGGTAGCACAAGCACTGCATATGTTATGCTGGGTTTCTTTTTTTATCAGATAATAAACGTTGATTCATATTACGTACATGCAGCTGCACGCACCTGCTCGTTACCCTCCTGCACGTTGTCAGTGGCCGCCATGACATGCTGCTGTACGTTGTCTGCCACCACCGCCTGCTCCTGCACGCTCTCCAGCAGCACATCCTGCAGCCTGCCCAGCTCCACCACCTGCACAAAATAATAATATAATTATATGCCAAACCTCACCACCTGCTTATAATGATAAAGATAAAATTATATGCCAAGCTCCAACACCTGTACATATTCAATGCAGGTAAGGCAGCGCTCCATTGTTGCCTGGGACTGCAATGTCCAAAACACTTAACAAGGCGTATTTATTTTAATCATATTAAAAATGATATATTCAGTGAGCTCAAAATCTATTGTTTATTGAGCACTTATACTATTCACCAATAATGATTTTATTATTCCATGATGCCTTGTAATGAAAAATCCTATACCTGTTTTGTTATCTGCCGGACTTCCTCATGTGCAGATTGCAGTTCATTGTATATCATCAAATTTTCCTGTTCCAACACATTCGTTTCTTCTGGAGAAAGAATAGAATTATCGTAGTCAAAAATGTATGGACGATGATAGCTGTCCATGGCGCCTGGAGCTTCGGAGGACGTTAGGGCATTACTGCTTTTAGCTTCCTTGCCCAAGTTTTGGTCAGGAGATTTTATCCTGAACAAAGAATTATTCTCACTAAGAACTGAGCTAGGGTCTTTGGAATAATTCTCAGCAGATTGAGAAAAGTTTGTTGTTTCTTTCATCTTCTTCGTGGCAGCTGATGACGGCAGCTGCTCTATTCTGGAGAGGCTGCAGGTGTCGTCATCTGCAGAGAAGGAAAGATTAACATTATTTCCATAATAAAGTAATTACGCAATAACGTCACTTAATTCTTTCAACTCGAGATGTTCCTTACCAAACTAAAACTATTCAAGCTTCAGTTGTTTCACAAGGCCTGGAAATAACCACGATAGGTATATATGAAACATAAATATTAAAATGAATGAATGTTGTAGCAGTACTTGGCACACTTGTTCATACTAATACAGCAATAATACTTTTAAAAATATTGATAATTAAAAGTATTAATAATAATATTCAACTTTAGTAGGTGGCCACACAGCTGCATTGTCGATTTTGACCAAGCATCAGGCAGCTGTCAAGACATGGCAAGGCAGCTGGCAACACATGGCATCAGGCAGCTGGCAACACACAGCTGTCAACACATGGCATCAGGCAGCTGGCAACACACAGCTGTCAACACATGGCATCAGGCAGCTGGCAACACACAGCTGTCAACACATGGCAACAGGCAACACATGGCATCAGGCAGCTGGCAACACATGGCAACACACCATCTCTCCAGTCCTCTTGCTCCACCTTCTTCCTGTTGTTAGTGACGACACTGGCTTGTTCACATTCTGCAAGGTGATGATCAAAATAAATACAGTTTGGATAAAGGTAAATGTGTAGTTTTAATTTAAACAATTGAATATTTCTGTGATTATGTGATAATGTTAATTGGATAATATAAAATAAAGTTAATTGGATACCATAATGATGAATGTGAGACTAAAGATGCTTTGAGATTTACTTTGGTTTAGATTTGAACTAAGTGTGGTCATGAGCACAACAAAAGTTTAAAGTCAGCAATACCAACAGTTTAAGATGAATATCAATTTCACACATATATAAACAAGAGATTATAATTGACATTTTTTACTGCAGTACAATTTTGAAGTAAGTTCATCCGAAATTTTGATGGAAACAAGTATTGTAAGACGATGAGAAAGTTTAAAACAAATTTTTCATCAATAGCATTAACCATATTGTTTAGATATAAGGTTATACCCAAGAAATTCTTTGTAATAACTCATGGCAAGATGTTTAATATCGAAATAAAATTAATTTTAAAGTATTCATAAAGTTTGGTCCACTAAATCAAAAATTTACATTATGCAAGAAAATGAAGTACCTTTTTGCTGCTGCAGTCTGAGCTCAATGGTGCTGTTCTTCTCCACATAGGCTGGACGATGCAACCTCATCAGCTTTGCCTGAAACAGAAGCAAGAGATCAGGAAATTATAATTATTGTCCTCATTGTTTCCAGGCTGAAGTTACATGAAAGAAACCTTTATTTCTGTCAAGATTTAACAAAAAACTTCTTATGTTCATGAGGCTTATAAAACAATAATATTTAAAGAATCATACTCTATACCTACTAGGTGACACTATGAACATGATGGAATTTCTAAGGGAAAACATTAGCAAACAAACATTCAGGAAATTTTGAAAACAAACTTCAAGTACCTAGTATATTGCACAAATCATCAGATCATGAAAAAAATAAGAAAATTATTATCTATGCATAAGAACAATCAGCATTACACATTATTAAAATCAGGCAGCAATACCTATCTAAGCAAACTCATGAACAAATAAAAAGCAAAAATGGATATTGATTGAGTCAAAATAATGCACTAATGTTTCACTTTGAAACTTTGGATGAATCTCATAAACTTAAAATTCATGACCAAGTACAGTACTCAAAATAAATATAAATTATTTTATGACTTTTACTAAGGCATACTTATTACAGTTAATATCATGAAAGATCACAAGGAATGTTACGAGCATTATTCAGGAATAAGGCTACAACCTCACCTTCATGTTTTCCTTCTGTTGCTTAGCTTCTTTCATACTTGAATAGATGGACTTGAGGTCAGCTAGATGAGCTCGAACTATGCATGCTGTTATGGCCATGCAGCACTCAACATCAACAATATCATTAGGTTTATCAACAGTATTGCTGATGGCCTCATTTGTGCTGATATTTCTGCCTGGGTTGGAATCAGCAATGTCCAAGTCTTTGCCAGGTCTTGGAGAGCTCCAGATTGTTTTTTTCAGAGCCATAAATGTTGCTGAAGAAATTTTCGCTTCCAATTCAGCTATTTGTTGATCAACTATCTTCAATTTCTCAGTAAGAATCTTGAGACAAAAAAACAAAGGCGTAGCAATTATTTTTTCAAGGTGATTGACACATGTAAAAAATTGATTTTGAAGATGATACAAAAACCTTTACAGACTGAAAACTCATATAAAACATGAGCATCAAAATCAACTGGAGCTTCCTACTTATGTTCAACTCTGTCAAAACAAATATATTCATGCACATGATAATGCCTGATACAACCAACAAAAATGGTAGAATCTGAATTTTTCAAGTAACATAGCAAATTGAAAATCAAACATAACCATTTTATCAATTTTTAGCATATTTTATTCAAGAAAAAGCTCTTAATACAATATCTAACCTGATCCATAACTGCACATTGCTCAGGGGTCATTGAGGCTGGGTCATTGATGCGACCAATGAAAACTTTTCTTCGGTCCATAAGAAGCTGTTTTAGCCTCACAATATTTTCTTGCACCTCACGGGCTTTTTGGAAAAATGTGGCAACAGAAATTGATGGCTTTTTACTGCCAGATTTGTTTGCATTGCCATTAGGAACATTTTTGGCAGGAAATATTCTGGAAGGAGGATATAATGTCCCAGATGCCTTACTTCTTGCCTGAAGAGTTTTGATGCAAGATTTGAAGAAGTTAGTCTGGTCTAGAGCAGCTGATGCTGTGCATTTGGAGATCATGATTCTGAAATGGAAGAAGGGATTAAAAATCACTGGTTTAGTGGTTATACCCATCTTCTAAAAAATCTTCACTTCTATTTATAAAAATACAATTATTTGCTAAGAAAACATAGACATATTTTTCTTGGGCAGAACCACAGAAGCCACCTTCACAGATGGAAAATTGGGCAGAAGCCACCAGTGAATTAGACAGAAATGCACATGAATCAGGCAAACTTCACCCATTCCTATGGCTTTTCCCAATTTCTTATTTTTCTAATTCAAACTTCAAAGAAAGAAAAATGGTTTATCTTTATCCTTGATGTGGGAGAGCTTGGCCTAAGCCTCTTCCTTTTATCCCTAACAAATGACAGAGATCAGGCTGGGGAGTGGCACAGTGCATAATGCATATGCACTTGAAGCCTTCAAATCTATGGTCTACCTAATCAAAAATAAACTAAAAAAAAGGTTTGTATGCCGTTTGCACGCACAACACGTTAGTGAGGTTATGAATTGAAACCTAAAACGTTCATATTAGCTTCTAAAATTCAGCATACAGTTTGCTGATAAGGATTCCTGTGGTCTCTGACTCCTCTCTCAAGACGACTCAAGTTGGCACGTTAGTTTCTAGTCCGTGCTCCATAGGATTTGTTCCTGATTGATGAAGGTTTGAAGGTGTAGAAGTCATCTGCGGACCACTTGTTACACCTGGACTCAGCAATTATTATTTAATTGAAGTTTTCATCTTCTTATTTTCAGGTTCTTTCCTTCTTTCTTAGTTGGTGCTTTTTCTCTTGGTTGTCAGCAGTCTCTCACAATGTGAAGCGATGGGAGGCAAATTGTCGTTACATTCAGTCCTCTTCACTGGCTATAAGGTAGTTAGACAACCTGTTTGTGTGAGGTAAGTAGCAGTTGCTTGTACTATGGAGTGCTGAACTCTTCTGGGGTAATTGCCTCTGCTGAGATGCACACATACAGACATGAGAGGGGCTCCCAGGGCATTCATGAGTGATGCCATTACCTGTCTCTAAAGGTAGTGTAGTGCACATACCAGGAGGAAGTGTTTGACTGTTTCTTCTACCCCACAGTGCTGACACATGGGAGTGTTAGCCATCCCAAATTGATGAAGCCTGAAGGTAAGATTGAACTCCAACATGTCCCAGACGAAGGCGAGTTAAAACAACTGAAATATGGCAAGAATGACAAGCAATCCATCAGGCATGGAATATAGCTACTTGGCAACAAGGCTGGAAAAGACCTATTTTTTTCTAAAATATTGCAGCTTGAACATATTATAATTTCAGTAGGTATGAAATCTCGCATCTCTAATTTCATAAATTTTTGTTTGATTGAAAAAATTGCAGTTTGCACTTCGCAAACATGTCATTTAATAAAATTTTCAACTGTTGCAATCCACAGTATATACCATATACTTCAATGCTCCCGCCTCCCACTAAAATAACATGCAGAATGTAATAATGAGTCAACTCAAAACATTTCCTCCGTGAAGATTGTGTAGTTGCAGTTACGTCAGAAAGGACATACTGCATTATCACTTGTACAGTTGCTGCTTAAGTGAAGACAAATGCTAGATTGCTAGTGACTGTTTTTTGTATGGGACTTTGTAAATAACATTTTTTCAATTAAACAAAAATAGGTCCTACATGACGTTAGAGCTGCAAGATTTCATACCTACTCAAATTATTCAATATTAGAGCCGCAATATTCCAGAAAAAATAGGATTTTTCCAGCCTTGCAATCCGTGGGACTGGAGACAACCTCAAACAAATGGAAGCAAGATGGTGGCCTGGGTGCCCCGTCCATCAGGAGCTACTGCTGACAGCCATTCCAACTCTCAAAAACTAAGGAAGCCAGGTTGGAGTTTGGACTTGGACGTCTCCTTCACAACCAAACTTGCTGTATCCTTTGCAGCCAAACTTGCTGTACTCTCCTCGGCCAAACTTGCTATGGTCGGGTGATTAAGGTCACAAAGATCGGAACAGGTAGTCACGGGCTTGAACCCCGCTAGTTGTGAAAATTCGGCAATGTCTAAAATTGGTAAGAGTAAAACATTGATTACTCGTACAAAGGAGAGCAAACATCCACTTTACAAATTTCCCGTTATTGATTTTCCTAAAAAATCATTGACCCTAAAAATATCGAAAACTCTGCACTATTTTTTAGCACATTTTTTCATTTATGGAAAAATGCACCAGTCTCTTTCTTATTTATTCTTATAGGAGCACTGGAAACTAGTCCATAAAGCCCCTTGCCTAAACTGGGTTTAAATAGTATGTAACTGTAACCGAGGAACACTGCAGAGCCGAGGAACGCCGCAGAGCCAAAGAACAAGTCAGAGCTGCAAAGCATATCTATATGCACAATCATCTATATCTATACCTACAGCATATCATATCTCCATATATACACATGGACCATCAAAGAGGCAGCCCAACAACTTAGGATGCTACCACTATGGTCAGTCATCAGGTAAGTATTCTTTTCAACAATTCAAGTTCAAATCTAGTATTAGTTGTCACACAGTCACACCCATGCCCTAACTTGCACCACACATGAGATCATTATGCTAACTGAAAGTCCAGCCTGGAGCTTCTTTTGACTCGACAGTGAAAGGAAGAAAGATGAACTTTGATTGCAATTTGCAAAACAACTAAATTAAACACGATCTCCTGTGGGCGGGGTTATGACTGAGGCTAGGGAAGGCTCGGCAAAGTGGGGTAAGAATAGCACTCCTCACAAAAGGCAGTCCCTACTTACATAATCTAGTCATTCCTAAAACTATTAAAACTGCATAGAGTGCTCTTCTTTCCATTATCAAAACACTCAGTTGAGTGTGGGAAGGAATTTAAATTTAGATTGTTAGTTCCCACAAGTGTTAGGTAAATTTATTCTACTAAGGGTTAGAATACCTAGTGACTAGGCCAGTGACAAATTCATCATCAAAGTACCTGAAGCATATTGGTAGAAGTTAAAAAGGAGGCAACTGCATCAACAATTGCATCCTGGGTGACATCAGAAAAAGGACCTCCTCCTAGCAGATTCTTTAAATTGACCAGAACATTAAGTGCAGTTTATGCATTAGTAAGATTAGTACGAGCAGAGGCATGAATTTGACAATTCAGCAGCAGGTGATGAATGGTTTCTGGAGACCCACAAGGACATAAGGGGCTGTCAACCATGTTGAAACGAGCTAGGTGTGCTTTCACTCCAGCATGACCAGTGCACAGTCTGGCCAGGGCTGTCTCCACAGCTCAATTTTTGTTGAGGGCCCATGGCCAATTGCCCACTTCCCCTTTGATTAAGCTAATGAAGAGGCCCTTCCCTGAATTTCTAATATTGTTTAGCCAGCAACTGTTCCACTTTGACGTCATCTTTATATTCAACTGTCTTGCCAGTTCCTCCTTTGAGATGGCAGTTATTGTGCGGTACCACAGGGAATGTGCTTTCGCTGCTGCCTGGTCGGCCACCTCATTGCCCCCAATGCCCTTGTGCCCAGGAATGTACTGTAAAAATATTTCATGAGAGGAGAGTAGTGACATAAGTTTGGTTTGAATTTTGAAAACTAGATGCAAGTAGCTATTTGGTCTTCTATTTTTGATCAGCAAAATGGATGCTTGGGAGTCAGTAAAGATAACAAGTTTTTCAGCAGGAGACAGATTTGTTAGTGACCAGTTAAGAGCCTCATGTATTACAAAGAGCTCCGACTCTATTACCGCCACCTCAGGACGCAGCTTCCAGTCAAGTAAAATGCCTCTAGAAGGGACGTGGAATGCTGCAGACGTTGAAGGGACTGGTTGAAGTGTGCATGATCCATCTGTGAAAGCAGCTGTGTGAGAGGAATATTTGGAGTGCATCAGGTCTTGATAAATTTGTTGAGCAGCCTGTGAGGTGGTAGATGATACTAAAGAAAGAGAGAAGTCTGTTAGTAGATGTTTATTGGTGTTAAACCATGGTGGCATAGGAGATATCAGGGGAGGTGTGAGTAATCTTGGAATGGTGATCTGTAGAGAGGAGAAGATGGATTTGGCATTGGGTACAAAAGAAGTTAGGTATTGTGTTCCACATTCAGCAGCCTGTGGGTGGTTGCTGTGAAACAATTCCACCACAACAGGCAACATAGGCAGCTGAATGAGTCGGAGGTAATATTTTCAGACTATCTCACCCCTATGAATGGACAATGGGGGAAGGTTAGCTTCTACTTCCATTGATGACACTGGTGTAGTTTTTCTACAGCCTAAGCCCTAAGGCTATTCTGAGGCAGTTGTTTTGGATGAAATTCAGTTTGGCAAGGATAGTGGGGGCTGCTGAGGCATAGAGAGCGGCAGCATAATCTAGCCAACTTCTGATCAGTACCTTATATAGCTTCAATAAGAGTGCTCAGTCTGATCCCCAGTGCCTGCTAGAAATAGATTGCAATAAATTAGTGAAGGGGATGCATGCAAGATTTAGAGAGTTAATTTGGGGTTCCCATCGCAAACGTGGGGCATTGAGAACCACCCCAAGATATTTGGCGTTCTGTACGTATT